TACAACTGAGCTGAAAGCTCATGTAAGAAAACGGACACAAAAATTATTGGAATTCCATTGCGTGTTTCTTTCTTTTATATATTTTCGCTTGTAAGTCGGTCAACTTTTACATACCTATGTGTATTCATTGGGGTACTACACGGCTATACATTAGATTGGCTCAAGAATGGCTGTTCGAAATAAACAAAAAAAAAAATACCATTTATAGCGATATAGTTAAGCTTTATAAACGATCAGAAGAAATACAAAAAAAAAAAAAATCCAAATCTCTTTTATGCCATTTTCCTTCCTTCGTCATAACATTACGAGTTTGTTTGTTGATGTTGATAAAATTCTTATATATTCAATAAAATTGGAACGGAATGCCTTCCCTCTTTCTCTCGCTCACTCACTCACTCACTCACTCACTGACTCACTCACTCAATGTCTTTCTTTCTCTTGTTCATTGGTAAATCTTTTGAATTAGGTTTTCGTTCACAATTTTTAATTAAACAATTTAAATCTATGCCTATTAAATGAAAACATAAACCAGTTTATCTGTTAATGACGTTTCCATAAAAAAAAAAAAAAATATGTCTATGTTAACAACAGCATGAAAGAAAATGATTATACATATATATATATATATATATAGATTCAACTATTATTCTGCATTTCAGCAAATCAATAACAGAAGATTCGTTGTCTTGTGCGAGAAAGGTTCGAGATGAGCATAAAATTCCTTGGTTTGAACCAAATAATAAAGTTATTAATTAGTTCACTTTTCCCTTACACGAGTTGAGTTGCATGCTGGAACTAGTTGCATAAAAACTTCGCTTAAAGGCAATATCGTAACTAATGAGATCCTATCGGAGGCTGATTTTTGTCAGTTGCAACCTCCCATTACATATATTTATCGGTTTATCGTATTAAATGAACGAAGAATGAACCTAACCTGGGGAACACATTCAAGATATTTTCCTTTACCTATCCTATGATTATGTTATTCGGCATAAATTTTATGATCAAACGATTTCACGCTCAACGCGCAGTCTTCGTACAATTTGCAGTTCGAGAGCTTAGAACAAAAAACGCTTAACCAATGCCTTAGCAAATTATGCAAAAAAAACGTCTGACGATTGGTAGTGAATGAATGAGTCAATGAGTGAACGAGTTTTAAGCGTAGCTTGCTCACCTTCACAAGTGAAGTGGACGAATAGCTATTTTAAAAGGAATCCTTGACAACTCTTTTTCTTTTTTCTTTTCAGATTTCATCAAATTGTATTAATTTTTTATTTAAACTTAATATTTGTTGTTCGCATGAGTAGTCGAGTAAATAAGAATCCAAGCCTGCGATCGCTGCGGGTTCAAACCTCAACGCGGTAGACTTTACTTTGATCGCAGTTATAGTGAGTGCTTAGTCGTTAAAGGTATAACAGTTACCGATTATGTGGACAACCATGCTAGCAAGCTACGGGCGCTTCCCAATCTCTTTCCCTCTCCTTACATCTTTCCGATCTTTACCGTATTACGCAAATAAGGAACATCTCCCGAGTGACTGGTCAATTTTGAATTGACGTCATCTTGAAAGTTCATAAGTATACGCACAGTTGATCTCTTGATTGTGTCAAAGTTGTTTTATATTTTTATTCAATTGTGCCTACTCTGCCTTACTCTACCCGGGCATATTCAAAGTGAGTTCACGAATTTAAGTCAAACATATGTGAATCAAGCTTTACTGGGCCAGCTTTCTCGGCCAGTGATGACAGCTCGATTAAGAGATGATAATAAAGAGAAAGAGAGAGAGAAAGAGAGACAACGATTAAATCTTATAATCACGAAATCTTTTTTCGGAATAAGTCATAAATACTATAACAGATAAATGAAATAATCGCATTTAGTTAAACTTATAAAATCGTTTGCAAGTATTTTTCTAAAGTGTAAACATTAACCTGACGCATATGATCACCTGATCTTTGAATATATTCAAAAAGCAATGCATTACTTTAGGTGGTGAACGGTCATCTAAATACACAATACACAAATAGTTATTTCAAATATTTAAAGTGTGCGAAAACAAAATAACAATTGTGCTTAACAATTAACATGCATTTATTTAAATAATGATATCATTAGTATGATGTTGAACTCATCAACTCATCCGAAAGTCCAAGAACACATAAATATGGTGAATGGTCGCCGTTCGACTTGATCAAATTTAAAAACAATCTTTTTACCGCGCAATTCAAATTCTCAACAATTTTCAATTTAGAAGACTAGAGTGAATAATGATAGTATCTATGGGCAATTAATTGTTTAATATAAGAAAAAAAATTGTTGACAAAACAACTCCAAGGTGATAGGAAACCGGAAGTATGTTAGTATACCACTCCAAGCATTGAAAATGAGTAGCACCGAGATGCAGGACAACATTAAAGGGACGCAAATCAGAAAAAGCTTGGCAATCCTTAGTTCTATCCCGTATTAGTCAACTACGATACATGACCTAATTAGTTCCACAGATTAGTGTTGCTATAGTACGAGATCGGCAGTGCTCGACTAGTTTACAGTTTCATCTACATTTACTGAGTTTTACGTGCGGAAAGTTCCTTTGTTGACGGACAAAATTCATTACTTGTCGGACTTTAATATACGAAATGCGAAATAATGGCCAAACTTGACGTAGGATCACATCATCACTTAGGGGATTCCCCTGTTCGATGGCGATCGAAAGGAAGTGAGAAAAGAGAAAGAGATAGAGAAGCGGTCAAAGCCCTAATGAGTTTATGGCTAATCGGTAAGTGTTAGCCAAGCAAGAAAAACGAGGAAGATAATTAGTCGAACTCGTTTTACGAGATACAAACTTTTTGAAGCTCTGCTTTAAGAGAGAACATCTTATTACTGCGTTAAAGATGGTTTCATTTCACAAGTCTGGAGATGTTCGGGGCAGTGGTGCTCTTCCTAATCAAGGTTAGATTCGTGTTAAGAAACTATGAAAATCGAAGAATAGAATAATTTTTGGGAACCATGATTATAACCACGTGGTAGTATTGCTGAAATGAAGAAAATCTGTTCCTCCCCTCTGCCGCGACACAGCTACAATCCAGCAGATAATTTCCTAACTATTAAAAGGAACACTTTCCAGTCGGCTTTTGAATTGAAGGCTTTTACCAAGATTTTGTAGCGAAAATGATTTAATCCTTATAATCTCCCCAGCTATTATGCTTGTTTGAATTTATTTCCTCTTTCTTTCGCGAACAGCATTAATTAAGAGTAGAATGCGAAAAGCATATAACTTTCTTTGTAGCTTTATATCAATCATTTCAAAATCATTTTCGGAAACGATTTAAGGACGTCCATCCATCTAAATAACCTTCTTTGTCTAGTTTCTGCTTGCAAAAAATAACTCTTTATATGGCAACAAAATTTAACTTTTAGTAGTATTTTACGAAAATTTATTGCATTTAATGAACAGGAACTATTGATATAAGAATATTTTATAATGAAGAGAAGTGAAGAATTACGTTAAGCGGGTTCACGTTGTAATTGCGTGCCTGGTTTGACTATAAAAAAAAAAGTTGAACTTCTTCAACTTAACATTTTCTACCCGAAAGCAATGTCACCATTTTCGCCAGATTACGCCCACTTTCACACTTGTTGTTTGGTCATGAACTGGAAATGTATATGTTTTTTATTTGAAGTGAGCTCTCCATCAATAAATGAAAAGAATGAGTGGATGGACAGAGAGACATATGAAAATTTCACATTCATTACTTTTTTCATTCGATAAGAACAAGTATGTAAACATATCACATTTATATTCACTCCGTATAATATGACAAACTTATTATTATCTTAGGTCTTAGGAAAGTGTGTGTAGGTGTTAACGAATCTTTTCGAGTTATTAATTCTTTCCGGTATTTGCAAGTTTATAGTAAAAATAAAGATACAGAAAAAGAAAATTTTGCAGATTTTGAAATTTCCAAACAATTGGGGGCGTGTCAACGTATTAAAAATAATCGTGTAATTACATTTTCTTCCTACATCTGTTAAAACAAAAAAAAAATAAATAAAAAGTGGGAAAAAATGTTTGTCACAGGAGCAACAACTGTTTCAGTTTTTGGGTGTCAAAAGATAAAAAGAGCATATTTGTACGCATTCTTATAAACGGAAAAATTGTGTATGTATTTAAGAAGAAATGTGCGATGAGTAATAGTAAAAGAAGAATAAAAAAAATCTCCAATCAAAATGTAGTTTTACTACTCACCTAATTATAAATGCTTTTGCTATTCCGGAGCATTTAAATTATTATTTTTAAATGATTAATCACAATAGTAGAATTCTTAAAATTCTTTTTTACTTTCCAACATTTTTTTTTGCCCAAATCTATGTTGCTATTATTTATGGAACATTATATGTATATATATGTATGGATGGTATGCATTGTTAGTAATTTTATGCACAATAAAAATGCTTCACACACACAAACAGCACATCACTACTAAATTAATTGCTTTCTTTTTTTATGTTTGTCCAATCAAAGTAAATTTTGTTAACTGATAACGGAGAACGTCAAATTTTAAAAATAAGTAAAAAAGAAAACAAGAAAAACACCGGTTTACTTTCGATAATATTTTCACCGCATTAGCTTAAGCAAAAAATTCCGCACTTTTATATTTTTGAACCACGGAAAATAATTTAGACGAGTTGATGCTATCACATGTTACTGAATGACTACAATGACAGTAAATGCACAATAGTCGATGTTGTCAAAATTCATATATCTAAAGCGTTTCATTCCGTTTGTCTCAATTACGCTTGGTTTGCGTCTTAAATCCCTCTTCTAAACATTAAATGCTTCAATATGTATATATATATATATATGTATATATATATGCTGACACATGTTAGTTGATAATCTCGCATTATTTTTAAGCAGCTGATTGCGTATATATGTAATTTAATGTAAAATATATATATATTTGTATTTCATAAAATATATTTCGTTTATATACTTCATTCGAATGCAATATTGAGCTTATATTTTTGTTTTTGTTTCTTTCCTTGTTTATCTCCGCTCTGATGAGTTCTTTGGCGAATTTGCTGTTATTATAACTGATTGACATTTAAGATTTTGTTTTAATTTGAACGTGAAAGAAATGCGAAAATATCTCCCAAAAAACATTATTCATGTATGTGAATGCATGAAATTTGGAAAATGAATATAATCGAGTTTTTTTTTATTCAGTTAACAAATAAATTTGCTGAGGGAAGTAACAGCCCACTGGAAGTTACAAAAAGTGCTTTTAACGATGCTGAGAAATTCAAAAATTTAAATGCATTTATTAAGTTAACAAAAAAGCTGGCATATGATTCAGCAACGGAATCAACGCGTCGTTATTCTGAGAAACGAACGAAAGGTCCTTTAGATGGTGTTACGATTGCTATCAAGGATAATTTTTGCACCAAAGGAATTCATACCACATGTGCATCAAAGTAAGTTTCGCTCTTTATTCCATAAGGTATTAGTCAGAAGCTTGCATAGACCATAGAATATCTGCCTCTCCTAAAATATTTATTTATGTGTTATAATATCGCTGTCTAGATTAAAGTAAAAAAATGCTTTCGTTTTATTTTCACATTGAGAATGCTAGAAGATTTTGTACCGCCTTACAATGCAACGATTTATGAACGCTTATTGAACAATGGAGCAATTTTAATTGGTAAAACCAATATGGACGAGTTCGCAATGGGTTCTGGATGTGTCGATTCAATATATGGTCCAAGTAAAAACATCTGGAGCAAGAATCTAGAAAACGATGAATGGCGAATTGCTGGTGGCAGCTCAGGCGGTTCCGCTTTAGCAGTGGCCAGTGGCGTTTGTTATGCGTAAGTGAAAAGTACAATTATGTATGATTCAATTAAGACACCTTTCGGTTTATACAGATAGCTTTATAAAGGAACAAAAAAAAAATTCAATTTGTGTGAATAAGTGAATTGATGTTTTTCTGCTTATTCCAAAAAATCTTAAAATATTTTCGTCGCTATTGTAATTATTGATTTCGATCTTAAAAGACACAGATAGTTTGTTTAAAAACTAATTCACTTTTCTTAAAACTGATTCCGGCAGCAATAGAAAGAATTCTGCTGCTATTAGTTTATTACATAATATCGGCAATTTGACAATTACTAAAAAACATTTAAATTATAATTTCGGTGTCACCGAGATCTTCATCTGAAGGTAGAATAATGTTGGCAGGATCTACATAATTAGGGCTTACCAAATCCGCGCCAGCTTCTTCGCGACGACGTAATTCTAAAAATCCCTCACGCTGTGCCCAATCACGCATTAGTGTATCAGGCAAATAAGACCAAACGAATGTGCCCCATACTATGCATAACGTAAGCCCAAAGAAGAAGGAAGACCTTGTAGCGTTACGATCATCTGTTTCATTTTTATATTCGAAACCGTAGCTAACCCAGTTTTTAGGATTTGGATTGGCAAAATCTTCTTTCGTGACTGGTGCTGGTACGGCAACAGTAGTGTCGTCTTTTTTTGACGACGTTTTTATCGTACGATTCACGCTCCACGATTTGTGGCTGGCTAAGACCAATTGCAATGCCGAACGGTTGCCAAAACGTACAAGAACAGCCATTCTTTGATATTTTTAATGCACAAAATTAAATCAATTTCCAATTCGCCTTTAGTAATTTTTCAACTGTTTACATGAGTGCAGCTGACAGCTGTTAAATGTCTCTAGTAGTTGCGTTGCCAAATAACGAATGCTGCCAAGTTTTGCAAAAAAAGGATGATCTAAAATATGTATGGATAGTGCTATTCCTGAAAGTAGTAATGTGTCGTTCCAATCTAAACCTTGGTTTTGTTATAGCCGAACTTGCTTTATATGTGCCTTTAATAGACTTCAGTTCTTCGTTCTTCCTTCTTATACTTAAATGCCTAATATGGCAAATCCGTATAAAGCAATTGTAAACAAAACAACAACTTTTTTTTTTTCGTTTATAATACCATTTGTTTGCAGCTCTATAGGATCCGATACTGGCGGCTCAGTTCGGAATCCGGCATCGTATTGCGGTGTCATTGGCCTGAAACCTACTTATGGCTTGGTTTCCAGACATGGCCTTATCCCGTTGGTGAATTCTATGGATGTTCCCGGTATTTTTGCTCGCACAGTTAGCGATTGTACTACTATTTTAAATTGCGTTTCCGGACCTGATATGCGAGATGCGACTACCATAAAAATGCAATATCAGCCAATAAATCTTCCACTACCCGAACAAATAGACATTAGCAAATTCCGAGTAGGCGTGCCAAAAGAATACCATTGTGAACAGCTATCAAAAGATGTGTTGGAAACTTGGCAGAAAGTGGCTGGTTTACTGGAAAATGAAGGTGCAATAGTAAAGCAAGTTTCTCTACCACATACAGCAGCTAGTATTTATGTTTATTCAATATTAAATCAGTGCGAAGTAGCTAGCAATATGGCGAAATACGATGGTATTGAATACGGTCATCGAGCTGATTACGATTGCAGTACGGAAGAGTTCTATGCCAAAAGCAGAGCCCACGGGTTCAATGAGATCGTAAAAGGAAGAATATTAGCTGGGAACTTTTTTTTACTCAGGAAGAATTATAAGAATTTTTTTGAAAAAGCTTTAAAAGTTCGACGGTTAATAACGGAAGACTTTACGAAAGTATTTGAAGGCTCGCCAGCGGAACGAATTGATGTGCTATTAACGCCTACTACTTTAACGGAAGCACCACTGTACAAGGAGTTTATAACAGCCTCTAATCGTGACCAATGTGCAGTACAAGATTTTTGCACTCAACCGTGCAATATGGCTGGAATACCCGCCATCTCACTACCTATTAGACTCAGTGCTAACGGTTTACCTATTTCTTTGCAGATAATGAGTAATAAATTCAATGAGAAACTCTTGTTAACATTTGCACGTTGGCTAGAAAATCAATTTGAATTCAATTGTTTATATAACAGAGAACTCTATGAAATTTAAAAACAAAACAAATTGGATCAATTATTTCAAGATTTTGAACGTACAATGAATATATTTATTTTTTTTTGTTATTAAACATTTTTTTAGTACGTTACTAAACCGTTTCGTTCCAGCGAACGTGATAGTCTTCGTCGTTAAACTTTAACGCTAACTTGACTTACTTATTTATATATGTAGTTTATCTATAAACAAGCAATTAATGAATAAAATTGTAATTTAAAAAGTTTACAGCGATTTTCAATATCATGTTACTTTGTATAACAATTGCTTTAATTTGTTTTCTGCTAGCATTTGCTAGAGCAATTGTGAAAGCGGTAAGCGAAATAAATTATTGCCTTAACATAATTCAATTTTTCATTTTATCAGTTGAAAGATGTGCTGTTGTGGTTCGCTAGTAGAAAATCACCATCTCCTGAATTAACGGCAGCATTGCAAAATGCAATTGTTGAATTGGAAACTTTGCAAGCCAATCAAAATTTGACTGGAAACGATGATGACTTCGCGCGAATAGTTTGGCTAGAGAGAGCTCAACAGAAAGTTAAAGATCTAGAGAAACAAATTTATGATAGCCGCAACATGGGACAAATGCGTAACGCTTTTAGTGAGTTAATAATAAGTTACGCGCTAAAGGCTACGTTATGTCTTGTGTTAATTATAATTTCAATTAAATATCGTCACAATCCGGTATTAATATTTGGTGAACAAATCAATTTGTATCCTTTGAAAGGAATTTTAAGTTTTCCTACAAACGTACCGAACGCCATATCAGTTCCAGCATGGATATTGTCGTGCAACGTATGCTGCAATTTATTGAATGAATTTATTTATGATAAATACGTTGGATTTGAAAAAAAAAATAATTTGTAGTTGATTGACGTGCAAACAATGTACACAAAATATTATAAATATTCCAAAATATTATAAATACTCCAAGTAACATATAAAGTTTATCTTTAAATCCATACCGCAAAAAAAAACTTTTTTTTCGCATTTGAAAAATTATTTTAAAAAGAATAGAACAATCACAAAAATCAAACAATAGAACTGCGACACTACTGGGATGTAAAAAACAACTCGGTTTTGAGCCTTTCTGTGGCCACACAGAAGAAGCGACATCAATAGGCTGGAATCGGATTGGGCTGAGTAAAAATCGAATTGCCATTGGAAGCAATCTGCAGGACAACGACAGCGGCAGGCAAAACCATTCATAAGATCTTCTGATATGGAGCATAAACTACTGAAGCTAAGAAGAAGCGACCTACGTTTTTTTTAGTCAGATGCTTCTACACAGGTCATAATTCCCTCAGGTGCCACCTGCAAAACTGGAGGCCTAGGGGCGAGTACAATAAATCTTCTAGGTAGCGGTAGCACTTTATTCTACAGAATCCTACGTAGGGCGGTCGTAAGACCTACATTCGGATGATTATTGGCACGCGTCAAAATATTTTTCAAAGGATTCATAGAGTAGCTTGCATTCTCTTCAGCAGGAAATCCTTCCCGTTTGTTTATTGGTAGGGATGTAAACTGTGAGCAAGTCTTTCTCTCTCGGTGTGGCCGTATCCCGCATCTAATTTATTGAATAATTCCACTATCTTTTCTTACAATTATCAACCAAGTCTCAGTAGAATAGTAAAGCCGAGTCCATACTTCACTTACTTCGGCAGAAAAAAAAAAATTGTGCATATTTCTGGAATAAAATGGGACTTATTACGATGGTTTCTAATAGGTTTGATGTGCGTCGAGTTCGTAAATGAGAAAAAGAGGAAAAGATTTAACCTAAATTTTTTTATTCAATAATAGTATAAAAACATGTATCTCATGTTAAATATTTATATATATGTATTTCAAAACTAAATATGCATTTTAATACATTTAAGAATAGAATATTTATAATTTTATAATTAAACGTATTAAAGTAAACTTAATTTCAGTTGATATTATTTAATCCATTAACGGCATTCAAATGAGATTAAAATTAGCAGTAGTGTAGCTCAGTTTATTAACCTATGCTGCTCATCTCACTTAAAATTTATTTTAATTTTATTTATAAATTTATATTTTTTTTGTTTGCTTTTCTTGCGAAGAAGAGTCTTATCGGGATAATAATAATAATGCGTAAACAATTGGATGTCTTTTGTCGTCTAATGTCTTACAATTAATAATAACATTATTTAGTCACATCTACACGACATTTTATCTCTTTTTTTTTTTTTTTTTTTTTTAATCACCATGGTAAAGACGAAACAAAAGGGGGAAAAATTGTAATAGTAAAAGAAAGTGAGAGACAAAAAAAATGAGAAATAAAAAAAAGAAAAGCTATAACTACTAATGCGTACAGTTTTTCTAAGCGTAATTTAAAATTTACACAAAACCAAAATTTTTGGATTTAATAGCCAACAACAATTTACTGCGCAATATTGACTTGCTGGAGTACAATGGTATGTAAAGTCGGGAGATGCAAGTGTTCGCTGTTGGTAAATGTGTGTCATCAGCTGGGCGGATTGTGACCGAAGGAAGTGGTTGAAAACCCTCCTCGGACGCTGGCAATGCTGGTGAACCAGTCCAAAAATATACCTGAAATTGTTCATACGACGCACATATTATTCAGGTCATAACTGTTAAAGTCCCGAATTATTATTTTTCATTACCAAATCTTGACGCTCTAAAGTGTTCATCTTTTCGACAATACTCCAAAACCAACGCTTAAATTTCAGCAGCTTATCTGACCCCTCATTAGATTCGTCATTGAATGTAGTGTACGATATTAAAGTTGACACGTCAATGTCTCCAACACCATTTAAAAGTAATCGTAGGTCTTCCGCTGTCAAATTCTGCATACAATTGTCGGGCAATACATCGAAAACCCCATCCTTTAATGCCTATACGAATTTGTTAATCATCATAATCTTATGTTTTCAATATATGAACGCAATTGCTTTACTATTACCTCTAAAGCTTTTTCTTGTGCTTTAATTAATCTATATTCGGTATAGCGTCTAATATATTCGAAGAGATTTTGAGAAGTGACTTGAATTTCTCGGCCACCAGATATCAATTCAACACTGCCACCTCCTTCTTCCCTCATCAAATCAATGCTAAGATAGAAGAAGATGAGGATATTATAATCCACACCACTACATTAACTTTTCATGCTGCTTAGAATACTCAGAAGAGATATATGGGCAAATCGGATGTTATTTTCAATTCACCCACCAATCATGCATGCGAACAGATGTTAGAATTATGAATTACTTTTACAACATCTCCTAAATGTATGAAAATGCAGTTCGAACTTTGGCTTTAACAAATATGTGAGAGAAAACTTAAGCTTTTCTTAGATATTCGATGGGTCAGTTTAAAACCCGGTTACTATACAACTATAACTTGTGATGCCTATATCAGACGTCAACGTAAAACTGGTAAAATATATTTAGCCAGAACATTGAAAACTTTAAAGTAAAATGAGTGTGATAAGTTTGCAAACACACACACACACACACACACTACAGATAGGAAACTAATTTAGCCCCATTGCAATGGATATCCAAATATATCTTACATGTATTCAGAAGAGAATTTTGAACGAGCAAAGGGATTGACGGCCTAATAACTTTCCATGTTCCTATGTTCATGTTACAAGCTGCAATTTTCGAATCGAATTTCAATACCGTTCCCCGCCATACAAAGTGTCGAATTTGAAAAATTTCTGATATGAAATATATTTGTGAATTTTTTTTTAATTAAAAACAACAGATGAGAAACAATATTTTCCCATAATAAATATGAATGTGCAAACAAAAACTATTCAACCTCGTCCCACAAAATAAATCAATAAAATGTACCCTTTAGTAATATAAAAGTTGGTCTAAAATTGCGATTTGGCATTTTAATTTAATTTTAAGTTAAGGACTAAAATGAGTCTATTTTTCATGCCTATTCTCATATATGGTCGCTTTATGAAAAATAAGGCTTTCTCTGACAACAAATAATTGAAAAATTGCATTAGGTAAGTGGTGGTGGGCATTTTCAGACCGACCTAGTCGGACTATAGGGTTTTTACTTGTTTATATATATATATATATGTATATATGTAATCTTAAACAATGCTCAAAACTTACACGAAAAACAATTCCATACGGCTGATAGCATCTTCACCTTCCACCGTTTGTGAATTTTGAATAAGTTGTCTAAACGATTCGTAAATTGTGGGGTCGAAGAAGGCTAGATCATGAAATTTAATTTTGCGCCCAAGTATATATTTAAGGACATGTCTTTGAAGAAACAGAGGTAACAGCTCGTTTTGCAGAAGGCAAAGTCCAATTAATCTGCGAACAAATCAAGAAATATTTAATTATTTATAAAAATGAAAAATCTATACGCAAATCTTCTTACCTTCCAATATTCCTAAAAGCATTTATGCGCTCTAATGAGCCGTATCCCTGGCGTGGCGTGTAAAAGCCTCTCTTGCCAGGCATATAGAATAATGGCTCGTTATCTTCAACGTGACACTGCTCTAACATAACAACTGGGCTCATCTTTTTCGATTGAGACGACGAGGGACTGCATGCGTCGGTTTTTTGTTTTATGATATCCAAGGCCTCGTTAACTTTCTGCCTTAGCATATCTTCCGAGGATAGAATTGATAATAGATGTGGAGTCGGAATTTCTAGGAGCATTCCAGTTATTTTCGATGCATGCGGCGGACTCATTGAATATATCTATATTTCATAAACATTAGAAATTAATTACATCCTGCATGCAATTGAAGGAATTATTCTTGTAACATACTTTCGAATGTAAACGTTCTCCCAGTTGCTGCAAATGCATTGTTAGATGTTCGTTTGGATTATCGTTTGAATTATCTAAAAATTTTAAAAATATTTTCGCATTATATGTTGTAAACAATAACGATTAAAATTAGAAATAGGCTTTTTCACGCGACAAAGTAAACAAGTACAAATAATACAGAGGACATGGCTCAAAAATATAGAACAGTCGCCTTAAATGAAGACGTATATGAATCAAAGTAACAATTTTGATCTTAATCTGTTGATGTTATAAAGATTTTTTACTTGGAATTTTCTAAACATACTTTGCCTTGACAGACAGAAGGGCAAGCATTTCAAGCCGACCAAGATTATGTGCATAGTGCTTTCATAATCTCTTCGTCGTAGAAGATGTTAGTTAACGAAATATTTGAATTTATGGAGGAATCCTTAATATTTTTCGTATGCAATGATATTATCTACCTGTGTTTGTTGTAACAGGTATGTACGGCCTCGCGTCATAGTTTAAAGATTTTCTTTCTCGCGCTGTACGCCAAAGGATTTTACTGCTTGTTCCACGTCTCTGTAGTGTAGGTGGATCGCGACCCGATGCTCCACGATTTCTTAGAATACTTGAGAAGGGTACACCGTATTTACTATTATTGCTGTTTCCCACTTGCGCAGTTTCTAAGTTTGGCATCTTGGAAGTTGCTAAAAGTGCCTCCGATATCGATGTGTAAAAACTACGAGCAACACCCGAGCCTTCACCAGGTTCATCTTTAAAAGTTACTTTCACTCGATTGAACGTTAACGGCGGATGTACTCGGCGATTTTGGTTCCCAAATTGTGTGTTCAATTCTTTAAATGTTTGAATTATTAAACAGTCGCGATTACGTTCTAGTTTGCATAGAATTAAATCACGTTGTTGGCCGTTGCGCAATTTCTCCATATGCCGTCTGAAGCGCATTTCTTTAACGGGAAATCCCCGTAATTCCGGCAAAACAGATCCATGCTCCATTCCCACGTCGTCCATAAAAACACGACCAAATAAATCGAGTGTTAATTTCCAACGACCCAGGAGAAAATTCCATGAAGGTGTCGAATCAGACGAAAATTTTTGGCATAAATGTTGGCCACGAACCGGAAATATAAATGGATTCACTTTGGGTTGTCCATTTACGTTTTTACTCTCGTCAACCGATGCCGACGTAGTGACGAACTTTTGCGATTCGGCCACATTTTCGTTCACACTTTTTGCTGCGCAACCGCTTGCTCGGACAATAACACTTCGCACTACTGACGAAGATGTGCTTGCTTCGGTCTGCTGCATCATATCCGATTCATTATTTCGAATATTTTTATTAGGTGTTACTATAACATCTGGTCGAGTCGTCATGACATTAGTTTGATCGTTTCCATTGGAATTGATCAATTTCTCAGAAGCGTCATTCTCAACATCCATCGCCTCGCGATCATCACATTTTTCAGATGATTCGGATGTTTTCGCTTCTTCAGCATACTGCTTTTTTTTTAACTGCACATATACGTTACCACCTGAGTCACTTTCCGCATTCAAATCCATATTCACGGAAATATTCGATGAGGAAGGATTTGAATTCTTAGTTAAACGTTCGGATGTTTTCTCATCCACTTTATTTGATGTTGTTGGTTCTTCTGAAGGAGAGAATTTATCTTGGTCTGCCAAAGTAATTGAATAATTAGAAAAACCTAATTTCGTAGGAGGGAAATCCAAAAAACTAGTGGACAAATTGCTCTCGACGTTATGTTCTCTGGGCGATACTATCAGAGGGAGATTTGCGAAAAGATCCTGTCGCTTAGAATTCGGTTGCAAAAGATGTGGCTTATCTGCTAAGGGTATAGCAACGTCAAGTGGCATGTCGAAACCGTCTGGTGCTAAACACCCTAGGCTAAGGGTGGAATCTGAACGTGTAAAAAATGAATGACGTCGCGTGGTATTTGATGATGAAGCGTTCAATGGAATTCCACTACCAACAAGATCGGTATAAGCATCGTCACCGGCTATGTTGGAAATTTCATCATCGGTGTCATCGTTCTCATTTGCGTTAAGGGTACTGTTTGAGACGCCGATATTTTTTTCATAGAAATTTGAATCGTTACGCATGTAATAGATAAAACCATCTAAAACGAAAGCAATATGACGTTGAGCTGTAATATCCAAAACGGGTAAAGCATCACGGTGTTCTGAGGTGTGAGCGCGCATTAAAGATAAGCAATAAGTAAAAAAATCTCGCCGAGACGAAGAACCTATTTTAATGAAAATACATTAAAGTTAAGTACCAGCTAAGATAATTGCTAAGTGGAAAAAGTGATTATTTACCCAGAATATTCATTCCGACTGAGGAATTTCCTCCATTGTTTGTTTGATTTGGATTGTTTTGCGCTGTTAAATTAAGCGGATGTAGCGGATGGGCAGGGTCTGTGTAGTTTGTTAAGTAGGCACCAAATTTTAGTTGAGCTTCAGTACTATCCATTATTGAAAACATCCAATCCCAAGTAGGTTTGAAGCACTTTTCAACGTATGCCTATAAACAGCAAAGTTATTATGATATCATTTACTTATTATTATTATTATTTATGTAGACATACCTGTAATTCATTGGCAACTTCAGGTTTAATTTTTAGAGATGTCTCAATATCATTCGTAACATTATAAAACAAATTGCTTAAAAGTTCTGAAATCTGCCGAACAATTATTCCAAAGCCTCGGGCCAAATTACTTGATGTTGTCGCCATGGTATGATGTTCTTGAGGCGGAGCAGCTACGGTTGTACTTGCTGGCACCGTCGATCGCCGTAACGCCATTGGATCTATAAATATTAAACTGGAACCAGCCGGCACGCGTACAGTCGATCGTGCAGTGTCGCGGCTACGTATGGCCCATTGCATTGACTGAGGCGCTAAATCGCTACGATTATTTGAGTTTGTATTACGGCGCTCCAACTGATGATCCGCAAAATTAAATTCGTCATCATCGTGATCGTCAGTTTCCCCATCTTCCGAGCCCTCTTCTTCCTGAGGCGAAGAATCTCCCGATTCATCTTCGAGGAACAAAGCACCGATATCTGTAATGGTAGAATACTTTAACTCTTAAACACCAAAGATATATCAACATATACATTGTGTTTAATGCATGCAAAAGCTAAATGATAAATAAGTTTTATAAGAAATTTAAACCTGTTTCAGATCCAACTGTTGCCCCAGTTTGCACACTCCTTTGTGCATCCTGATTGCTCTGATTGTCATCGGAATCGGATTCGGTTTCAGGCTCATTAAATGTGTATTCATTATCGCTTTCATCATCCTGAATACCTTCCTCGTTTCGACTGGTTTCCAAGAGATCTTCATCCTGATTGTGTGTACCCGTCTCCCGATTTGGAGGCTCCTCACTTTCAGACGCATGTCGCAAGGCTACCACAACGAATAAAATTTTAATAATGTACGCATTACGCGCTTTGATAATTTGCAATAGTTCCTTTACCTATTCCATCTATTCCATAATTTGACTGGAAATTAAACGCCGATGTAGAGTCATTCACTGCTTCGTTTACTGAAGACGTTTCGATAGCAGTTTCCGTGGCTAACGACGGCGCTAAGGGCTCTACGCTGAATAAATCGTCGGAATTCTAAAATGTCGAATAAAATCCAGGATGTGAGTTCAACTTGAATAAAAATAGTTCAGTAATTTACAGTCTGTACACTACCATCTACCTCCTACCACCTTTGATACATATTAAATTAACTTTATAAACACAATAAAAAATTCTAGCAGAATAAGCGACTTGGGTATTCAGTTGATGTATATGGATTAATAAAATTAAATTACCCCTATATTTCGCTGTTAACCCCGTTACCATAAATGACATATATAGACGTTTATAACACTTCTATATTTAGTATTATAAAACAAAAAAAAAAGAAAAGGAAGGATATTTTTGGAAGCACTTGCTGACTTTGAATAATTATTTAGTATTAAAGTTAAAAGAATCACTTACCTCAATGTTAGATGAAGCCATAAAAGGAGCCGTTGGCCGTACAACACCCAATCTTACGGGAGCTATTAAAGCTTCAGTTACTTCGCAAAGTTCTTGAATAGCAATTTTATGTAACGTCTGAAATACTTTTATACAGCTTTGGATGTGCTTATGAGGCATTGTCAGAGATCTACGCCGCTCGGGATTCGGAAATTTTTCCAAATTAAAAATAACAAAGACTCTTGCTACCGATCGCACGAACCGGCGAGCAACTGCCTCAGCATCCTCCATGCGGCCTGGTACAGTGTCGTTTTGCATTTCCCGTACCAGAGTTACAAGCAATGTATCTAAATGGTCGGTTGAGCATTTCACAAACAGATTGTGAGTAAACTTATCAAGTAAGGTCGAGCCATGCTGATTTCTTAAATAAATGTTATAGTTTTCGGCACCAGAGTTATCCGTGGAGTTCGGCGGTTGTTGTGGTGTACTTTCGCATTTATCTGCACCAGTCATTATCATTGAGCGTACAGCATGCCAATCAATTAAGAGGCGCTCCAATGCACGCCGTGCAAACTTTGGCGGTTCTAAATCATGATCGGGCATGTTCACATCCATGTCAATAGAAGATGATTTTCGTGTTGATGCACCACTGCCGCCTGAGCCACCAGCACCTCCAGCTACATTACGCATTCGAGCATTTGCTCTATATTGACGCTGTTCAACCGCCTGCCGTCCGACTGTTTGAATTAGAAACAGCAATATCGATTCGCCTTTCGAGTTAAATTTAGTAACCAAATCTGTGCACGATGCAAGCTTACTTAACAAAGAAAATCGTTTAGTTTGGTTACCGGCGATTAGAGCCTTACATTTGCACTTTTCCCAACAATCGCAATAAGCCGTTGGAGAAGTACGTTTTAGTTTGCAATCGTGCCCCTTATGACAAACGCGAGCACATTCCGTACAACAACATAACGAGTCAGTTAAACCGCATGTCTTGCATTCAAATATGTTTTGATTTATGTGATCAGCACCAGTCCAAGTAAAGGAACACGTATCATTATAACATATAACGTGCAACGGCGACTGATCTGGAGGCGAACCAACGGGAAATATCATCGTATCTTTCAGAGTGGGATCTTTGTCCGAAAGCGCTAATATTGTTTTCAGCAGTATTAAACCTGCTTCGTAGGCTCTACTATATACAGCCAACATGAATGGAGTTTGTCCCTGGGCATCCTTCGTACTAAGTAACTGATAAAGAAATGGTCGCAATGATAAACTTGAGCACAATTGTTGTAGTATTAATGTCGCGTGCTCACGGCGTTGAATTGGATCGAATACATAGTTAGGCGCGCAAATTTTTAATGAACTCGGGCAGTTAGTGTTCGGTTTTGATATTTCATCATCAGTGCTATTACTCATTACAACGTCACTCAAGTTCGCAGGAGTAGTATTAGCACTTGTGTCCATTGCCCATGGGGCCATATACATACCCTCTTCAGTGTTGTTAGCGCCACTTAAGACAGCATTGTTAGCACCAACTGAATGCTCCAATTCCGAATTCATCAAGCGATTCAATTCACGGAGGCTGACTGTGCGGCCCTCGCGGATTGTTGAAGAACCGGATATAGCCATAGCAGCTGAAACTCCCGGAAAAACGGATGAGTTTGTTGCGTTTGTCGTTGCAGATCCCCCCGAAGAGTTTTCAATTACGGCAGGTACACTTCCGCTTGTAGTAAAAACTGATGTGGATGGTGCTGGGAGTATGCGTGATGTAACTGTGGATACAGTGGTAATCTTCTTATCGTCCGCGTCCTTGTTAGTATTAGGAGAACACATTATAACACAAGCATGGAACATGTTTCGTGCCCCATCACAATGCTCTTCCACTACGGCTGATATTTCATTTCGATCCGCTTTTTCCAGACGATTTAAAGTTGCAAATGCATTTTTCACATCGCAGCGGAGAATATGCGGCAAAAGCGTCTGGGTCTCAAATAACAGCGCAGTCATGCAAACTTTCGACTTCTGATTGTTGCTGCTTGCCATACCCAAAGAGATTGTTGTCATTGCTACAGCCTTAACAGGAGGCAGGTCGAACCACTGAGGATCCTTAATGGATCCAGCACAATCTTTTGCCATTGGGTAGAGCGCCCTATTTCCATCACGCAGTACTATTGTGCTTGTATTACCATTGCAATCATTATTACAAACCATAGTGATGTTATTCGCGCAAGAGCCAATGAAGGAGGCACTATCTGTAGGAAATTGGCAATTTTGCTCTTGCTTGCTGTTGTATAGGTTATAAAGGCTATAATGGAGTTTAGGACCAACTTTTTTTATTACATGTATGCCACGTAAATCTACTGCCAGTGAAAGTAACTGGAATGCAGATGGATCGCTACCGTGACTGATGTTAATCTTTTTAGGTAATTTCTGCAACCAATCGGGACCGCGCGAAGTCATCGCGGTTTTGTATACTTGGACGTCCTCGCGACGCAATAATCGACATTGCTGCCAGTCATCTTCTTTTCCCTCTCCACCACTGCCACTGCCTACAGCTGCTGAAGGAACAGTAGAAGACGCAGGAAAACGTACCGCCACAAAATCACCATCAACTTTAAGAACTCTTCCGATTGGACCTATTTTATCTTCGACGAAAACCACATCCTTCAGTTGCCACGTCTCTTCATCCTTTTTGTTATCGGATGGGTCGTCTTTGGTCGCCATGCGTTTAGTTCTTTTATGTGAAGTTACGCTGCCAGTATCACTGCATGTACTTGATGCTGGCGAAGGCGGCGGTGGCATATCAATTCTGTCAGTTGTCTCCTTATTAGATGTGGTTGCCTTAGTATTTGTCGAGTTCTGAAGACTTCCAACATTTGCCACCTTCGTAATTTCTTTATCAACAGCGCAACCTGAATTAACCACAGTTCCACTTGAACCAACTAATTGAACTTTATCTCCAAAACCAGTGGCTGTTACATTGAGAATCTTAAATCTGCAGACGTCATTTGAATCCCAGACGGAATTTAAAAGCTGTCCTACTTTTGGTACACCGTTAGCGCATGTAAATCCTATTGAGCCTGTTTGATACTTGGGGCATTTTTTCATTATTACTTGCGTACCGACAACGATATCCGTAGTCATTGCCTTTAATGGCTTTTTCGCTTTCGTTCTATATTTATCCCATAAACAACGGCGCTGATCGAAGGGTAGAACACCCCACCAATAAACGTTATTGTTTTCGGTGCGAACGGCTGTGTAGAGCGAGCAAACGTTTACAGATGCGATTGGGTCCATAATAAATTCGCTAAATAAAATAGACGCATGTTCAAGTTTAGTGCCAATGTATCCCAATTGTTCGTCCATCCAAGTTGCTACTCGGTCACTTTCTGTTACCACAGAGCATCGTATAAAATTGGCCGAAATATCCTCCACTTTTTCTGTTATGTTTAAAGGCAATGTCTTGGGATGGTATATATTTTCAACCTATAAAATCAATGGTTCTTACCGGCATACATTTAATTACAGATAAGAATATGTGGATTATTACCTCCGATTTGTAAGGTTCCATTTCCGTCCATTTCCATTGGTGCAAGTCACCTGCTTCAGAAATAGCTACAAATTCAGAGTAAAGGGCAGCGATCTTTTGAAAACGTAATGAATTACTTTTATCATGCCACGGCTGCAATTCTTCAGAAATCCAAATTGGAGAACTCATCGTTAAAGGATCCTTTTTCTTTGAATCTTAAAAATAAAAATATATTTTCAAAACAATGCATATTAAAAAATAACGTCACGATTTTGTGAAAATTTATAAAAAAAATGTTTTGGATTCTCTATTCTTCTAGATCAGAATTAATCCTTCCTTAAACTGGAAAAAAATTAGATTAAGTAAACGCAAGTTTCATAATCTAAAATTTTGAATGATTTGAAGAAGCAAATAAAAAATAGACTCATACCTCCTTCTTTATCCCAAACATAATCGTCTATATTTGGCCAACGTCTAGGCACATAATATTGGCGATCTCTCCACCTGCTAAACGCTTCACGTTCAGCACTAACTGAAGAGATTTGTGCCGACAAACTATTCGCTCCAGTTAATGTGTTACTTCCGGAAGCGGAAGGTCTTGCCTGATTACTTTCAGACGCACCTGAGTTCGATTGGTTACGTTCACTACGTATGCGATCAAACAGTAAGCTATGGTAAAACAACTTTAATATAATTCTCATTGTCTTTGCAATATTGAAAATAATTAATAACGGGATACTTTGCGTGTAAACTTGTTTTAGTTTCATAATGATACTTACTTTCTTATGCTAGAGTAATTGCTAAAGATTTCTTCTGTAAAAAGACCATCCGAAGGATCAATTATTACACTATTGTTATCTCCATGGAAGCCGTTGTCCAAAAGTGATATTAAATCCTCCGGAACGTAATTATCACCTCCCTCCTCAGTATCCTCAGCGTCCTCGTCGTCTCGAGAGAGCAGGTTATTTACGGCCAAATTAACATCTAAGTTTGTACGCTAGACGTAAGAATAAAATGATCGTATCTTAACCAGAAATATATAAAATATGTCCACACCTGTAATTCTCTTATAATAAGGCTTCGACTCTTGCCTTGCAGCACTACCTCAGCTTGTGAAATAAGTTCTTCCGGCACGTACGTTGCTGGTACTGTAACCAAAGGTCGACTAGATGAACTACCACCTATAATCACACCTGTGCTTCTTGAACCTGAACTCTGGCCCCCTGAACTTGAGCGGCCACTTGTTCGCATCAAACGTGCGCGAGAACGTGCCAATTGGCGGGATGTTGATTGCGCCGTCGTTTTCGAAGGATTGGAAGCATTCGTTGAATTATTCCCACTGCTGGAAGAAAAAAAACATGGAGGAATTACTTGTGTCTAAAATTAATTTTCAAAGAATTGTGTTGGTAGTTACGTTTTTGAAGAATCAGATTTGCTTAAATCTAAGCGTTCAGAATTTATCGAGAAGGCAACACGAAAGGCTTTACCATCTTCCAAAAGAACACCGATATGATTAGGCCCTATTACCACTTCTTTAACTGGGATCTTAAGCTGCTCAAATATTCGATGTGTACCAAATCCAAACTTATTTACCTTGTCGGAGACTTCACGAAGTCTGAAACAAAAGAAACGAGAAATTAAGTATATAAGTAAAACGCATTCCTATTTCACTGCGGCTAAGATAAATAGAAAATCGCAATGCACTAATCAATAACGGAAAAAAATGTTAATTCATCCCTATAGAGAGTGCTTCATTAAAACATATTAATCAATCTTCCATTTTTACAAAAAAATGCATTCTTCCACCTTTACGTCCTCTAAATTTTCTCATCATTCCTTCTGACGGTTTGATGTTATTAGTTATATTATTCATATGCCAGACGCTCGTAAAATTAATGTGGTTCCTTCCAATCTGAGCCTCAGACCTCAACCTTAAAAAATTTGAAAAAGGAAGCGTTTTCAAAATGCTATAAATTAAAACCAGAACGAATACCATACGGCGCATAGACAAACTGACTTGGAGCGAAAACACGTGTTTCGCATGAAAGCGGGAGCACCAGTGACCGTTGAAGTCACTTTATAGGCTGTAACTTACATTTTATATAATCCATATAATCTGCGATGACACAGATTTAAGGTTCTATAAGAATCGTACCAGAATAGTTGTATGCGTGCATACGTGCGCTTAAGGAAAAATAACCTCAACAGAGCCTATCTACTACCAAAAGTCGTTTGTAATTTAATGTTATGGTTGTTGTAAAAAAAGAGAAAAGAACGAAAATTAGTACCCCAAGGCATTTAAGTGGTGGCATATAAATGCATATATAAATCAGTATCAATCAGTACATTTCCTTCATATCCTTTTCCCTTTTTTCTTTTTAAACCGTACATTTTTGTTCCTCTAATAATAAAGTTAACAATCGAATTAATGATAATTTTAGTCCAAAAGAATGCACATACAAACGCGCACATGAACTTTTTCAATTTACACTAACTTTTCCTCACCTTTCAATAAATTGTTCATCTGATCCAGGGAGTGGTTGTAAGACAAATTGTAAGGAAGCCATAGCTGATTAATTATATTTTACTCAAATTTATTATTAATTAACCGCTTTGCATTCCACTTCGTGTTTGATTTTTTATTAAGAATAGAGATTGTACGCCAGGAAATGTATGAAGAAAATACAATAGATTACCGACTCACACTCACTGCACTGCTATTTTAACAGTTGCAAAATTTTGCATCTAAAAGGTCACTCCCAAATTAATGAAATTTCATTTTCGAAGTGTTCAACGTTTAAACTTAATAATTTTTATGCGCTAAAATGAATTTAAACAAGTTAGATTTACGCTTTCAAATATATACCAATGACCAAGGAAAACGTAAACAGCAAAATGTAGAAGAATTATTTGAAATTTAAAATAAGTTTTCAAACTTTTATTGTTACATTATATTATTCTAGATATTTTATCTTTTTTCAAGGCAAATTCTTAGGTATAATTCGTAAGTTTATAAATTTGCCGAATGAAAAACATTTAGTCAAACGAACGTCGTGTTGAAAACAAGGTCTAATAATAAATTGTAAACCAATGTGAGAAATAAGAATTGCTTGAAAATGTTTATTTATTTGTTATGTTGAACGAATAATGGTAGGTCGACTTTGTGCTCTATAATTTTTGCAGAATGAAATTTTCGCGTTTTTGTGAATAACAGCCCTGTCTAATAAAAGACTATATTATGTATGTTTGTGTGTTGTTGCTGTAAAAGTAGTATCGTGTGCCATTTGTTGCTGTAAATCTGGATCCGTGGGTGTTTGTTGCTGTAAAGGTAGCACAGTGTGTGGCTAGAATTGCTTAAACGTTTTGAATCAAAAAATATTTCAATCTTTTTGACCAACTAGACCATAACCTCTTCGTAATAATAATAGAAATGTGAATTCAATAATAACACTGTGGTCAAACTTATATACAATTAGCAAGTCCAAGAGAGCAGTTCATAAAAATCGGTTGAGATTCTCTCTGGCATATTTATTTTTACAAATTATGGGGATTTATAGAAATAAATAAAACAAATATACAAAAAAAGAAACTTGCAATTTGAATAGAATTTATAACATAACCTAATAACATAAGTAATGATTAATATTAAAAAGAATAAAAAGATTATTGAAATGAAAACGTGTGTCCGAGACATTTTACTTTCCCATTCTCTCACAATAAAAAAGTAGCAAATAAAAGAGAAAAACCTAAAAATTTTCAACAAAATTTATTGCAATAACCATTAAATCCGAATTATAATTTCCTGAAATTTGAAATATAAATTCTAATGTGGACTCGGCACTGTCGTAAATGAATTTGAATAACTTTTCATTTAACGTTTGTTCTATTCAATTAATTTTTTTGCTTTGAAATATCTACGCAGATAGAGTACTTGCCAAGTAGCTAGTCCCAACAGACAGCACATGCTAAAAATACTAAAGAATAGCACGCGACTGTTTGTCTTCTCTGTAAAAAATTAAGAAATAGTTACAAAGAATAAGAAGAAGATTATTGATTTATTAGCATACCGTTAGTATCCCTCATTTCTTCCTCTCTAACGCGCATCAAAGCAAAGTCTCTTACAATGGAATCTGATAAGTCTTCCAATCTTTTCAAATCAACCTCAAGCGGCTTTAATTTGGAAGCCTCTCCGATCTAAAAGTAAAAATTATTTATGGAGATACTTAGTTTACTTTATTGCATTGATCATTAATTTGCAAAAAACAATTTATCTACTGGAATGTGAGGGATTATCTATAACTCATTTTTTTTTTTTGGAACCAATTAGAGATAGCTAATGTAGTAAATCTCCGGTATATAATTAAATACATTAAAGCACAAATAAAACATTTACATAAATTTGATTAGAAGTTATTCATGTGTTGATAGTTTTGGTTGAGATAAATTTGCCCCCATTTCTGTTACAGTGCAGTTAATTCTATTAGAGAGCAACGAATTCTGTTAAAGAGTAATGAACTCTGTTAAAAAGCAACGGACTCTGTTAAAGTGGAATTGGAAAATCTTAAACCAAGCTGAAGAAAGGATTACACCGAACGGTATACCGCCCATCGGTTAGATGAAATTAGCTTGAAACTTGTGGATCATATTATCTATTTTCAATTAATAAGAAGTTGGTTACAACTTTAATATCGCTGCTTCGCTTTTTTACATGCGTAAAGTTAATAATATATATCGCTATAAACAGACCGAGAAGTCGAAGATTAAGCTGGAATTTTTCACTTGTAGCTATATTTACTATACCGGAAATAACCAAAGTAGAAATTGTTTTTGAGAGACTATTAATATACTTACACCTTCGTAGCTTTTGGTTTCAACTCCTTTTTTCGTAACCAGAGATACTTCCTGAACAATTCCTCGTTTGTCTGTAAGTACACAAAAAAAAATATTATTAGACTCAACTTACTTTTATGAAACAAAAAAAGGGTTTTTCGTTCTCAATAGCATTTGTTATTGAATACGTTACTGTTCGTTCCATCGTACGTAATATAACATATAGATTTAATGAAAGGTCGAAGGGATTGGCATGCCCTAGTTGTCCTATAAACATGAACTTAACTAAGAAAGATATGATTAATGCCAATTGGTAATGCGATTATCTCCTTTGAAAGGATCGGGCATATGAATCAATATAAGATAATCAATATTCTTAAACTCCTATTTTCAGTTTGTTGCATTCACTGCAACAGATTGTTGCGAAAAAAAATCAAAGGAAAAGTTAATAATATTTTCACTGCATCCAAAAAATGTAGCCCAATTTCATTGGAAAACCCTGTCCGGGAGAACAGGAAAAGTTGTATTCAGTCTTTTATGTATAAATATATAGAAATACTTACGTGTTGGCACCTTCGAAATAAAGCATATTTCGTAAGTCTCATAAACTTCTGACATAAAACTGAACTTTCCTTTGGTAATTTGTTCTTTCTGAGATAAAATATGTCCTTTCGTGTCACGCGCCTAAAAAATCGATGAAAATTTCGTGTATAAAAGGTATTTTTTCCCTTTCAAAGAAAATGTACTTACGATATAATCAATTACTTGCCCTGGAACGTCTGAAACTTCGTATTCGCCCATCACTAGCTGATTTGCTTGTATATCTTCTTTAAGACATTTTTGTGTGTTTGGTGCCAAATGAAACATAATTGCATAAACGCAATTGATTTGACTCAATGCAGAAAAAAATGCGAAAAAAGTTACAAAATATACATTCATTGCCTCCGCTAAGTTTCCAATCGCAGCTTTATATTAAAAAAACTTTAAAGATTTACACAGTAAATGAACCAGATGAGTTGGCCTCAAAGATTTTGTCGACAGGTAAAGCGCTGATTGTACAAATTTACCGCAGCTTACAATTGCTGTCAAACTGTCAGGCAAATCGTATTGTATAAAAACTTTCGTATAAGTATTAGATTTTGTGAATGCCGTAAACAATGGATTGTGGGGATGAGCTTCAATGATAAAACATATCCTTTATTTCGACACACAATTTTTTTACACGAGTTGTGCAGCTTAACATCCATACAATCTAGCAAAAAAAATTAACTTATTTTGGTTTTGCAACAAATAGCCGGTTCGTAAGTAAAACGTAAACCGTAAGTTTGAAAAGCTCTGTTATAAACCAAACTAAATAATGTCTTAAGAGTATTAATATTTTATTTAAGGATGCATTTTCCCGACTTTCTACGGAGAAATGGGAAAAATCTATTATATGAATGATTACATAAAAGAATTTTTTATCGGAGCAAATTTGCAGTTAGCGTTGTTTTATCTCTAAACATTATTGGTTGGCAAGGCTGTAGACTCGCAGAGTTGTCAGCTTTGCATCGAGACGCAATGTGTGTTTGTGAAATAGGCGAGTACTGCGCCGGTATAAGCTAGCTAAAGTGAAGCGGAAACTTTAAAAATGTTTAATAATTTCTTTTTCTGTTTATTTTTGGCGTATTAACGAATTGCAATATAGAATTAACATATCCTATTTCAACTAGCGCTCTTTTACACTTTTTGAACAGTAAATATTCACATGTAAAATTTAAACAGTTGTTTCATTTAAAATATTAACAGTTTTTTCTACATTTGGTTTTTCGTTTAAAATAACCTTTGCGTTCGAGGTGCCCTGCTCCGTACTGGTACATTCCTTCGAATTATAAATCAATTCTTCATTTTCTCCAATAGACTTAATGTGAACGTAACGTGTTTTTGCCGAATTGGTGCAGTTATAATCAATAGAATGATCTGCTGCAACATCCACTTGACATTGTTCTTTCCAAAGGACCTCATCCTTAACTGTTTCATTTATAAATTGCTGAAGTTCTTGAGAGATCTTACAGGAATGTTTTCCTAAAATGCATGCACAGAGATATATAAAAAATCACATATTCATTTGTACTGTCCGAATGTTACCTTTTCTATTCGCTATTCCACACTTCACAGATTAAGTGTATGTGGTCTTCGTGACCAAAGGATTCTTGATATTTTGCTTACTCTCAATTTAACAGCGTACGTCGTAATCTTTTTTTTTTTTTTTAAATGTCATCAAGACATATAAGCTTTTGCAGTTAATTTATGAACCTAGTCTCTTTTACACTTTTTTGGTCTCACACACACCAATTCTTTCATAAATTTTTTTAACTCATATATCACATTACATCTTACACATTTGAATTTACTCCTCCCTCTTCTGTTCTACCCTACGTGGCGGACGAGTAATATGCATATTTTAATAAAAATTATGAAAAAAGAACGTAGCACATGTATAACACGCAGAATTAAAAAAAACTGTAATCAAATAATCACTAAAACAAATAAATAGTAATATCATATACCAAATCTAACTCTGCGTTCATATTAGGCTTTTTTTACACATCCCAGCGAATTTTCACTTGTTAATTTGCTGAATAACAGGAGCAGAAGTAGAAACCTTTTCTCTTCCGATAAAGTTTTTCGACATAGATATCAGTAAATCAATAGTTTCCTGATTTTATTATCAAGAAGCATAAAAGCGTTCATTTACTATTTAATTTCTTTTTTAATGCAGCAAAATTTTTTGCGAAAAATAATTAAAATAAAAAAAATTTTCAGATACTCCAACAGAGAAAGATAATTTTTTTAAGTTATGGAAAGTTATACATCTCCACGAATGAGTCATCATCGAAGTCTCTCAATACGTCAAAGTGATATCCAATTTGTATACTCAAGTTATACCAAAGGTACTTTTGTGCAAAGACCAAATCGAACCAGACAACGTTTAATACCACTTACACCAGAAATACATAAGGTTATGATGGATTTCAACGCTTCACGGTCCAATACCAGCATCTCGGAGAAACAATTTTATAATACATTGTCTGTAACTAGTTTGGCAAGAGAAGAAGTACAAAATATATTGCACGAGCTCTCCATTCCCGATAAGTTTATACGCAAAGAGGAAATTGACGAACTAATTGAAAAATGCCTTAAGGAAAAGGTAACAATTGTGCAAGAGCAAGAAACAAAATCAACGCAGGAAAGTGAAGCCGATATTAATTAAGAAATAGAAGTTACTGTAGAAATGATGAATGAGAGCGATAAGAACAAATTTGAATTTTCGTGCTTGCAAATGACGAATTTTGGTATATTCTGTAACATTCTCTGCAATTAAGTTGTAGCTATATATTCATATATATTGTTTTTGACATAAAACTGAACTTTCCTTTGGTAATTTGTTCTTTCTGAGATAAAATATGTTCTTTCGTGTCGCGCGCCTAAAAAATCATCGAAAATTTCATGTGTGAAAGGTATTTTTTTCTGTTTGAAAGAAAATGTACTTACGATATAGTCAATTACTTGCCCCGAAACGTCTGAAACTTCGTATTCGCCCATCACTAGCTGATTTGCTTGTATATCTTCTTTAAAACATTTTTGTTTGTTTGATGCCAAATGAAACATAATTGCATAAACGCAATGTTGGAAAAAATGCGAAAAAAGTTACAAAATATAAGTTCATGGCCTCCGCTAAGTTTCCAATCGCAGCTTTATATTAAAAATATTTAAAGATTTACAGAGTAAATGAACCAGATGAGTTGGCTTCAAAGACAGGTAAAGCACTGATTGTACAAATTTACCGCAGCTTACAACTGCTGTCAAACTGTCAGTCAAATCGTATTGTATAAAAACTTTCGTACAAATATTACATTTTGTGAATGCCGTAAACAATGGATTGTGGGGATGAGCTTCAATGATAAAATATATCCTTTATTTCGACACACAATTTTTTTACACGAGTTGTGCAGCTTAACCTCCATACAATCTAGCAAAAAAAATTAACTTATTTTGGTTTTGCAACAAATAACCGGTTCGTAAGTAAAACGTAAACCGTAAGTTTGAAAAGCTCTGTTATAAACCAAACTAAATAATGTCTTAAGAGTATTAATATTTTATTTAAGGAAGCATTTTCCCGACTTTCTACGGAGAAATGGGAAAAATCTATTATAGGAATGATTACATAAAAGAAATTTTTTATCGGAGCAAATTTGCAGTTAGCGTTGTTTTATCTCTCAACATTATTGGTTGGCAAGACTGTAGATTCGCAGAGTTGTCAGCTTTGCATCGAGACGCAATGTCTGTTTGTGAAATAGGCGAGTATTGCGCCGGTATAAGCTAGCTAAAGTGAAGCGGAAACTTTAAAAATGTTTAATAATTTCTTTTTCTGTTTATTTTTGGCCTATTAACGAATTGCAATATAGAATTAACATATCCTATTTCAACTAGCGCGCTTTTACACTTTTTGAACAGTAAATATTCACATGTAAAATTTAAACAGTTGTTTCCTTTAAAATATTAACAGTTTTTTCTACATTTGGTTTTTCGTTTAAAATAACCTTTGCGTTCGAGGTGCCCTGCTCTGTACTGGTACATTCCGTCGAATTATAAATCAATTCTTCATTTTCTCCAATAGACTTAATGTGAACGTAACGTGTTTTTGCCGAATTGGTGCAGTTATAATCAATAGAATGATCTGCTGCAACATCCACTTGACATTGTTCTTTCCAAAGGACCTCATCCTTAAGTGTTTCATTTATAAATTGCTGAAGTTCTTGAGAGATCTTACAGGAATGTTTTCCTAAAATGCATGCACAGAGATATATAAAAAATCAAATATTCATTTGTACATTTCACCAAATTTTGTACTCTACAACAAATAAATAGCAGTGTTTAATTTTTTTTTTTTAAATAAGTCAAGCACTACTACATACAAAAAATTATTATAATTCAAAAAGCAAATATTAAAAATTGAAATAAAAAGCGAATTTGAAATAATTTAACAAATGATAAATGTCACATTTATTTAATATAAAATTCAAAAAAAAAAAAAAAAAACTACTTAAAAAGAGTAAAGAGAAATTATTAAATTATAAAATAAATCTTCGAGATAGTTAGACAAATATATAGTTTATGTACATACACACCCACACTTTCACAGAAAGCATTTTCAAAATCATTGTTTCATTTCCTTCGAATAGCTTTCCTAGTTTCTGAAATTAATGGATTAATTTCCAATCTGTGCGAAGATTTCATTTTTCCATTAGTGAATAATTAAAAAAAAAAAAAAACGTCTTAAATGTCCAAAACATTAATTGCAGAATAAGGCATCTTGCAAAAAAATTATTAGAAACTGATTTCTTACATATTGACTCTATAGATATAGCCTATTCGGTGAAATTCCTCAATAAAGGATTGCACCAGTATCATCAAAGTAAGTGTCTGCATCTCCATTAACGAAGGGAAAATAAAAACAATTTGATTACATTACCGTTGAAGCTATTTACGATTATGACACTCTCGCTAGAGTTTTGGACTGATTGATTATGGTTTTTAAAATGCGGTAATAAGAACATCATAACTAATTTAAAGCAATCGTAATAAGCCTTTCCCTTTTTTTAAACGCCTTAAGTATCAGAAGCACTTGATTCAATTTACTTTTTGATAAATAGGAGGGACCATCTCCTATATGTCTATCACTATAGCTAACATATTATTTTTATCTTTTAAAATCATGCAAAGTTGTTCTATTCTGAAATCCATTAGATTATTTATTTTGTGAATTATTTATCAATGTGAATCATGTCCGTATGAATCGGTCGTCATTACCGTAGTTTTCACACAAGTATATAGATACACATATGTTCGTAAAAGATATTTTGCTTAGCAAAGAGATGTAATGCAGCGTGATATTCGCGTACCTATAGAATAACATGTTTAATGCTACAAAACTGTCATTACTATAAATAGTTAAAACAACCAGAATATGGACTCGATCAAGAATTTGTGAATGTATACGTCATGTTCTACTTACGGAATGGCAAATTCTTTACGTATCTACTGGTGACTATATAAAATTATTCGTTTTCGAAAACTACTTCACATTATCCGTTTTAACACCTTTTGGATATTTTTGTGCTATTTTTTTGGAGTGACGACTTTTCGCTTTCATCTTTCATGTTAAAATTTGAAAATAGCAATAAAACATATCACAATTGCAATAGCGATGAATTCTTATTTCTGCGGATGTGCATGCGATGAGACGAATTGATGATAGGATTCAAAGAAGCGTTGAAGAATATTAAGTAACAAAAAATATCAATAAGAAAAAAAAGTTTATAAAAACTAATGGAAAAAACATAATAAAAGCAGCTCTTTTTTTTTTTTTTTTGGGTTGTCTTGTAACAAGTATACAGGAAGGTGTGTGTAAGTCGGCTATAAATAAATTTTAATGAATATTACAACATCTTGGCAAGCAATTTGTGTGATGCGTTTCGATTGCGGTGTTTGCTTGGCAAATTTCATCAACATCTTCAACATCACCATTCCCAGCAGTGCCACCACTATTACTATTACTATGCATTTCTATATTCTGCTTCAATGTTTTTTTCTGCAAATCTTCTAGCCTTAATTTAAGCTGTCCCGGCGAGACAACACCGCGATGTTGTTTTTCGCTTACTACAGCGTTGGATTCATGTGCACGTGAAAATTCCACAGGTTTATGCTTATTTGGAACATTTATTATCGCAGCATTAGGTAGCAGCGAACTGTTATGCGAATGAATTTTATCAGTGGATATTGTTTCATTCACTGTTAAATTACGGCTATTGTTCGATGCAGTAGTAGTTGTACTACTGCTACTCAATTCGTGGACTGGTGAATGCGATTCGGCACTTTCCGGTGTATACGGATCCTGCCCTTTTGGCGATCTATCAAGGTAAGTATTCAAATGTTGTGTGTCTATGCGATTAACAATGATATTATTAGATAATAATAATCTCTTAGAAATAAGCCGGCAGCGATGTTCTATTGGCTGCTTTTTAATAATATTTTGGCATTCCGGGCAAATGGTACCATCAACCGTATCATTGCCTAAGATTTGCGAGCACATGCACACATGAATGTTATCGGAGTCGATAATATTGATAATTGGTGGCCACTTGGATGCATTCAATCTGCCGTCGTGAATTAAATTTTGTAGTCGACTAAATTCACCGGGTGTGTTAGCAATACCAGAATATAGGTCAAACTGGTTATCAGGTTTGGTCGAAGAACGCATACTCATTTCGCTTAATCGATTATATTCGGTCAACTCATCAGTGAAGATTTTACTGTTGTATAAACAAAAGACTACATCATTGTTAAATTGTTGATCGGACACGGCAGTCGTCACTGCTGGGTTATTATGTGATGTTGATTTGTTGTTATTTGCATTCGATATATTGCAATTACAACATCTATAAGTACCTTGATTTGGTTTTAAGCGTATATTTAAATATATTGGCTAGATTTTGTGAGCAAGAAAAGAAATAAAATATTGCTTAATTCGCTGTATCTTTTATAAATAAACTTATGTTTATCTAACGCTTTTCGCGACCGTTCAATATGCGATTAAAATGTAATATTAAAAAATCGAGTTTACCTTATGGTCGCCCATGCAAACATTTTCACCAATAATATTGTATATATTTGGAGAGAATTCCTCGTCAATAATTCGTCTGGCTTGTGGACTCATAAGAATGCGATCACACCAAGAGGGACATCTTGTCGACATGTAATCCATGGGCATTTCGGGATCCTCTTCATATGGATACGAAGGCGGAAAATCTATGGGAAACTCTTCAAGAAATTCCCTTAGCGGTTCCAATTCTCGATCGAATTTTTTCAACTGCAACATCAAATTTCAAATATATATTTGTGTACATGTTTTTTAGCCATTTATATTCATGTGTATGTATCTTAAAGATTTCTAAAAAGTTCGCGTGTATTTAATTCATAAATATTCATTAAATAAAGGTTTTTGTTCTCATTATTCAAAGACTTTCGAAATTGAGATACTAATATATATGCATACATTCATCGCGTTTGTTATATCGAACACTACTTATGATATAAGGTATATTAAGTATAAGCGAATGTATGTAATAAAGAAGGATTTATAATAGCTCTACTACTTATTATACCGATCGATTCAGAATTTAGCAATTTGAACAATTATCTGATAACTATCGCTGGGTATCAATGTTTAAGCATATTAAATTCCTTTGGGGGCAAATATTTCATTCCCAAAAAAAATTGATCTACAAAAGCAAATCGATATTAAAATTTCCTATAAACAATTTGAATCATGTGCATCAAATATTTGAACTCTATCGTATCCTTCGCATGGAAACAAATCATACTTTTTGTTATTTTATGACAGACCATTAATAAATACTGTTTTAGGCGAATCATTTAGGGAATTTGATGTTCGGCCTTATCCGGATATAAAGTTTTTAACCGATAATTCACCTACCCAAGCTTCTTTAAATTTTAATTGATGATCCGCATGATTAAATTCCTTCTTTCCAACCGTAAGTATATTATCTCCCAGGGAATTGCGGTAATGGACTTTAGTACAATCATTTTGGAATCCATGCACCCGATGCGCTGTTAGATTTTCAGTTAATTCCTAAATAAAAAAACTGATCATAACGTAACCCAAAGTCCGCTAAATCTCACATACCTTAATAACGCCTTCTGTGTCACATCTGAAATTGAAGTCACCGAAAACAAAGAATGGTGCCAAACCGTTTTTCTCATCTAGGTGAAATCTGCAAATGTATGTGTTCATGTATCTCTCTCCATATGCATATGAAATTCATGAATACCTTTCTAAGGTATGCACAAGCGCTCGTCGTCTTGTTTTACAATACACTGATGGAGACTCCTCACAAGCGGCCAAATTAGACGCATCATGGAATAAATGAATGTTGACTAGATCAAAAACTGTATTATTAACTTCCCACCTAGTCCGCATAAACCCTTTGCGGGACCATTTGCACTGAAAAAGTTTTTATATATGGTATTTAATAAATAAGTATGTAAGTAAGTTGCGTATGTAAGTTTTTAAGTTTAAATTCAAAATTCAAAACGAAACAAAGATAGTTCGGTGCGAACTACATAATTATCTATCTGCTAAATGATTTCAGCAATTTCAAATGTAAAGTTCACTTGACGCAGATTTTCCGCTTGTTTAATTTTAGTGGAAGAGATTGTGAAAAAAGACATCAATATGTCAAAAAGCAGCATAGGCTTCATGTAATGCGAATTTGGAAAAGTTATTAGCCAAAAGAAAAATTGTAAGAAAAAAAAAAAAGAAAAACAAAAAAAAGCAAAAAGGGAATGCAATTGTTACGCAATTATGACTTGACTATACATAAAACGTATAATTTTTAAATTAACGATATTAATCTGTAGATCTAACAGACCTCTGGAAAGAAGTGTTGCGGAAATTTTGCCTTCTCCTTACTTGAGATTGTCTCAATATTACCGGAATAAATACTCTTGCCTTCTGCAGATTCCCAAGCGTGCGTCAAAAAATTCCATATCCTTACGTTTGTTAAGTTTTTGTGTACAAAATACAGATTTCCAAGTGCCTGTTTTAAAGGAAAAAAAAATTGAATAATTTGCAAATTGTCCATAATCAATAATAGTTTTGATGAGATTGCCCGAATGTTTAAATGGATAGACGATGCTTTGCCCACAGCATACACATCATCGTTCCATTTAAATACATTGCAATTTCCTCATTCGATATGTAATAATAATGAATATGTATTATATATGTGATGTGGTTAAAAAAATCTTTGAATTCGAAACCTCTGTATAAGATTTTTCGATTCGATTTTCTATAAATTTTTCCTACTATTAGTTTTAATTTTTTTCTTTGTTTAAGCAATCCTTATTAAAGAGGCATCTTGGTTTTTCCAATAAGAAACTCGTGTAATTGATCAAAATAAATGAAACACTTTGTAATGAACGTATCTCGAGTGAGATGTGAAAGTATTTTATTTACCGTAAAATGTTCAGCAGATTTGAAATCTTCATCCATATATATTCGAATGTATTCGAAATCCTCTAATTCGGGTGCTTCGCATAAACTCTTAATGAATTCCTGGACGTATTCCATTGATTTTTCATAAGTCTTCCCTCCAACCTCTTGCAAATGAAGGGCCAAAAATTGCATTTGCAAATGCGACACTTTTTTCAAAAATGCAATTAACCATGGACGGAGCAAACGAGATGGCTATTAAAATACAAATTTTTCTATTTAAATCTTATGCGCATTCAAAAAAAAAAAAAAAAAAAAAAACAAACAAACAAACAAACAAACAAATCTCACATACATCTTCAAAGAGACTTCCGACATTGGCTGTAACTAGCACTAACAGTATACCATCATCGCTATCAGCAGTAGAATAGCTTAAAGATGTTTCCATACTTAATGTTTGCGCGAGTTTAATTGAAGTCTAGACGATGTTAAATTTTAAGTGTATTATATGTGATGCCGTAAAATTAAATCGAATTAGACAGGTCTTGGTAATTGAAAAATCCAGTCCCGCAATAGGACCTCTTTAATAATAATAGTGGCCACTTGAAGCTGTCCAACGCGTTCTTCATTTGGAATAATGAAGACGTATTCTCCTTTTTTGTGTATTTTGTAAAATTCTAATTTAATTAACCAACTTTTTAGTTAAACAATCGACCAGCAAAAAACGGTCCGCAAATTTTGCTCCTTCACCACATCACGAAAAACAATACAGAGTGTCTAATGTGTATCCAATCTCGAATAAAACAAGCCAGTGTTGTTCAACTTGTCGATTTTTCTACATTTTAACGATTTTTCTACACTTGTCAATGGCCATAAAATGTACCCAAATTACAAAGCGAGCGTAAGTGGGAAACAAGTTTATATTCGCAAGGAAAAAGAAAAACGTTGATACAAATTTTGATGCAAAAAAAAACAGAAGGAAATTATTTATATAGAAAATAACATATCTATGCAAATATTAAAATTTACGTTTTCAATATTTTACTTTATTAATACTACTAAGCTTATTATCTAATATTAATTTATTTAAATTAGAGCCGATAGCCTGTGTTGCTAGTGCTCAATGTCTCTTTTTTTAGTCTAAGAATTCAATTCATTAGTCTAAAATTAAAATAATAATAATAATAATAAGTTTTCAATACCTTTTCGGTATTAACACTGTTGATAAAATTAATATTAGCTACTACTATTGGTATTTTCATAGTCAGAAAAACGGCATTCAATTATAATCGATCATTTAACTAAATTTTCAAATTTTCGAGTTTTTTTTTTACGTTGTAATCATTTTTAAACTAATCAAAAATTGGAACCTATCTTAAACGAATAATTGAATTTATCCGGAATGTACTGTGCTGATACCGGTATATCTTTAACAAAGGGGATCGTCAGAAAAATTTCTACAGGCCTTATTCGTTTTTGTTATCAAATGCTTGCAACGGATAAAATTGCTAATTGGATAACTATATATACATATGCAGGAAGCATGCGTCAGTAAAGGATGAATAGGTCGTAATGTTTCGATGCTTGCCTACTCATGAGTTACGACCAATTTCTATGAGTGGGCACAAGATTCATGTTTAATTAAAGAATTATTATTAGAAAAGTATTGAGCTGCATAGATGAGAGCAAAACAAACAGCAAGGCAGCAAAGACAAGAATATAATGAAGAGATATAAAAAATTCGGCTTAAATAGATCACAATTTTCTTTTTTCATAAATCATTACATGTATAAACTATCCTCTGTGTGCTTATGACTTATGGACAAATTTCTGCACAAAGCAAGAGCATATAGAACTCCATTGGTAAGTAAGAGAATGCTTTTTATGGATATATGCGCCATACACGCATACTTACCGCAAGTAGACAGATGTGAATATGGATGTGCAATACTTTGTTAAATGTTTTATTTCTCTCAGCATAAACCGGTTTGGCTGATATATAAATTCCGCATTTATGAACGCAATTCGCTCAGTTAATTTCCAGATTTGTTGCATTGCAGACAGCTTTGGATATACGTGCGCTCGCGAACTTTTAATAAGAATTGTGTGAAATACCTTTCTAAAAAACGCTCATAAATATACTCTTTTTCTTACTACTTTCTTACTGCCACATCTAATAAGGATACACATCAGAATGGTAAGTTTAGAAATTTAACAAAATTTCTTATTATTGCACTTGGCTTTGCTTATAGGTTCAATGACTTTAGTAAAAAGACAAACAAATCAAAATTAAATTTATGAAATTAAAGCAGTGTAGTATGTACGAATGTAAACTTCTTCTTGCGTATGTCGTATGGTCACGGTCTGTGCTTGAAATCATGCTTGAGCGGTATTTCAGGAGTGGTACTAATCATTATTATTATTTTATTTTCATTTAGAAAAAGAAATTCGAATCAATCATACATTCGAACTTGTAGTAGTAAAATTTTAAAATTTTATACAAAAGAATTCATGTTTATTAGCGTAGGTTTGCAATAGCTTCTAGACGATGACCAAAAAAAAATTCAAATATATATATATATATATATATATATACAAAGCAATTAAAATTTAATTTAATTAAGAAGTTTTTTGTGTCCTTCAAATGATTTAAGAACGTTTGAGTTAATATTTAAGATGACAATTTATGAAGTTCTATATTAAAAGCCAACGCATGCACATCTACATGTGCATATATTTATAAATACAAATACACGAAGGAGTTCGCCCACCTATATGAACTCACGCAATTTACATAGCAATCATAAAGGCCCTTGCAGCCTTTTTGACTCATCACACTAAAAATAAATGTCGTTTCGAGTAATTAAATAGGAAAAAGAAAACAAATAAAAGTCGCCGCCTTAATACGAATAACATACGACACTCCTAGATTCACCATGAAATGAATATAATAAGATAATCGTCTTCCTTTTTTGCGTTGTTTGCTCTTCCCGTAAGAAAAAATGCTAATATAATATAAGAACAAAATGACCTATAATTTCTTCTAAAGTGGGTGTGGTTGTAAAATGTAGTAATTAGGTATGCCTATATCCATTGCAAATTGCAAATCAATGTCAAATTAAATGATAAAATTTCCCTATTCAGGCAAGAAATGTTAGATGTTGACTGACTTTGATATAAATCAACCGCGTATAGGGGTGGGTTGCAACGAAATGAAGATATGAAAAAATGGATACGCTCTTGCGTGCATATTCTGTATATAATGTACATCTGTTTTTCTTCGTAGGATTTATTTGGTTATTTCAAGCGGATTTAATACACTGACATGCAATCGCCTATAGACGGATATATACGCGCAAGCATATTCTACTCATCATCATACCATTCCTACTGCATGTAAAGCAAAGAGTGGGGGTAATTTTTTCTGCAAATGTGCATACTTGCAGATGTATGTATACATGTATGCATGCATTTATGCATGTATATATATAGAAGTCGTATACAGACCATTCCGTTCCTATTTTATTGCATAGAGCACAATTTATTCACACTTTATATGAATATATACACACAAGACACACCCGTGAAACTTCTTATATACCAATTTGGCTTTTAAGTCTGAAAGCAGTGAAATAGATAGCGAAGTATAACTAAATTAAAGCAAAATATAATGCTAGAGAATGGAAGTTGTATAAATATATATATATATATATATATATAGATATATTCATTTTCAACAATAAGTATTTCCCATAACTAAATAAAAATTCAAAAGAAACTACAATTAAAATTACTTTTGTGGTTTACATTAACGTAATAAAGAAAAGAAAAAAAATCGGTATAGAACAACGTGAAATCCGTGCTTCAGTTATCTATTTGGGTCGGGAAATTTGAGATCGGCCAAGAATTTATATACTTTATGGGGTTTTTGAAGCTTATTACTGCGCCTTATAAAGGTATTGCAAAAAAAAAAATTAAACTTTGATACTTAAACTATAATATTGAGTAGGCGTGGTCAATTTTTTGTCTATTTTTGTTCAGATGCTGCAATAGAATATACTTTCAAATTTTCCTACATTTATCTGCTACAGTTCATGAGTAATGAGAGATCAATCAATTTTTCTAATCCTTTCAAAAAACAAGTGTTTTCGATTTGGGTCATTTTCAATACCTACCCGCGTGTAAGAACTTCCAACGTTTCTGCCAAATTTGAGGTCGAGAGCTTAATTTTTGCGGCTAGGAGCATGTTTACAACAGACATTACACAGACGGACAGACAGACAAGATTAAATCGATTTAGAATTTGATGTTGGTCAAGAATACATATATGCTTTGTGCGGTCTCTGCAGCTTCCTTCTGGGCGTTCCAAACGTTTTGACAAAATGAATATAACGCTTTTTCTTCGTTGATGGCTCTAAAAAAATAAGAAGAAATTAAAATAAGTTAAAGTTATTTGACTCATTTTTACAAAATTTCATTGCTTCTCTTACTCATCATGATTTGCCTCACAAAGTTTTTTGATTTGTTGCTCATGCAACAGGATCCGGATTTCAAACCGGTTCAAATATACATATCTCATTGAATTTTCGATTCGAATAATTTTATCTTAAAGGACATTTAGCTTTCTATCACTATACAGAAGAGTTATCTTTAGCTTAAGATTTTTTCTTTTTCTTTTATCAAATTTTTTTTTCTTAATATTTTCAAACATTACTTACTTACACTATTTTAATGCATCTCCTCCAGAGGGAATGTATATCGGTTCATATTGGTCAAGCTGGCGTCCAAATTGGTAATGCTTGCTGGGAGTTATATTGCCTAGAACATGGCATTCAGCCCGATGGCCAGATGCCATCTGATAAAACTATCGGAGGGGGAGATGACTCGTTTAACACCTTTTTCAGTGAGACGGGCTCGGGTAAACATGTGCCTCGTGCTGTGTTTGTAGATTTGGAGCCTACTGTTGTAGGTAAGTTTCTTTAAACATTAGGGGCGAATGTTAGCGTAATAAAATCAATTAATGTTTAATGCTCTTTGTAGATGAAGTTCGTACCGGAACCTATCGTCAGCTTTTTCATCCGGAGCAATTGATAACCGGTAAAGAAGATGCTGCTAATAATTACGCTCGTGGCCATTACACTATTGGGAAAGAAATTGTCGATTTAGTGCTTGATCGTATTCGTAAACTTGCTGTCAGTTTTGGAATTGCGAGGATATCAGGGCAATTCACAAAATATTTTTTTCCCAACATTATTTCAGGATCAATGTACGGGATTGCAAGGTTTTCTGGTTTTTCATTCTTTCGGTGGAGGCACTGGCAGCGGTTTTACTTCACTTTTAATGGAACGTCTGTCCGTTGACTATGGCAAAAAGTCAAAATTGGAATTTTCAATTTATCCAGCACCTCAGGTAAACGCGTCTCGATTCTTTATCCATATATATAGTTTCGATTTATTATATTAATGGACTTTAATCGCAAACTGTTATCGTTAATTAGGTTAGCACCGCTGTCGTGGAGCCATATAACTCGATCCTAACTACTCATACAACGCTTGAGCATTCAGATTGCGCTTTCATGGTTGATAATGAAGCCATATATGATATTTGTCGTCGTAATTTGGATATAGAGCGTCCAACCTACACCAACTTAAACCGTTTAATTGGTCAAATTGTGTCGTCAATTACTGCATCGTTACGATTTGACGGTGCTCTCAATGTTGATTTAACTGAATTTCAAACAAATTTGGTTCCATATCCACGCATACATTTCCCATTGGCCACTTACGCTCCCGTAATTTCCGCCGAGAAGGCATACCACGAACAATTGACTGTTGCTGAAATTACGAATGCTTGCTTCGAACCCGCCAATCAGATGGTCAAATGCGATCCACGTCATGGCAAATATATGGCTTGCTGTATGCTCTATCGGGGTGACGTTGTACCCAAGGATGTAAATGCAGCGATTGCTACTATTAAAACGAAACGTTCGATTCAATTTGTGGATTGGTGCCCCACAGGTTTTAAGGTGGGCATCAATTATCAGCCGCCAACTGTTGTGCCAGGCGGCGATTTGGCAAAGGTACAACGTGCTGTCTGCATGTTATCTAATACTACTGCGATCGCTGAAGCTTGGGCTCGTCTTGATCACAAATTTGATTTAATGTATGCCAAGCGTGCCTTTGTTCATTGGTACGTTGGCGAGGGCATGGAAGAAGGCGAATTTTCCGAAGCCCGCGAAGATTTGGCCGCATTGGAAAAAGATTATGAAGAGGTTGGCATTGATTCAACTGAAGGAGAAGCTGGCGAAGGAGATGAATACTAAAGCAAATACAAAAAAAAAAATTATCAAAATAATGCAACGCTTTCATATACCATTTTATGGAATCGAAGTACATTCACAGTTTCATTTCTCCTATCTTTCAACATACTAACTACAAAACTCACTCACCGTTTGCCGTTTCGTTTTCCAATTTATAATTAATCCAGTATTTTTAAATGAAAATGACATTTTTCAAGATTTGTTTGTTTGTGGCTTTTATACACACAAATATATATATAAAAAAAAAAAAAGAAAGGATTTTTACATTGCGTCACAAACATTAAAAAGAATAAAGCTTTTTGAATGCAAAAAGAAAACCTCTTATGTATGTCATTGCCATTGTTTTACTTTGTTCAAAAATAACAGTCGTCTTAAAGCAGGATTGACAGCAAATCCTTAAGTGCAGATACGTGCCTTTCGGATGCTTTAGATAAACGTGAACAGCATCGACTATAAATTCATATCACATCGCTGCCAGATAACACGTCACATGCAATATGATATATTTCCAAGATACGTCTTCATCTTACATATCATTAAAAATGATTTTTCATAATATTTTCGAAGATAATCGATTCGTTGTTTAAAAATTTCTTATCATTATTAGATGCAGATGCATCGTCAGTTAGAATGTTTTGGAAAACGATTTAAAAAAGCAATTGTTACACCGATCATCGAAGGAAGAAGTGAGTTTTGTCAACACGTTCGCAACGCCCAGAAGGAAGCTGCATAGATACCACAAGATATATATATGTGTGTATCCTTAACCATATATTACAAAGAACACAAACAATATTCAAAAATTAAGGCATCTTCATCTATTCACCGCGCCCACACAATATTATAGAGTAATGAAAAATGAATTCTGTTTTCACTTCTTAAGGATCACGGTAACGGGTAGAACAGATTCGATGATGATCGAATTTAATTTTCTTACGTTTTCTTACTTACTGGTTACTTTTGTATTTCGACAAAGATAGTGTATCGTCATGAACGGTTTTTTTTTAACTTTTTACAAGTCCTTAACTGACCTGAGTCCTTTGGTAACAAGTTATCAAAATTTATTTTACGAATGGAAATGAAAAAAAAAAGTACATAAATTAGGTAAATTCGAAAATGCAGCAAGTAACAAGTGTGTGTGTGTGTGTGTGTTATTATCAACGATCGTAATCTCTTATGTGAATTTAGATAAAATTGTTGTATATATTAGAGTGAAAAACGCATCTCTTTATCAGTGATCAGATTTTCCCTTCTTTGCGCTCATACTCATCGTTCATACACCTTTCTCGAAATCGGTTCTTTGGCAAAATTTGAATTTTAATGCTACTCAACTCTACTTTTGTATCTGCGGCGCTGCGGAATTAATATAATGACATGTCAATAGGAATTTCATAGTAGGCGCTCTTTCAAACCAACTATTATGTAATAAGTATATGGAAAAAATATAGTCTACAAGTCTCAAGTTGGTAAGACTTTACAAAATTCTTCTATGCCTTCTATTACTTGTTATCAATCAAGCTGGGTCTTACTCAGACCGCCCCTTTTCATCGTCCATCCCCACTGCAGGAATTGATGTCACGGCATACAGAAGATTTTTGAAAGTGTATACCAAAAGCACTGATTTACTTATTATATCAGTTAAAATTTGAAATTGATATCATATTATAATGCTGTCACCTGAAGATTATGCGCTTAGTGCATTGTTGAATGCGTTTAGATAAGCAGCAAAAGTCCGAAGTCAAGAGATACGATCAAATTTCTTCGATTTTTTTTTTTTTTATTATTCTTAATCTTACATCTGAGTTATGATATTAACTTCATCTTAAATAAATTAGAAAATCAAAATATGTTAATCATTTTGTTGACTTTGTTTGTATTAAAGCAAACTAATGTTTTAAGCTCGTCTTCCAAATTAAATGTAAGTAAATATTCCGCTTACTACTACTACTACTACTACTACTACTGCTATGCATATTCGTGCAGATGATGACATCATATAAAAACGAATTATTATACGAAAATGATGGGAAAATGGAATTGCAATTAAATGATGATTCCGACTCGGACGTATCACATCCAGATGCTTCCGCTACTGGCGATAGCAAATTGCCGTCAAAAATCAGTGATAGAAAGAACCATCAATGCCCTGATGATCTAATCGAAATTGTTTGGAATAGAAGATATGTGTGTTTGAAAGTATCAAAATTCCCTCAAACATTTGATGAACATGCCTGCTACGGTTCAGATTATTTAATAACCCGGCGAGATCTTAATAGTGAACTAAAATGGCAATTGATGAAAATGAATATAACACAATTTTGGATGCCGGTTAGACGATTGGAGGAAAAAAGATTTAAACCATTTGTAATTCGATTGCCCGGTAGGCATTGGAATCAGCTATACAATTTCAATGAAGCTTTCATTATTTCGGGCAACGAGTCGAAAAAACATTGCCTTGCGGCTCACTTGCACGAAGAAATATCATCTTCAGAATTCAAAATTACTGATTGCCATCAAGAATTATACTCTGTCTGCGTATTCCGGGAACATTTTGTAGCCATATTTGGTTGCCCGGAACAATATGGGGCATTAAGTCATTTACCGAATCAATGTTATGGAATAACTTTGGATAATCATAATTGTCGAATTGTTTCGCTTGACGAATACAATCGAAAGAATAATTCCATATGGATAATATTTAATGCACATCGGATAAAAATTGAAAATTTAATCAGTTTAGGGCAGTCGATAAACGGCAGCCTATGGGTTTTAGATAAAAAGAAACGAATCAATTTTATATCAACGCAAAAGCAAATGCCAGCCTTAAGTTTCATTCAATTAACGAATAATAAAAGCAACGCGTTAGAGATGACTTTGAATATTAATACATATACAAAAGATTTGATATTAACGGTTTACAATCGATTATATATATGGTCTAATGAAAATCGTTACAAATTAGCGATTCATTGTTTTACGAATGCCGGCGATTACGACGAAATCGCTAATGTTTATATCGATAAAATTTGGGAAAATGACCAAAAGACTAAGACAATGTTTAAATTGAAGATAAGAAGCGATAATCCGGGATTGTATTGGTGTGAAGCGCATACAATTTTCAATTTCACTTTAGTATCGACCGAAAAGATAGAAGCGACAAAACATAGGCGAGGCTACAACTATGCGCTTATGGTCGATATTCGCTGCGATGTTGAAAATGCTCGTTCAATGTGTCAAAGCAGACGTAAACTGGCTAACGAAATCAAACGGAACTTGAAAGCCGTTCGGGCGAAAGACAAAGTCTTAAAAGTTTTGCGTATACATAAGGTACGTGTAATGCAAATGGATTCAGTATCATCGGATTTAGGCGATTTAAGGGCTTTATGTCATGCACTAGTGTCGATAAAATCAGACTCGAACGCATTGCGGAACGATAAAAACGATTTGAACACCAAAGAGACTGATACGCGATTACGGTTAATGGCACGAGATTTATTGATCGCATTAATGAAAATTTGGCAGCCGCATTTAACTTCTTCGGTACGTAGTACTGAATTCTGTTTTCCCGACGATCAATGGAAGATGGCGCGTCGCGGTCAGTTTGCTACTACATTCAAATTTTGCTTGCAAAATAACGGTCTACCACTTACACGCAAATGCCTTGGAAATTCTATTCAGGGAGCATATTGGGATACATTATCTGATATTAAGTCTATATGCATAACTGATATAGCTCCGAAATATATTACAAAAAATCTTTATATGATTGATAAAATGAAAGATTTCAATAATCAACCGGATATAATTATCAAAAATATTCGAAAATTATTAGAATTAAATTTAGAAAATCTCATCCCAGCCGATGTACACTATTTAGCTAACATTGTTCGTAGTATAACTGCAAATTTTATGATGGAAAGTAGTAACAGTACCCTAGCAACAAAGCATCAATTCCAAAATATTTCTGAAACGTTTATCGATGTAATGCATATTTACAATAATCTCCTCGAAGTCGATGAGCATACCTTGCAAACGACATTAGTTTTAAATTCCACGAATATATTGTTGGATATTTTCGAAAATCTAATTGAACAAATGTGGGTAGAATTTGAAGATTTCGAAAGATCATCAATAAGCGAGATGTTGCAGACAGTTGAAGAAAATAGAAACGATTCAACGGTAACAATTATCGAGTATGAAGACATTGGTGTTGTTGCAAATATTGCATCAAATTTGTTAATATTTATCATAGATCCGGATGTAGCGAATGTTACTGGTGTAGCCCTGTTCCAAGCAGATCCTGACGACGTTAATGCAACAAATGAAAATGCAACGCTTCAAGGCGCTTTTGAAAATGAATATTATCGCTTCATTTTGGGTAATCAAAGCGCTAATGAGCTGCTAAACGAATTAAATATTTTAATGGGTACGTATGTGCCGGAGCTCATATGGCAAAGATTGGATGAAATTTCCATTCATTTAAATCAAACAATTGATCAGCGTCCCCAACCAAAGGTCGTCATAAAAATCTATGCGAATGATAAATTTTTCCAGGAGAACAAGACAATTGTTAATCAAATGGTTTCCGGTGAAGGAAAAGTAATATCAATATCTATACCCGGTCACGATACCGATCTTCCCGATATTGTACCATTAGTTCTAAAAATCAACGGTGATGGTCAAATAAATAACAATACTGTGAGCGGAAACGATGGACAGATGGCAAATGCTGTCGAGACAGAGCAAGCGTGTAGCTATTGGAACTACGAGAAATGGGTTAATGATGGCCTTTTATTTTTGAAATTATCGGACGCAAATGATACGATTCTATGCGGTTGTACACATTTAACACCGTTCGCTTACCTTGTTGGTACTAGAGATAATTTACCAATTAATTCGGAAGAGGATATCATTGTGGCCAAGATTCATCAAGAAGCTTTAGATGTCATCACACTTTTTGGCTGTTCATTATCCTTATTCGGAATATTGGGAATATTTTTAACAGCTTGCGTGTTCCGTACGTGGCGTAAAAAGATCAACTCGAAAGTTCTGCTGCAACTATCAGTGGCGATTGCTTTGCAAATGGTGTTATTCTGTTTCGTGAATACTGAGCGGAACACACAACATTTAATTTCGAATAAAATGTTCTCCAGCTGTATCGCAATTGGCGCTTTATTGCATTATTCTGTGCTGGTACAATTTTGCTGGATGATCATAATAGCGTATCTTCAATTTAAACGTTACGTTCAAATTTTCGGTAATACGCGTCCGAAACGATTTCTCGTAAAATCAACGCTTATCGGTTGGTGTCTGCCACTAGTACCCGTAATATTGTGTTTATCTTTAGATAGCGAATCTTATATTCCAATTGAAACGAGCAATCCGATTTGTTATCCTACCGGACTATCTTTATATCTTGGCATTGTCCTTCCCGTCATTCTAGTTATTTTAACGAATTTATCTATTTATCTATTTGTTATTTATAACATTCTAAACAGTCCAGCCGGATCGATTCGTCAATCCGAGAAAGGCCTTGTCTTATCTCAAATTAGATTACTTATACTTTTATTCTTTCTTTTAGGCTTTACATGGGTATTTGGATTAATGTCTGCAATGAAAGTTGGTTTAGTATTTTCCTATTTATTTTCACTTACGGCAACCTTGCAAGGATTCGTTTTATTTGTATACTTTATCATAATGGATCCAGTAACTAGACGAATGTGGTATGGATATTTATGTCGCTTATGTGGTTTGAAAATTAGTTTGGACAACTCGTCCAATTTTAGAGAAACAACTCAAAGTCCATAAACTCCATCTGTGTTTTTGCACACAGAACACGATGCGATAATTGGCAAAACATATTCCGAGATCAATTCACTCATATTTGAAATTTTGTTAAATAAAATTTTTCATAAAAAAATCTTAAATTAATTACGAGTAAGCATAATAGCATAAAATAGATTTAAAAAAATTATTCATAAGAAGAAGAAGAAGAATAATAACAATTAAAATTGCTTCCGTATATTAACTTATTAAAAACGTTCCCTTATTTTATCTCAGATGCAATAAAGAATACAAAAAAATGAGAAAGCCTGTGCTCTAGTTGTTATTGTAAAATTATATTGCATTAATTTTTTTTTTTTGTATGCGAAATCATGTGGCCACTTGATAGAAAGCGATAGAGACTTTTTACTAACCGCGACTTAATCTATCTTTTAAGTCCCTCTTTAGCTGCCTGTAAATAATTTAGGCAATCAATTTTTTTTTTCTTTTTGCTGGAATAGTTAGAAAGAAAATGCATTATTGCACAATTGAATTCATATTTAAAGCTTGTCTTTTTTTTTTTTTTTTGGCAACAAATCTTTTCCCCATCTTCGCAATCTTTTTTAAGGCAATAAAAAATATTCAACAGAAATCAATTCTGAGACTAAAGTCTTGAATCGCTAGCATCTAGAACTGTTGACATCATTGAACCGCATTCTATCGCACTTGAGATTTAAACCCACGACCATTGAGTTCTTAGTCGAAATCTTTTCCCCCCTCGACCCTTCAGGCTGATATATATATATATATATATATATTTATTTCGCAAATATTTGAAGTAAAAAATTAAACTTATGAATTAAACTTATTGTTTTAGACGACAAACGTATGCCTCGAAAATCCCTGCAACGTGAAATTGTGTAAATAAAAAAGAAAAACTCTGCGATGGTACCTCTGCGATACAACCTGAAAAGGAGAAGAATTTTTCACATGAACCTGCAATTCACAGCAAGTGTGAGTCATTAACTCGCATTGATTACTTTCCTGCTCTTTTGTACACACCGCCCGTCATGCAAAAGTTGACTAAACTTGATTGATTATGCAGAGCAAGTAAAAGTCGTAACACGTAGGATATATGTATTGTGATATCATAAAATTGCAAAATATATTCTATCTGCTAACAGATTCTATAATGATTACAAAATTGTGTATAAATATTCCTACAGTTTTAAGACAAGCGGAGCATGTATTTTCTTACCATATGTGCTTTGGATATCTCATCGTGCAAGCAATACCGGTGTGTCATTTGGCCTTCGTTATGTTACAGTTGTGTGATGGAAAGCTTTCGGTGAAAATGCACGCTTCAGTTAGGATAGCCTCTTGAAATTTCTAATGGCATATATTTTTTCTATTAGTTCCGGAATGGATTCTATTACACCAAAAAAATTCATCCGTTCAAATATCATATAGAGTTTTGCTGAATAATATTAAATTGCTTGAGAGTAATTGAGCATCAATTTTAAAAGGAGATGAAAATTATTTTTATAAAAAATAAAACCATTCGCAGCCATCCGCACAACTATGGTTTTTTCTTTCTTATCACTTCGTCTTAAACAAACATCCTAAAGAATATTGCAAATGAAAAAAGAATTTACAGGTTTACAACAAATTTTAATTGGTTATTGTCTAGTTGTTGTTCTTGTGTCCTTTTATATATATAAAAAAAGGTGGCGTAAACATTTTAAGTCATATATTCACTACAGTTTTTATATAACAATTTTTTTTCTTTTTTTTTTTTATCTATTACTTCTTCTTAGGTTATTTATGTAAACCTAAAGTTAAATTGTATAAAAATAAAAACAATTTTAGCCGCATATATATATGTATATATATATATATACATATATATATATATACATATATATATATATATATATATACATATTCCAAATAAAAAGATAATGGAAAACAAAAATATATATATATAAATCATATGTTTTTCACCTGCGTTCATATATACATACATATAAAAAAATGTATTATTTTTTTTTTTTTTTAGAGAATAAGAGTTTAAAAAGCTTAAAAATATTTAACCCGGATCCCATCTGTAAATAAAAAGTAAAAAAAAAAAAAAAAAAGATCTACATGGATTATGGTCATATATACACGAGGCATTCACATTCACATTCCTGTAAATATATAAATATTTATATGAACACTGAGAGCTAATTATCATAAGAATGTTCTAATATTATTTACCATATAATAAAATTATTCTTACAAATACGCCGACTATTAAACACGTGCCCTAGTGTTGGCCAAATGATGGCTCAGACGTGATTCATTATTGGTATTATCCACAAAACCAGAATTTTGATTGTTATGTGAATGAGAATTTACTTCATGCACATAACATGATCTGCACACGCGAACAGCTTTAGTTAGCCCATATTTGGGAAGAGGCGCTGATGTGTTGGAACAAACGCCGCAAAAGACACCTCCACAATTACGGCAGTGATGTCGTCTTCTGAACGCAGTAAACGGTATATTACAAGACATGCATCGTGGAGCTTTTTGATCCGGTATCCATGCAGGCGGGGATAAATGGGCAGCAGTTGATTGCGTGGAATTTATATTTGTATTAATTCTCCTTGGACTACTTGATGAGCGCTCATATACGGGTGAACTATTCTCAGATGACGAAAACGACGACGGCGTATTGCTACCCGTGGAATGGTAACGGCTGCGATTAAATTGACGTATTTCTTCTGAACGTTGAGAGGTGGTATCATTAATATTTTGTGCTGACTCGTGATTATCTAAACTATGACTTCGTTCGATTTGTTGACGTATCATAGTCGAATCGGGATGTTTTTGCGAGCCAACTGAGGTATTTGTAGTTGCTGTACTGCCTGTTGAGTGTCGATAAGCTGTGACCTCATTGCCGCTGCTACTGCTGCTAACCTGCGAATCATCTTCCGGATTTACTTCTTCAGCCGAATAAATACTTTGACTCGAACCGGCACTCTCTTGGACAACATCATTCTCGGAGGCGCGAAATTCAAAGAGCTCATTCTCTTTAGCCTTTTTCGGTATATCGGTAACATCATCATCCTCCGTAGGCGTCATGTTCATTAAAAACACACTACGTAATATCTGCCTAAGATCGAAAGCAAAATTAGTTTGTAATTGATCGGCTACGCCGGCTATACACACAAACAATCGATGCAGTAGATTTTCAGTATGCCTAAAATAAAAAAAAAAAATTTATAAAAAAAAAAAAAAACAAAGTAAAAATATTAATTAGTTATTAAAAAAGATGAATGGAGAAGTAATAAATAAACGAAGGGTTACTTTAAATTTTCATGTAATCTACAGCTTTTCTTCATGCACCGAAGAATCTCGTTTCTCTAAAATCTCGAAACAATTATAAATTGTTTTTTTTGATCACTCTTCCCTCGCAAACTCACTAATGTTTAACACTTTCCATTCAATTCCAATAAACATCGATATAATGAATTAAATTAATAATGATAGAAATGTAGTCAATATAATAATAATGCATGTGTATGTATAAAACAAAATACATATTTAAATTATTTTTCCTACTCAACAACATGTTCCTTTTTTCAATATTGAAAGTTCCTTTAGTCAAAACGTAGAGAAACTTACTTGAATTTCAAGCGCCCTACATTCTTTAAACCAACTATTGCGGACTTATTGTTCTCAAGTACACTAGAAGATGTTGTAGGACTATCTATATCCAATCGTACTGAGGTTGCTGCAGCACTCCGTCCAGTTACCGTAATTTCTTCTTTCGATTTGCTGCCTACACTACAGCAATCGTCACATTCATTATTTCCCCTATTATCCTGTTTACTTCTGCATCGGCGATGATGATGGTGATGGTGATAGTGATGACGACGTTCAAGATTTTCCGAAACATCACCTCCGCTGGCAGCGAAATATTTTTGGTTTCGTTGACTATTCTGTGGATAATGACGATGTTTATGATGACGATTCTGACGGTAATGGTGGTGATGACGATGAGACCTGAGATGCTCTTTACCGTAAGCAGTGTGATGATGACGTTTGCAGGTATATTGCATCGAATTAACATTTGGAGCGAGTTTGACGTTGTGAGATGAAGGAGGAACAAGTTCATCAGAGCATTGAGACGATAAGCTTGCCGTTGTTGTTGCCGTTGTTGTTGTTGTGGTTGAAGATGATGAAGAAGAGGAACCATTGTCATAAATTTGGAGCGCCTTTGCACTAGTAGTAGGCAATTCATCTGAAGGTAAATTGTCATTACTGTCGTGCGCTGATAAAAGCTCTGCACCGCCATCGTTGACGATAAAGTTATTTGAAAAACATACTTCATCCGGCTGTAATAAATTAGCTGCTGTACATGTATTAGGAATTTCTAAATTTCTTATTTGTTCCACAACGTTATCTAATTCCTGTATATCCGAGTCCGAGTCTTCCGCGTCCTCAGCATCGACTTCATGATTCCCGTCACTTTTATTTGAATCTGTATCATCATCGTCAGCGTCATCGCCAGCGTCATGTTCGCGATCATCACCTACATAGACATTGCGATGGCACAAAATTTCTGCTTTTTTTAAAAGATCTTCGCCATCCTCATCGTCCGTCCAACTATCTACAGAAGGTGTGGTCCGGCCGATATAGTCATTGAACGAAGAAGTCAAGGAATGATTATCGCGTGGTGAGGTGGATGGAGTAGTCAAAGGCGTTGTATAACGAGAATGTGAACCGTCTGACGAACTGGATGTAGACGGTGCTGGTGAAGGGCTATTAGCTTTCTTCGTCACCTTCGTGTTACCTATTTTACTAGTTGACTTTTGTAATTTAAATGTAGAGATTTTTTCTCTTTCGATATCTCCCAGCTCTACCGCCAAACCATCAGTCAATCGATCAATTCTACTGCTTTCACCATTATTATTGTCCACTTCTTCATTAGATGCTAAAGTATTCTGTAAAAAAGTAGCTCTTATAACTAGTAATCTAATCTAAACTGAATTTGGATTCATTTGATTTACCTTCAAACTTATATTCTCGTTAGTGCAAAGCAAATGTTCCAGATGATACAATTCTTTTTTATTAAGATTCTTTAAATATTCACGAACTTTGATTAAAATGCTACGAAACGGTCTGAACATTTCCGATAATTGTTCAGCCGGCATATCAAGATTAAGCGGTCCCTCTGGATATATAACTAATCCGGTTACAATAGCTAGACGTGGTATAGAAAACATTAGAGCAGGATCAAACGCGTCAACTTGCTCCTGATCTAATAAGCCCACTTTTAAAGCTCTTTGCAATGTCTCGGAACAAAGTACACATATAAGCTCTTGCATTTCATATTCATCTTTGGACTTCACTTGTACCATAGCGCTGACATATCGCCATTCAAATTCGGCAAAAAGACGATCAAAAATTTTTAAACTCTCGAATAATTGCTCTGTCGCAGCGTCATTTTTATCTAAATGCAGCCGTTCACTATTAGGAACATTGTTGCGTAAACACTGATCGCGTAAAAGGTAGCGTACGTTATTGAGACTGCGCGTTACCGCCTCGGCTAACGGACGCATTTCTTTACTTTCCTGTTCCCGATTCATTATTGATGAACCGGCAGCTACGCAAAAAACAAACCATTCATCACCACATCATCATAACAAATTCGTGTTAAATGAGAAACACGTCTTACAAAACACACAGCTAGCATTCGTTACCACCGTTTATTCATATAGAAAAAGTACCGGTTTTAACGAATTGTAGCACCAATGTTTCTCAGAAGTAAAAAAAAATCGATTGAAATTATTACCTAAGCATTCGGCACCAAACCATAATTGGCCAGCTAGATTTTCCTGTAGAACTTCTTCGGGAAATTTAGCACGAAAAGCACGTGATTCACGCTCATCTCCCAATAGCTCCTCAATTATAAGATCCGTAATGGCCAATACCTTATCCTAATAGATTGTTAGGGAAGAGTAAGATTAAAAAAACAAAGACGAATGAAAAGTGAATACTTACTTGCCCTTGACGTAAACGTGTAACTAAACGGGAGCAACGATCAGGTTCTGTGCGGCCATCGAAACTATCCAACTCGTTTGCCACTTGAGCCAACGCTCTATCGGCATGAAAAAATCGCGCTAGTAAAGATTTATCATCCGCCTATATTATTAATTAGATATTCAAAAAACATTTTCAAATCAGTCTGAGCATTTAATAAATGCCGATGCATGCGTAATAAACTATGTTCGGATCATATATTTCTAATTTTATGATGAAATCATTTAAAGTAAAACATTTGTTTCTTCACCTTTTTGATATGAATGGAAAACAGACCAAAATTCTGCTTTTGTTGGAACGTTGTGTTATTGTGTGAATATGTGATTGTTGTGACAGTTCCATTCAAACTTATCAGACTGGTTGGCAATTATCTATTGCCAGTACATCTAAATTCTTTTTTTTTTTTTGGATCAAACGCAAATAAGAGAATGAGTATCAAAATCGATTTAAATAGAAATCGAATTGATTCGATTTGAGATTTTTTACATTAGGTGAAGATATTTCTTACTTTACTTCTCTTCTAAGACCCTTATAAGTTGTGAAGTATCGACAGTCTTAAGGTCATCCTTGCTTTAAACAAACTATAGCAACGTTATATGCAAAACAAATAACTGCTTTTAGGAAATGATTAAGTTACTGACGTAGTAGTCGCTGGACGATTAACGAGTTTTAGCGCAGGTTATATTTAAAATATGACAACAAATTTAAAATTAACCTTAAAGGTTAGAATACAAACAATCTTTTATCAAGCACCAAACAACAAGTATAAAAATTAAGAACAGAAATACGACAAAGAGAACGTTTGCATTTAATCCTGAATGAATGGGGTCCAATTATTTTATTTATTTACACCTTATAAAGTGGTGAATATAATGTTTTACTTAAATGATTAGATGAAATGCGAGACTTTATTCTTTATAAGTGCATATGGTTGTATATTCCGTATGCCTTAGCATTTTGAAAGGTGAATGTAAGATTGTGAATAAAAGGAAAACACAAAGAAAAACAAGAAAGATTGATACGTATAAAACATGTATATATATATATATATACATATATATATATATATAGAAAGAGATCAAGAAACACATTAAATCATATAATGAACGCTGTCATACGCATATATCTAATTTACAAATGTTTGTAACGTTCACATGCACGCAATTGGAATTTTACTTACCTTGGGCTTATTTAACCATTTGAGTAATGTTTCCATTATTTACAATTGACAAAATTGTTAACGTTAACTTTTAGTTCCAAAAAGAAATTTGCTGGCCTTCTGCTGTTCAACACTTCAATAATCACTTAATAATTTGTTGATAATATAGGCACGATACTCGCAAAAACCTTGCCCGTTTTTCTTTACAAAATATATATAAAGCATCTAGAGCCAACAAAACAAACAACAACTGCTCAGCCAATGTCTAACACACCAGCAATGGTTATCAAACTGTTTGCCAACTGTTGTTAAATTGATAATTTTTTTTTTCTATTTTCATTTACTTTTGCTATATCTTCTCATTTCCATCTTTTTCACATATGCACAGCGAACATTATTCAAAATTGCTTAAATTCACTTTTCACTTAAGAATATATTTAAAGATTTATTGTTTAAATATATATACTGAGAAGAAAACACCCAAAGTAAATTTTTTTTGCTTTAACTTTATTGTAAATACAGTTGAGAATCAACCAACTTTACTTAAAACTCAATCACCCCGCAGTATTTCCTCCGCAAAAGTCCAATACAGCTTTTCGATGTGCCTGTGTGTATGTGTATGTGTGTGTGTATGTATGTGTATAATGATAACAAGCACTCATAAAACACTCTCGGTAACTTTTTTCCTTTTTTTTTTTTTTTTTCTACATATTGGGCATCCCGCCGTTTCGCGCCGTTAGCAAACAGTTCTTCAAAAAATTCCTAATATATATTTAGTTTTCTATAAATAAGCACAATTAATTTATTATTTTTGCGAATCTAATAATGAAAAATAAAATAGGCGGAGCCTAGTTTTCTAAAACATTTCTCAGCAGCGAAGAACGATGTAAACAGTATGTTTAACTTTTCTTTAATATCGCCATTTTGCGTTAATCACACTGAATGCATCCTACAATGGATAAATGCCGGAATGCCAGATCACATATATAACTAATAATCATATATCGTAAATGTTAATTTACGAGCTTAAGCATATTGAGAAGACGTTGAATGTCTTCTTGCACATAAGATGCGACATTTCAAACTATTGTTTGCTTTTCTTCAGCTTAGCCTTAAGATTTTCTAAATTACTTAGTACTTACTTCTTACATTAGCTGTAAACATTCTCCTGGCCACAAAAATGAAGTTAGTAATCACAAATTTGGAAGCACTTGTATTGCTAATCGTTTCAAAACTTATGAAATTCGCCAAATTAATGTAAAAATGAATATGTTAAATTAACGAAAGATGTTTTAGTGCAAAAGGCACTAATTTTGAAACCAAAAGACTACGTCTATGTAAGGTTGAAAGATTTGATTTTTAACATTTCCTGATAAAAATTAACCCACAGTAGCTATTTGGCATACGAATTAATTGTGCTGAGTGTAGACAACGTAGATCAATTTTTCAGATCCCATTCCATATGAAGAGCGTGCGTGAAGTGTAATTTACTTTGTCACATTCAAAAAGAGGAGGCTTTGCCTGACTAAGATTTCACTTCTTTAGCAAGAAAGAAAAATCTCAAACAAACGACGATCTAAGATGTAAAACAAATCCTTTATCAATAAAATTAAATACATAAAAAATGCGATTATTTACGGGCGCCAATGATAGTACGTTGTCTTAATCATAGCGCGCACTTGACGATAACCTTGCCAACCAACAATCTTAAAATCAAACTTAGATCTTACAAAAGGCTTAATATACATCATACATACAGTAGATTTCAAGCAAAAACTTACTTTACTCTTTAATAATCGTTTATTAATTTTGTACGAAATTTTGGGATACTAAATTAAGATTAATTATAAAGTAGGTATTTTAAGTGAATGGTAAAAAAAAAAGAAAGGAAAAAACATTTAATTTGTAAACATATGTTAAATTTTCACTTTGATATAGTGAAAATAGCAAAACGGAACTTAGTTTTACAAGGTGAAACTTTATCGTTAAAATGTTTTTCCCATAACATGACAGCAAATATTGGTAAATTGGTACAAAACGAGTACAAAATTGGACTTATAAGACTAACACCTCCATAATTTCTTCATTATTATAGAGTTGTTTTTCATTTACCTTTCTAGACTTTGGATTAGGACAAGTTGTGTTGAGCAGTGGTTGCCACTTGCTTAGTCAAGCCGCGACCATTAAATATGCCCAATTTCGAATGCGAAAATAGTAAAGTGTCCACGGAAGGCAACGCTTGATTTGATTTCATAATTACTGCGGGACTTGCATTTACCGCCAGTGGCAAATAAACCTGATTAATAATAGTTTGCTTTGGTGAAGAAACAATCGTTTGATCGTTGGAACGTGAAGGTCTATTATCTACTTGAATAATTTGGGGCACTGAAATATTTGTAGCGATAAGTTGAGGCAGTTCGGTTGTTATTGAACTATTTGATGTTTGCTCGATTTTACCGTTATCATTGCTTACAACTTGATTGCTAATGCTGAAAGTGGGCAAATAAAAGTTATTACCGACAAATTCTGCTGTGGTAGTGTTTAAGAGCGTAGAAGAACTTGCAAATTCCATTGAGGCAGGAGAAGAAAACGGCGACGACTCTAGGGAAGAGCACATGCTCTTCTTAAGCAAATCTGAAATAAGTTTTTTATATATTTATTTACTAATTTTTTACTTCGGTCAATTTTTTTTTTTGTTTAATTTACCTAAATCATCCGATTTCAATTTCAATTCGAAATCATGTTCCTGCTTGATTTTGAAATGTAAATCTGCCACAGCTTCCGATGATATAGCATTATCAGTATCCGCAAAATTATGCACTATAACGTCACCCACTGTTGTGGGGGCTTTATACAGACCACATTCTTCCATTTCTAATGCCTGCTCTATAATCAGTTCCTCAGCTGAGTTAATGCTCAAACAGTGCAAATCAGGAAAATTTGCTTTAGCTTGATGCGGTTGCATTACTGTTTGCGGATGCGATATATTACATATCTTCAAATCGACATTTGGTTCGATAAATTCTTTTTTGATAAGTAGTGGCGGCGGAACCTGTTGCACTTGCTTTGGCATTGACTGTTTACGTTCCCGTTTAGCTTTTTCAGGCTTCTTTACTGTCGGATTTGCAATGGTTTTCATAGGTTTATTTAGGGTGATGGTCGTAGGTGGATTTATATGTTTTGCGTTAAAAACTAGAGTTAAGGGTGGCGGCCCTCCATTCGTAGCTAAGGTGATATTCTGTGACGTTGTAGTTCTCGATTTATAATGAATTCCATCTTGGTTTCTTTTCAGTTCCACATCCGATGCAGGCGACAGTTTCTTTTTACGTTTTGTAGGCATTTTAGCCAAGGGCGGCGGAGCTGATGTTCCCAACTTGTCAGTGGTTGACGTTGCAATATTAACAGCCTTGTTAACAGCATTTAAAGACGTTAATTGCTTAACATTCGATTTTATGAGATCAGAGTTGTCTTTTTGATTGATTTTTTGAATTGCCTTGTTACCTTGGACAGGCAATACCGGCTCTGTCGGTTTTGTGTTGGCCGCTGTTGCAGCCGTTGTTATTGCAATGGCGCTTTCATTATTTTTCTTTTCCTTTGGAGTACGTGTTGACTTTTTTGAGCAATATGAAGGAATATTTTCAAGCATTTCACCAGTCTTATGGTCGACCTTATGACGGCGTCTAGTATGCTTTAGCCAGTTGGGAAAATTTGTAAAATCCCTAGGACAATAATTGCATTTGAAAGGTCTTTCCCCCGTATGTATATTAGAATGTTGCTTTAATTTGGAATTCGAAATAAACGATTTGTCGCAAACTGTGCAAGCGAATGGTCTTTGCTCCAAATGCACTAGATTGTGCACCTTCAGACATCGTTCAGTTTTGTACATTTTACCACACTTATCGCAGCGGTACGATCGTGTTTGAGCATGATATTTTTGATGTCTTTGTAAATGGCTACGCTCCTGAAAACGCTTTTGACATTCGGAACACTCATAAGGTTTTTCAGCAGTATGAACTCTAGTGTGATGAGTGAGATTAATTTTTTGAACAAATTTTTGCCCACAAATATCACAACCGTATTTTTTATTTTCTGCATGAATTTTGCGATGCATCCACATACTACCAAGTTTAAGGCTGCAAAAATAAATAAGACTATAAATAAATTCGCTTCATTATAAATGCCCTAGTACTTACCACTTGCCACAATCTGGACACTTTTTCCATGCATCCTTGCGCGCATCTAGCGGTCGATGGGTTTTCAAGTGTTTTTTTAGAGACGTTTCCAGATCAAATTCTTTTTCACATTCCGAGCATTTATAATTTATTCGATGATTTGTATGTTTGGATAACTCGTTTGCATCTTGAAATACATTCCCTTCACAATCGAGGCACTGATATAGTAATTCGGCTGTTGACTTTGGTATATCTTGACATCCATTGTCCAAAATTACTAAAGGCGGTGGCGTTGATGGATTCGGAATTATATTTATTTCGTTCTTAATCTGTGCCACCTTGTTCACGGTTTCCATATTTTTTGTGATATTGCTTTCGATGGTCTTTGGTATTGACTGTATGTAGATAGGAGCTAACCAAGGGATTCCTTCTAATTTCATTGAATTTCCCGTAGGAGATTTGTCTCGCAATTGTTGCATATCAAATTTAACAATTTGCTCCGTAGGCATAGGTTTGGCTGCACGCTTAAGAGGACTAAAGCCAATACCCGTTGATGATGGTGCTTCGGGTCGCAAGAAAGTACCACTAAAATCGGTTTGTTGTTTTTTTAGTACGTCTTTCAGCTCGCTTTTATAGTCAGTGGTTAAAGCTATAATGCTGGAAGCTGATGGTGACGAAGGCCTATCCTTGTTGCCGCTACTGCAACTGCTGCCATTATCGAGTTGAGTTGTTTGAGCACTCTCATCTAAGACCCGCCAAAAGTCCAAAGAAGATAGACTGTTTCCTCCTATTATCCCTGATGGGTCGCCCGTGATGGTAACACATGCCGATAGATCTATGTCCAGTGATTCATCCTTGATGCTTGATATCGAATCAAAATTATTCATACGCAATAAAGCGCTGAGGATTTCATCACTTTGCTGTTTGCTAGGGGTATTTGTAGTCAATGTATTTGCACTACATGTATTTCCACCCATCAATTTAGGCGGCAATTTTCTATTCGTCTCTGCTTCTTCTTTCATTTTCCTTTATTATTTATGTCACTATTTTTAGAGGTTATGCCGTTTAACGATTTATTCCTAATTACACACTTTTTTATAATCAATTTATGATTTGAGTTCTGTGTATGCCCCAATTATTTGAGGTATTTTATAATTCTTATGGAACAAATAAACAATGTTATATGAAAATTTCAGATGAAAAATTAACACAATCACCTATAAAAAGACGCTTTGTTTTTGACACGCCATTTTTATTTTCCTCTTCGCTTCTTTTTATTTTAGTGTTGCCGCGACTCCATTCATTCTTCGATACTTATGACGCAACCGATACTGCAAAGCAAACGGGCGAATGCGTTAAACGGAAATGATATATATTTACACATTCTTTCCAGATCGCATCGAGAAAAAACTGTTATAGGTTTACATCGGTACAAGGAAATAATTCCGGTTTGATCAAATAAAAGAGAAAAAGGAAGTTTAATTAATTAACATGCGTTCACATACATAAAAATTCGCTGGTTTTGGAAATTCGGCTTTTCATTAAAAACAACCAAAACTTGATTTATGATAACTGGAATTTATCATTTCATAATAATATCTCATTTCCCGGTATTAATCATTCCGACTATTTTCCTTTTATTTATTTAATTTCATTAAGTGCAGTACACAAAGTCCTCCAAAGGCCACTGGATTAATAGTTGAGAAGGAAATAATAAAGATCAAGTTAACACACACATAAACCTTAATTAGCATTGTTTTTTTTCTTTTTTTTTTTTGTACAGACTTGTTTTTATTGCCATAGTTTAGATTGATCAGATGATATTAGTTTGCAAGTGTATATAAAGTGGAATTGGAAACAATTCCTTACATGCACGTTTTACAAAAGCTATCCTAGGACGGCGAGGACGAAGTTACAGCTGTAACTATCGAAAAATTCTCTGCAGAAACAATTCTTTTTTCAATTTAAAAATCATTTTTTTTAATTACTTCAAGTCAGCACAAATTAAAGAAAAGCAAATGCCCAACAGGATGGCAGCAAATGAAACAACTTTGGGAAAATTAACAGCGGAATCAGTTAAACGAAAAGAACGTCTGCGGCAATTGAGGGAAAAAGCACAAAAGTCGGATAAAGATGAAAACGGCCCAGAAAAATTACCAAGGTAGACATATAAACAAAAAAAATTTTTAAAAGCTGAGTGATTGCACTTTTATATTTCAGACCCGTGTTCCGGAGTTATAAGCCTCAAAATGATATTATCAACGCTGAAATTTTGCCGCAGGAACCAACAGGGGATATAGAAGTAGCGATAGAATCTCAAATGGAGTTATTGGAGCAACCTATGGTTGTTGACGAAATTGATATCACAGACTTAGCCCCACGTAAACCTGATTGGGATTTAAAACGCGATGTTTCTAAGAAACTGAAGCGCTTGGAAAGGCGAACGGAAAAAGCAATAACGGAACTGATAAGAGAACGTCTGAAGAAAAATCAAGACAAGGAAGATATATCTAAAATTGTTAACGTTGGCGCCGCTCAGGCCGTCACAGCTTTACCTGAAGACGAATAAAACTTTATTACAAAGAACATATTTAAAAAATTTACAAAACATTCAACGCTCTCTCTCTCTCTCTTTTTCTTATTGACTTTGTATATTTCCTATCTTCGCTGATGGACGATTTTCTTTGTCAGGTGACTGGAGTTTTATTTTTAACGCTTCGATTTCTGAAAATATAAAATCAGAGAAATTTTGTCCAAATTTTATTTAATTTTACCAACGTTCTGAATATTTTGTCTCCAGGGATTTAGCAAATTTACGTAACGAGTCGATCTCTTTGGGTATCTCTTTCCTCAAAGTATCCACAACTTCTTTAAGGAACTCTATTTCTTCTCCTTTATCTTTCAAAAGTTCATCCTTCTGTTTAATGGCTTGTTCCTGTTGTACGGCCACTTCGGTTCTCCAAGTAATGGTTTTCTTTAATTTTACCGCTTCTTGCGTTTGTTTTATAATAATTTGATTTGCCTTTGATATTTCATCAGATGCCACTTCCAATGCTTGTCGTTTAGTATACGAAATTTTTCTTTCAGCCTCTAACTCAGCTACGAGCTCAGCTTTGTTCTTATCACATTTTTTTAATATTTCTTTTAAATCATTTACTTCTTTTCGAAAATCTTGTAAATGCATATCAGCCTTACGCTCTCCGTTTTTTAAAATCGAAATTTCTTTATGCAACTTTTCATTTTGTTCTTTCAAATTGGCTATACGCCCTTTTAACGTCGATATTTCTTCTTTCAAAATTTCATTACATTTTTGTTCATGTCTGAAACGCATTTAAAAAGCTGGACCAATTGCCCGCATTGTTACAATTCACTTTTAATATACTTACATCCTCTCCGCTTGTAAAGTACATTTTTCCGTTTGTAATTTATCCAACTGTGCTTGCGTGGAAGCAATAGCTCTACAATGCCTTTCGCTATCTTCTTGTCTTTGTTCAACTAATTTTTGAACGTTTTCTTGCAACTGTAAAATCTCTTCCGAATGTTTATGGTTCAAGGCTTGCGTTGATTCTAAAAGGTTTTCCCTAAGGTTTGCACATTCCTTATCTAATTGATCTATGCGTCTTATGTGATTATGATTTTCATGCTGCAGCTGTTGTGCCCTGTCTTCGTGATGAGAACACTTTCTCTAAATAATGTCCATTCATAATGCGTTCATTCATTAGAATAATTGAAAAGATTAATTAATTCTCTGACAAACCTGTAACTTCTCCAAAATATTGTTCATGTAAAATAAAATCACGTTTAAAGAAGCCAATTGGCAAGGCAGGCTAAGATGGACCAGATTTTTAAATGGTCTTATTTCTACAAATTGCAATTTATAGGCAGGAATTATTGACGTTGATGCATTAGATTCGTTCATTCGGCTATCTTGGACCAAGCAGACCTCTAATTTACCTAATTTGCAATCTTGTAGAATTTGTACCATATTTTCTTTGAAGCCAGAAAATGTTACATGTAGTGATTGCTCTTGCTTCAGCTCTTGAAATGACGCGCTATCCACTGTCGTAATGTACATCTTACGATGATCCGACTTTTCAGCCACTCTCAATTGCTTTTAAATTTATTAATACACATATACACATATTTAAAATATTATACCGAAATATCCTTACTACTAATCCTTTTAAATCCAACTTTTCCGCATAAATAAAACAAGCCTTTTTCGCCTTCAAACCATTTGAAGAAAAATTTACCATAACTTCTGTGGTGGGAGTCATATACTCAATGTTTTTACTATAGTTAATATTCGCAAAATAATCCTCTTCTATTAAGCGCACCGAAGAATTGTTAAACATTTTTAAATATAAAGAGGTCTAAAGAAAAATAAATAAAAATAAGTTCAACACAAAATTTTCAATATTTCAAATTTGACATTTTGTGGATTATGTTCATCAAAGTTTCTCACCCTACAAACATTTTTTAATAAATCCTTTTACATTCGTAGTATTTCCTCCTATCACGGAATTCACGGATACTTCATAAGTTATTTGCTCTCGTATTGTATGAAAAATACTGGCGTTAAATTATCTCTTCTCTTTTATTTTATTGATAAAGAATTTTTAATTTAAGGTTTACATTTACATAAATGACAAACGCAATTTATTTATCTTTAAGATACATACAGGTTACTTTTAGTTGGTTGTATTTTGTGTAAGTAGACAATATTGAATAATACGATTATTTACAAATCTGTGCAAATTATAAGAAAGCCGCGTCAAGAGGAGAGCTAAAAAAGTATTATTTCTACACATTTAGTGTAAAATTACATGAAAAATACATTTGGTTTTTTAAATAATTAACGCAAAATGGCGGTAAGCAATATGGCGATTAAGTAATTAACAATAATTTCATTTAACAAAAAAAATTTTTTTTTTTTTTATTTCTCTCTTTTTCTAGTGCACAAAAGTATTTGTGGGTTCACTTCCCTCTGGAACGAAGCCTTCAGAACTTCGTCATTTGTTTGAGAGCTATGGAATTGTAGTAGAATGCGACATTATGAATCGTTGCGGATTCGTGCACATGAAAAATGCTGCGATGGCGGAAAGTGCAATTATCGCTTTAAATGCTACTGAATTTAAAGGACAAGCTATTGTGGTCGAAGCTGGTAGACCGAAAGAAAAGAAAGATTCTCTTGGTCAATCAATGGTAAGAGGTGCTTTTATAGGTATTAACAGAGGTGGAAGAGTTGGTGCCATGTGCTTTACTAGAAGCGGTGGCAGTGGCAGTCATTCTGGTATGAGTGGTAAATTTCTACTAACGAAAACAAATAATTAGAGTTTTCGTTTATTGTTAATTCTAGGAAGCGATGATTGCTTTCAAGGAGGCGTGAACTTTCCAGGTAATCGCGGCGGCTCACAATTTCGTGGCAATTATGGTCGCGGCGGAGCCAGAAGGGGCAATTTACAAAGCGGTCGTGGGGGTGGTAATCAGTCCAACACCAGTGGTGCTGGTCCAATGCGCAATCAATCTTTCAAATCAAGCAGACCTGCACCCTATCCGGAACAAATGTCGACTGCTTGTCTGGATTCTTATGAAGAAGGTTCCCGTAGCTTTACCTATTCAGGTAATCGAAATGGTCGAGCAAGCAGCAACAATTTTGCAAATAACAAATGGCGTGGAAACAGCTACACCACTACTCCCAAAGCCAACGTTCCTTCTCAAACTGATTACGATAATGCCCCCATTCAAAGTGAGTGGAGAAGCAATAGTCAAAATTATGGAGGTCGTAACTTCCGAAACGACAATAGCTCTTCAAGCGGATTTTCCGGTCATGCGGGAAATTCTTCAAATAACTCCAACTTTAACTCTTACGGATACAAAGGTACTTTGTCTAGAGGAGGCGGTCAAAAGGATCGACGTGGATTTGCTCTACCTACAAATCAATCTCAACAGCAGTTCTCCAATCAGTCGCAACACGGATCTTATGAAAGAAATGGTGGGAACTCGGCTGATGAAAACGTTATATATCACCATAGAAGCAACGCATCCAATATGTAAGTTTATTTAAATACATAATTTATAACATACAAAAAAAAAAAAAAAAATGAACGAGTATAATTTGAATAAAACTTCGTGTGTTCGAGGAAATTACGAGTGAATTCTTGAATATCAAATACTTCCATACGTTTATCTTAACTAAATCTTCACGTTTCCAAGAAGAAATTTTCAATAGACTTAGAAACTCTTTCGCCGCACACAATTCATTTGATTTGTAAATATGTTCTTATTGACAATCATTTTTCATATTTTTGCAGGAATGTAAATATGAATCGCGGTGGTGTCAATCGTTTTCCTGGTAACCGGGGTGGCTTCTCGGGCAATCGCGGAGGAGGCCTTGGTTATGGCAGTAATAGTTACCAACAGCAATTTCCACCTTTGGGATCGTCACGTAACTATGAGAGTCGCGGTGGTAGCTTCCGGTAAGTTTACAAAAGTAAATCTTGCGATAACTGTAATATGATTCGAGTTATTTTCGCAGCAATACATCTCATCAAAATGCTCCAAATCGGCGCTTCTAGAACGAATGATAACATATGAAGAAACTCCACAATCATCAATTACTTATTAAGGACACATTAGAAATGAAAACCGTTACAAATTAACATTTCTAATTAAAGAAAGATATCAATCGTAATGCATATTTATACGTATAAACATCTGAAAAAAATTGCAATATTTCTTTGTTGTCAAGATGGCCAGCATCGAGGCATCCATTTGCGGAACGATGATTTGGGAAAATTCCTATTTGTTGTACAAAATATCAATTGGAATTTCGCCATTTGGGAAGTGTAGTTTACATTATTAAAAGTATGAAAAACTACATTGAAATTATATACCAAATTAAATGATGTTTCGTTATTCATTTGGTGGGACGTAGAAATTAGCATTTGAACGAGATATAATTTTTGTTATAGAAGAGAAGAAATAATAAAAGTAAGTTTGTGAATATATATACAAAAAATGACGCGATCATGACATTCGGCACTGAACTGGAGAAAAATGGTAGGTAAACGAGAACGTTTAAAACAAGCAGGAAATGGTGTATGCGAACGTGCACAGAAATGTCGATATTACTTGTACCTTGGTTGGTTGATCAATCATCCACATTAATTCTATTTCAATTTAAACTTTCATTTCAAGCGTGAGATTATAAATTTCCATCTGCCCATCAATCTAAATATGTGGATTTCTTCTTAATTAAATTAGTAAACAGCAAATAAGTAGGATCTTTAAATAGCCTTCTATACTTCTATATAATTTGTATTAATGTTTAGTTCAATATCTCTTGCATGATATGGAGTCATTTTTCGCTCATTTTTAGATATTGCAAAGGAAAGAAGACCTAGGATACATCGAATTTTTTAAATTGATGACGACGCTACTTATATTTATAATTTATATAGGGACTGTATTTCTTATTTGAACCTGAAGTATGTATGTGTTGCTCTTTTCGGTTTATTATTTTCGCATCACTCGTACAAAGCTTGCATCGTTGCATCGTTGAGAAATAAAAATAAAATCAATGTTTGTATAAATATTCCAGTGAAAATATGAAAATGAATTAATTATAAAAAATCAATAAAGTAATTATATGAAAAATTAATATAAAAAGAGATCGATTTTTAATGCCCAACATACATGGAAATATTTAATGTTATTGTATTTAACGCTTTAAAGCGTTTTAATACTCGCGCATAAGGTTTCTATGTGTCTTATCCCTTAGCAATGAAGAGATGATAGCTCCGACTTGTTTTTGATTAATCAGATAGAGAGAGAGAGAGAGAGGCAGAGAGGCAGAGAGCTACGACGACAAATAAGAAAAAATGGGATTTTTTTTCTAAAATGAAATAAGCATTAAAGCAATATATAAATAAAATTTTCATTCGTTTGGAAATCAGAAGAAAAATTTGTATACAACAAGATTGCAAATATATTTTGTTAATTGTTAATGGCAAAAACAAATTAAAATGCTAATGCATTGCTTAACTTTATCAAGAAATGGAGAGGTCCTTTGCAATTCCTGTTTTTTCCTGTTAGCTTGCTTAATAAGGTCTACAATTTTTGGCAATAACGCTTTGGCAACTGCTACTTCAACGCCTGTTGCTGATACAACTATAAATCAAGAATTGATATTTGCTCATGTGGTAGAGTTCGCTAAAACATATTTTAACCATTTTAGTAAGTTTTAATATCTTTCATGAAAGCTATACCGACACGGAGATCGAACTCCAATTGAACCGTATCCTACGGATCCTTGGGGGGATTTAAAGTATTGGCCAACCGGTTGGGGACAACTAACAAATGTAAGTTTGTGTAAATTTGAATTATCTTTTTCATTGTCGAACAAGTTATTTATTTGCAAACTTTAATGAAATAAACAAAACAGGACAGAACACAATGTCAGGGAATACAAACTTCTTTACTCGCGTAAAAAAAACTAAAGAAAGAACAATATTCATAGTCAGGGAAGTAATGTTTGTTAGTTTAAGTAACAATAGAGTTAATAAATATCGCATTTACTGTTATATAATAAAGAAAACTATTATTTATACAATAATTACATCGTCATAAACAATAGAGAGCGCGGGCTGCACTCTATATGCAAATTATCCAGTTTTTGTTAAGAGAAAACTAATTTTACTTCGCTAGATCTTTATTAAAAAGACTATTTTCAAGTTCTTTTGCTTAGAATGTTCTCTTAATCTGCCGCGTACAGAATTTAAGACATTCAAACTCAAGAATCTTTCCGATTCTATTAATTAATATTACGTTAACATATTGTGTATTGGTATAGATTGGCAAGCAGCAACAGTACGATTTAGGTCGATGGTTACGGAAACGTTATAATAAACTCTTGAGCGAAATTTATAGTGAAGATGAAATTTTTGTACGTTCAACCGACGTGGATCGCACTCTAATGAGCTCCTTATGTAATCTAGCCGGTCTCTATCAGCCGGAGGCGAGCGATATTTGGAATCCTGATGTAAATTGGCAACCAATACCAGTGCATACAATGCCCGAATATATGGATTCAGTAAATTTACGCCTCCTACAACTGTTAGACAATCAATAACCTTATCATTTTATAGGTTTTAGCAGGTAAAGCTGCATGTCCCGCTTATGACCACGCTTTGTCAAATTTAAGGAACTCGGATGTATTTCAAAAACTTAATACTAGATTTGGTTATCTGTTTAATTACTTATCGAAATATACCGGCCGTTCAATGAACTCATTGGAAGATCTACAACGCTTCAACAATACACTTTATATTGAAGGGCTTTATAATAAAACCTTACCTGAATGGACTAAAAAAGTTTATCCGAGCTCGGATTTGCAGTTTATATCAGATTTTACGTTCACTATTGGCACCTATACTCGTTACATGGCGCGTCTTAAGACTGGACCCTTAATTAAAGAGATACTACAGAGATTCACAGACAAAGTAAATGGCAAATTAGATCCCGATAGGAAAATCTGGATGTACAGTGCTCATGATACAACAATAGCTAATGTTTTAAACACGTTAAAATTATTCAACGTAAGTTGTGATGATGGGTTTTGCATGCGTAAATGAAAATTTTTTCAAAATTTCCAGGGACGCAGTCCGCCTTATACGGCTTGCGTATTAATTGAATTGCGTTTAGACTATGAAAGGCAACCGTTTGTTTCCATTTTCTACAAGAATTCTTCAACTGAACCTCAGCCATTGTATATTCCAAGTTGTGGAACAGAATGCCCTTTGCGAAAAATGTATACGTTATATGAAAACATATTGCCCGTAGACTGGAATTTCGAGTGTAAACTAACCACACTTATGATGACTTATGAAGAAGCCAATATTGGCGCGGCTATGGGTAAGATAATTTGCTTTCTAATATATATGTTAAAAGCATAAGCAGAAGTGCTTTCAATTTTGATATTCAGCCGAACTATCCAATGAATAGAATATAATATCGTCCACCTGATTGTCTTACTACTGAACGATCAATGTTTTACGTGGTTATATAAAATTGTGTGTTTGTGCTTAAGTTGCAGGTTGGTATCGTAAAATTCTATAACGTTTTCAAATTTAATATTTTTTCGTACCGCGAAATACGCAAAAAAAAAGAGGAAATTTGAACGTTACAAAGTGAATTATATGAAAAATCGAATCTGATCCCACAGTAATAAATACCTTTACAACAATTTCGACTATTGATATATGATGAATTTTGTTCGAAGGAATGGTAAAAAAAGAGTTTTCGTTTTTATATCTGCACACCTCAAAGTATATTGTTTCAAAAAGTCAAATATAGAAATTTTGGAAGGTTTTGCATACATAACATATAAACACAACTTGAAAACTAAAAATTTTGATTATAAATAATTTATAGACCACGATTCACATATCATCTTACACCTTCGTTAAAGGTATCCAAAAAATCGGCCGTTGTTTTTTTAGGCCTCCTTTTTAAAACCTCCGTTAACAAGCAATAAAAAAAATTTCTAAAATCAAGAAAAAATAAAATATAATGAATTATTGAAGAAGTAGAAATTGAATACTGTCATCTTATTTGTTTATTTGTTTGTTCTAGGCATTTTGGTAATTATTATCACTGTAATGCTGTTACTATCTTATGTGATTATGATCTACTACCGGCGCCGTAGTTACAAAAACTATGTGTCTTATTCGCAGGTGGCTTAAATAAATATTTCAGTGTATCTATAATCAAACTCATTTAAAATAAAAAATCTTTTCTTATGACTAGAATTGGCAATATAAGTTATCTGCCTAAATCGACTAAAACCGGCTACAGTCACAAAATGTTTACCTCAACAACTGAAAGAAGGCTTTTACGACACTAAATAATTTTTAGCATTTTTACCGCAGTTTCCGATATCGCATTTCTATTTTTTTCTTTTTTTTTTTTTAATCGTCTATATATATTTCATCCATTTTTATTAATATTTAATTAACAAATTAACAAATATATATACAATAATTTATATAAATGTAATATGCTGTACATAATCCTCGCTCCTTTTCATATATTTGAACGTTTTTTAAAATACATATTTCAAAGATACTTGTTTACCTTTTCTACATAGAGGAATCCTCGCTATTATATTAATTTCTAACAAATAATTTAAGAGTCCTCTGTCAAGGATCATTCGGTGCTATTCTAAGCCATTTAATTCTTAAACATTGTTATGTTTATGTTCCAAATTAGTAGGAACACATTCATATCTCTTATATAAAAGTTTACAAATTTTTGAAAAATTTGTTAAAACTAGATAAGTAAAATACCGAAAGGTTTTTTATATAATACAACAAGTGAGAATTATTCATAGAATGAACATTATTTTTTTAACAAAGAAATATGTCTATATCATCGTAGATAAGTGTTTAATAAATCCGCTAGGGTCAAAATGAAAGATATTGTATAGAAATCTATATAAATGGGAAAAAAACTGTACATAAATAAGAGATTAAACATGGAAAACAAAAAATTTTAAAAAATAAAAAATTATAATTCAATGAATTTGTAAAATAAAAAATTTAACTAAACAGAGAAAGTCAAGTATTTCTGTGCAATTTTTTTTTTTTTTTTTTTTTTATAAAAGTCATTATAATAGTATATGTATGTATATAAAATACGTATAATAAATGCCATTAAAGTAATGAATTAAAACTAAGCATAAATACATGTGAACGAAGCACCAATCTTTTCAAAAATCATTTTGAAATTTCTTTTTTTCTTTTTTTTTTTTGATAACTTAACTTCTAAAAGCCTAATATAGTTTGAATAGTTTTCTTTCAAACTTAATTTTTTTATGATGAATCAAATAAATATATTTTTCCGATGTCTTAACTTAATATACAATGGTTTCAAATCTTGTGATTACTGAATTTTATAAACAAAGATGCCCACAAACTTACTATTAGCCTATGGAAGTGTCACATTCTGCTGAAGCAATAATGGAGGCTTATATGCTTGTTTTTCATTCTAAAATGAAATAAAAAGAAAAAGAACAAATTACACATAATAATAAGTAAAGATAAAGGCAAACTTACCTTTAGCATATAGCGAATTTTCATATGTATGAGGCGGTGGCCGGCAGCGAATCGTTCCTTTTTAATCTAAGCTAAACCAGAAGAAAGTAAATCAGCAATTTATAAATATACGTATATAATAAAGAATGAATGAAGAAGAATTTTTATCCAATGGCTTCGTGGCTTTGATATTCTGCAATTTGTTATGCCCAGGCTTCCACTTCGGCTTTGAGGTGCCGATACTCCTCCATCAGTGCCGCCTGCGCTTATGTTGATGGCTTTCTACACTAGGCGTCCTGGGTGTGCTAGGCGTACGATGTCGTAGCTCAAGAGAAAGAACGATATGTTTTCTTGTCATACTTTTTGGTTGTCCAGAGCACTATAGACGTGTCCAGTATTGATTTTGTTATGAAACAAAGTTGCTAAATCAAGAAAATTACAGAAGAACAAATGTTTATGGAAGACTGCTATGACGGCTGTAAAAAGTTTAGTATTTTTATTTATGTCTTAATAATAATAGGAGAATCTCATCAAACTTTTAATTTAACCTTAATTTAAGTTTAGTAACATTTTCAAATTCACACAGTTATGATAATACTTCTTAATAAGTAAATTTGATAACAATTTCAATGCCTTTTTTAGTTCCAGCTATCATATATCCAATATATTATATAAATTGAGTTATATAATATGTTATATAAATTGAATTGATAAAACAATACCCGATATATCTTTTAATATTTGTTAACAACTCTGTTTTTACTCGTTGACATATGATGTTGCATATGATTTCAAAAATTAATTTCTTCGTCTTTACATCTTTTCTTGTGTGACAAATCTCGTCGTATATTCTGTTGTTTACGATTGCAAGTCAACTTAATCCTGAACCTACATAAATAGAATAAAACAATAAATGAATTTTTAATAATAATGCTTTTGAAATAATTAAAAGGTTATAGTGTATGTGGCGAACGACACATATAGATGTATATACATTTACAATTAAGATAACCGCCAAGTTTATTAAGGTTCAAATAGAGAGCGCTTATTCAACTCAATAAATCATCTGCTGTTGATTGGCCGACTCGCAGAAGAAGAAGAAGAAGCAGAAAAAAATACAAAGAGCATATAGAAAAATCGCATGAATATTAAACAAACGTACATTCACGCTGGTCAAGTAATTTGGGAAATAAAAACTTTTTATATATTGGTGTTTGGCAAGAAGTTAGATAAAAGAAACAAGGCGAACGATAAGTATGGAAAAAATGGATATCGATGTGACTCCACCAAAGTCGGAATCGGTGAACGTTGCCGCAGTCAATGCTGCATCGGCTGCATCGGTAATGGCTGATTCTGGCACTGTACCTTCAGTGCGTATTTCGTTGCATCCTCTCGTTATAATGAATGTTTCTGAACATTGGACTCGTATAAGAGCTCAGGCTGGAGAGACGTGGCAAGTCTATGGAGCACTGATTGGTAAACAAAAAGGTCGCAACATTGAAGTAATGAACTCTTTCGAATTAAAGACCGAGTTAGTTGGCAGCGATTTGATTATTAATCGCGATTATTATAATACAAAAGAGAATCAGTACAAACAAGTAGGTAACCAATGTATGAAACCTTCATATGGAAAGATTAAGTTTTAATATGAAAAAAAATTAATTATCTTTCAGGTATTTAGTGAATTAGATTTCATTGGTTGGTATACGACAGGAGAATGCCCGACCAATAGGGAACTAAAAATACACAAACAAATAGCGGAAATAAACGAGTGTCCTATAATGCTCCAATTAAATCCTATGTCACGTAGTGTAGATCAGTTGCCTTTAAAATTATATGAATCAGTTATTGATGTAATTGGAGGTGAAGCCACTATGCTTTTCGTACCTCTTACCTATACCCTGGCAACTGAAGAAGCCGAACGTATCGGTGTAGATCACGTTGCTCGTATGTCTACTAATGAGACTGGCGAGAAATCTGTCGTAGCCGAGCACTTAGTGGCGCAAGAAAGTGCTATTAAAATGTTAAGTACACGTATAAAAGTACTGTTGAAATACGTAAAAGAAGTCGAAGCTAATAAGTTAGAAGCAAATCAAGAAATTTTACGAGATGTGTACGCTTTGAGTCATCGTTTACCTGTAATGCAGGGTGAAGCGTTTCAGGAAGAATTCTACACTCAATGCAATGACGTCGGTTTAATAAGTTACTTAGGTTCCATGACGAAAGGCTGTAACGATATGAATCATTTCGTCAATAAATTTAATGTGTTGTATGACAGACAAAGCTCTGGTAGACGTATGAAAGGCCTTTATTACTGACTTGTACGCGATTTTCAAATTAATACAGTATAAAATTAATGTAAAAGATTTTTGATTTTCCAATAAAGATTTAAAATTGCTAATTATATTTAATATTTTTTCTAAAAGATCTCTTGTAACTATATTAAATCAAGTCAAATTGAAAAGAAAAAGAATCTTATTTGCATAACATTAATTGAATTCGATTTAAAATTATTATAGACAGGAAAAAACTTGTTTTTTATGAGATATGACCAAAATTATGGACATATTTATAAAATAGAATAATTATGGGCATAATGTTTTCAAAAGTATTTGAATTATTTAAGAGGTAAAACATGACTCGATTTTTAAGACAAATCTATATTTATAAAAATTCACGGTGATTATAGTCTATCAATAATTTAATCCAAATTAAAAAAAAAAGTGAAACATGTCTACGTCGTGTACACGATTCAAACGATAATTCGGCACTACAATACATTCTATTTAATGAAGCTTATAATTTAATAATTGTAAGAATCAAGTCTAAATGTGGCATAGTGCTGTAAATATTCTATTTCCAGAGGATGCAATTCTTTGGCAGGTATTACCAGAGAATGTAAAGGACCACCTAAATCCGTAGATGCCATATCATGTAATGTTTTCACCACTATACGTTGAGTTTCACTTCCTACACGTGCCAAACCGACGCACATACTCAAATCGTTGAGTACAGTATTATGTTCTAGAGCGTCTTTCTTATCGACGATGTTTAGTAACTGTTGAGCGGCTTCGGCAACCGTCATGAACCGAGGCAGCATATATTGTCTTCGCCCTCGCATCAGAGACTCTACTGTAGGCTCTCTGACTTTAATATCAAGTAAGCATAATGTGTGCATATTGTGCAGGCGATTAAATTTAATTTTTTCGTAAAAACTTTCTGGCTTCCAAGTTTCATCCCAATATGGAATGGACACTGTTTCACCAAATTTGTATAACTGAAGACCACAACAACCGACTGCATTAAGTATAGAGGCATTGTGGATGACTTTGTAAGGTATTTTCTTCTCTCTAGCACGTAGAGCTAGGTCTGTATGCGTCGTGGCCCCAAATGGATCTCCGACTACTAGAAATGCTACATCTTCTTCATTTGCCCCAGCTAGAATTTCATCAGTTTTCTCTTCGACAAGTTCACGATCTGCTAATAGAAGTGGACGCCCATAAAACGCTTCCTGTAAAACCGATATTAATACAAATCACTGCATTTTTACAGCCAGCATACTTTAATATATTTCTTACCACTTCTTCTTTGTGACAACCCAAGATGGACGTGTACATTTCTAAATATACACGACTACATCGTTTTACAATTTCAAGGCCTTTCACCGTAATGTCCTTGTGATCTCCCAGTCCCAAACCAATCAAGTAAAACATATTCGGCTAATGTACTTAATGGAACAACAGATAATAGATTAAAAGTTGTGCGATTTATTGATTATATTATTGCTTCTTTTCAATGGTCCTTTTCTACCGTTGTGCCGTTATCCTACAACCAAAAATTACAATCTACACAAATTCTGGGACAGACACGTGCTGGCTTGTTGCTTTTTGTACGAAATAATTTGTTGTTGTAAAATTCAGCAATGATATCAACTTGGAATTTCCTTTAAGAAAATAACAGCTACACGATAGAGTCAGAGACAAAATTTAACAAAATAGTGGTTAATCTATCATAGAAGTTTAGAATTATAGGGAAATTCTTTAATATTTTCCTATCGACATATACAAGTTGCGATTATTAGCGGTAGATGGTCTTTAGAGAACAGTTAATGTAGCTGACAACTTTTCGCATATAAGATGTTTTAGAAAGTTAACATCACTGTGGAAAAAGACAAAATAATCTCAAGGTCACTAATTCAGTGTGACTTTTTTCAATTTTGGAAAATTGGAACAAGGTAGGTTTTTGTTTCAAAAATACATTTCAACCAAGTTATATTTTTTTCTAAATTTTGCAAAATTAAAAAAATTCCCCGAGATGATGTAAAGTACTATGAAGTAAACCGTAAAACGCAAATTTTTTTTTCAAAATTATTATTATAAGCAGTTGATTTTTTTTTAACGTGTACGATTATTTGGGATATTTGGGACACTGCCTTGTTGTGTTTTCTACATACGTGAGTGGCTGTTCTTTAAGAAAAAGAAGAAAATATAAACATAGCAGATGAGTGTGTTTACTTTGCCTTCCAGAATTAAATGGAAATTATTAAGAAATTTAATGTAAAGTAGTTTTCTTAGTCCCGCAATATTTCAAACATGAAAAAGACTTGGATTAAACGCGAAAATATATATTACGTGCCCTTTTATAAACAAAAATCCAAAATGTTCCTTCTCGGCATATTTTGTCTGGGTATTTTGTTTTTCATATATCAACTTCTCTTTATTTATCAATTACCAAATGTTAGTACACCTTGGAAAGATTTACGAAAAGAAGATAAACAAACACAACAAGACGATGGCGGGGGAGAATTTAGAGAAACCACCAAAATTTTAGAGGACACAATTAAAATCATAAGGTAAGCAATTTAAAATCTTCCATTCCTTAGAATATGGATATAGTGTAATTAAATCTATCTAATTTAGGGGGACGCGCCTTTTCGATTATGACTCTTATAAACCTAATTTTGAAGGAAAATTTCGCTGTTTAGATGGCAGTAAAGAAATACCTTTCCAATATGTAAATGACGATTTTTGCGACTGTCTAGGAGATGGCAGTGATGAGCCCAGTACAAATGCTTGCAAAAATGGCCGCTTCTACTGTAAATATCAAAAGCGGCATATAACCGGCCGTGGTCGCGATATTTTCATATTTAGCAGCCGTATAAATGATGGCATTTGTGACTGCTGCGACGGCAGCGACGAATGGGAAGGGACGAATTGCAGAAATCGATGTTCGACGTAGTCGAGCACTTCTAAAATTAGGAATTATAACAAATTTTGTAGAAGTCCATTCTTTAAGAATATCATAATAGGCATTTAAGTATAGAAGACCTAATAAAATACAATTTTTATTCCATTAAACTTTTCAACATATATTCCGCGATCCCTATTGTCCATTGTATTGAAAAGTAAAGCTTTTAAAGCTTATGAGAAGTAGACGGTTAAGGGACAACTACTCTCTACGTTAAAGCGAAAAGTGTATTCCGATTTAGACGACGTTTGAACTTGCAACATATGTAAAGTAGCAAAATTTAAGTTATTTTTTTGACAGACGTAAATTTACAAATTTGTAATATCAATATTTGCTGTTGTAGCGATTCCCATAACATGCAAGAAGGTAGGCGATCACTTTAACTGAAAATAACCACATCCTCTTATGAGACAGGGCATACGAAAAAAACTCCAATAAACCAATTTCAAAATAAGTAAATATTAGCTTACTTCCTAAACTAGCAGTGCAAGCGCCGTTACTCAACACCAAAGGCATCATATTAAAAACATTTAGATGTAATTTTTTTATAAGAACGTTTCATTTATCATAAAATTTGACTTCATTCAATAAAGTGCGATTCTTGTAAATATTAAGCATCTGCACTCGGGATATCTATAGTTTTTACGAAGATCATCCATTTGTTTAATTACGACGCTCTTAAAATTTAAAATAAAAAATTGGATTGTGAAAATATCAACTAAACGTAATGGGTTGACGTTCTTATTTGAATCATAATTGGCTCTGCAATAGATTGTTCAACGACGTCTAACACTTGTCCATTCACCGCCATCATCTCCGGATTTATTTTCTGCAATGATATAATCTCTTTAATAAGCTAACTAATGTTAGTGAAAAGCTTTTACCTTTTTCGTGTTGAATTCTTTTGGGCTTCTCCTTGTCATCCCGGCCAGCAGGGCGGTCAGTTCGCCAACTACCAGAATCCTTATTGCCACGTTCACGATCTCGGTCTCGCTCACGCTCGCGGTCAACTTGACGGCGCTCACCACCAACTTGGCGGCGATTGTCACGATTTTCGCGATCAGCGGGACGTGAAGTTTCACGCCAATTGCTGCTATTTGGTTCCTCTCGACGTTCACGATCGCCACCACGCTCACGCTCACCGCCACGTTCACGATCACCTCCACGTTCACGATCGCCCCCACGTTCACGATCACCGCCACGCTCGCGATCGCCCCCACGCTCACGATCACCACCGCGACGGAAGTCATTACCTCTGGGACGTTCCTCGCGATCACCGCCGCGACGAAAATCGCTGCCCCGTGGACGATCCTCATCAGCCCCACCACCTGCACGACGCCATTTGTCGTTGTCACGACCAGCGGTATTACCGCCCGGTCGCGTCGGTGGAGCCGCTTCTGGATCGCGACGAACACGCCAGGAAGTTTCTGCTTCTCCTTCTTTACGTTCTGGACGACCGATTTCGCGATCACGGTCTGCTTGACCAGCACCACTACGTCGCCAATCGCCTGTATTTGAAGCACCGGCGGCAGCAACGCCACCCGCACGTGGACGCCACACGTCACGCTCTTTTTCTGGGCGTTCTCGCTCCTCACGAGCCAAACGTTCACGCTCCTCTTGAATTCTACGTTCTGCTTCTTCTTCTTTTTGGCGTTGCTTCTCATATTGAATTCGACGTTTTTCCTCTTCAGCCTCTCGCTCCTTACGACGAGCTTCAGCGATAGCTCGCTCTTCTTTTTCTTTAATGCGTCGGACTTCTTCTTCTTTACGTAAACGTTCCTCCTCTTTTTCGCGCAGCCATTGATTACGACGTTCCTTACGACGCATTTCGATGCGATCGATTAAACGTTTTTTCCTTTCCTCAGCTAAAGCAATTTCGAATTGTTTTTGCTTTTCTATATAAAGCGAAGCACGTTCCTTCTTTAAATCTTCTAAGAAAGCGTCGCGATCAGGATGCATACGCTTGAGTCGTTCTCGTTGCGCAACAACATCTTTTCGTTCAGCTATGGCGGTTTCAATACGAATCGCCTCTTGAGCGTCCCAAAACTCTTTATCCTTGATCATTTTCTCGCTGAGATATTTTTCGAATAATGGAATTTCCTTCATACGTTTGCAGCGTTCGAAGTAATCAACTTTCTTTTCTTGTGATTTTAACTTATTTTGCAATTCCTTGCGTTCACGCTGTAATTCCTCAGACTCGCGTGCGGCAATTTGTTCAGCATCAAGCTTCTTAATGCTTTCCTCGTCCAATTTTTGCAACATTTTTTTACCATGGGCTGTTTGAGAGATTTGTTGGACTTTCTCCTTTAAACTCTTCTCCTTGATCGCTTGAATCTCATTTTGATGTCGTTTACGTTCACGTTCTTCGTTTTCTTGTTCAAGACGTTTCTGCTCAGCCAATTTAGCCTTTCGAGCCTCCTCCTCTTGACGTCGAGCTTCCTCTTCTTCTCGAGCATTATTTTGCTTTTCAATGAATTCTTTGCGATCTTCAATAATTTTTTGACGCTGTAAAATACGTTGATGTTCGCGGTCTTTCATTTCATGATAATGATAGACCATTTGAGCACGGAATTTTGAACGTTGATCACGTTCTCGATTTGGATATACAATAGACACTGCCCTGTGCAACACAGTTGACATATTAACAAGTTGTGAGCGTATTTGCTCAGATGGCATAGATTGCAATGTAGGACCATCGGGATTATCTTCACGTTGACTTTCAGTTAAATCAGTACCGAAGTAAATACAACGCTTTTGATGGTCGATGCGAATCTGCATATCATTGTGACGCACTGACTCAACCAGCAATTTTTCCAATTCGTAAATATTACAAAACGTAGCTAAGTCAAGCAAACGAGAAAACTGTATACTTTCATATACTTGTGATATTTGACGTATCAAACGCATAATGGTGACATCTTTCAATGGGCGAATATATGGAGCCAATGAATTATTTTCGCTAGGAATTGCTTCTATAGCGTCAATCACCGTTTGTACACGCTTGCATAAATTAAGAGGATTAAAATCGACTTCAAGCCAATTATACAAATTTCGATATTCATCCGAGGCCAATTGTGGAACGTTAAGACGAACCTTAAAATTTATTTAGATAATTTAAAATTGCTTATAAAATTCAAGTTACTACTGATACCTTACCACTTCTTTAAGTAAGGAGGCCCGAGTGGGAGGTTGTTGTAGCCCCAATAATATAGCAAGTTTTTGGGCTTTCTCCAAAGGGCTTTTATCGGCCTCAATGAAGCGATCGAACTCGGGATGTGCTGAGGGTAATGGAATCGAAAGCGTCGCTATAAGTACATGCGAAGCCATACGTTGCATATCCTCTTTAGTAAGGTTCTTTTTTAATTCACGGGTTAACTGAAAAAGTTTTAATAGAGCCGCGGCATGAAACAGCTGATTGCCAGCTTTTGAAAAAACCATAGCTAATTTTTGATAATAGTTTGCCATTGTTTTCGGTACAGGGGTTTTTTTCGATAAAGTCATTAGACCATGAATATCTTCAATAGCTTTATAGGCCTCTTGCCATAGTTCCATTTGTATGGCACAATCGAGCTGATACAATCTGGTATCAAGGCAGAGTTGCTGAGTTTCCAACTTATTTATGGATACGCCTGTGGTCTGATTCGTACTCTTGCAAATATCCTCCAAATGCTTACGCAGCTTATCGCACAAACGACGAAATTCGCTCTTTCGATTATACTTTAAGCAAAATTGAAATGCCATGCGAGCGATCTCATGGTACAAAACTTCGCAATGGGTATTAACACGCAGCAGTTCAAGGCATTGGCAATAGGATTCCCATAGGAACTTCACCCAAGGCAAAAGAATTGTACGATCCGAACGATCTTGAGCGTCTTCGCCACAAACGGCACTCATCAAAATGCTTTCGGGAGTTGCGATATTGTCCAAATCATCTAATTCCAAAACTGCAACGGCGGCTGATGACTGAGCCTGAGCGGCTTCAGTATGCTCTTCAGCCATCCGTAAATACGCACGAATAACATTTTCCAGAGAGTTCACATTTACCAACTGAAACATATTTCGATATTGAAATAGGCCCTCTTTGGCAATATGGGATTTCTTAAGTTCCACACATAAGTACAAATATTTGTACATTAGAGGTTCAATAACAGTTTCGGAGTATGCATAATTCCATCGTTTAGTACGAAAAACTTCTTGCAAAGTATCTAAGGCACGCAAGGGCTTACCCACATCAATGAATTCTAATTAAGCGAAAAAGATATAGAAATGTATTATGTGTCTACACAAAAATCTTAAATAAAATAGTTGAGGATCATTACTATTTATTGATTACATCAAACAAAATATTTTTTCTGCTTCTGGACTCACGCGACCCTATATATATATATATGTATGTGTTATAAAATATATATGATGTGTATTTGCCATTTAGTCACTGAGAATCTCCATACGAATTTTTTTGCTGATGGAATTTTAGATGAACTTACCGTTCGCTCTTTTGAGAGCATTTTCCGGTTTCTGGGTGTATCGTGCCATTTTGATTTTAGAAAAATTCTAAACACAATATTTTCGTTTAAGAAAATATTTTTCCTATATAATTAAGTTGCTCGGGAAAAATTTAGTAAACTTGTTCAGTTTTAGTGCTCGCCTCCCGTAAAAATATATGCAAAATGGCCGAATAACATTTTAAGCAGCGACACGACGACAAAATATTCAGGGTTGCATTTAAAACATCAATATCTGCAAATTTGTATCTTTCATAAAAGAAAGTTCGGACATATAAGCCACAAATCTATTAGCCTAGTCCATCTCCGTTCAACATACCAAAAAAAAAATAAATAAATAAAAGTAAGTGTTATAGCAGTAATATTAAAAAAATGATTGCAGTCCTAGGAGTATAGACGGACATTTCAATTTACAAAAGTATAAATAAATGCAAATTAAGCGAGCTATACAATTAAAAAACACAGTTAGCCACCAGTAATTTATAAATCAAAGACATCCTCGACCATAAATATCCCCGACCTTAAATATCCCCGACCATAAATATCCCCAAACCTATATTCGCATATGTTTTGTTTTCATATAATTTAAAAGTAATGATTCACAATAACAATTCACATGAATTTTCGTTTATAATCCTGTTGATTTTACTTTTAGAAAAAGAAACATAATATTTATCATTTTTTTTTGGCTTACTCCATCTTAACTCATTATCCAAAAAAAAACAAAAAAAATACTCTTCAATTCTTAATTCAGACAATATTGTTTGTATACATTTCTTGCAAATAATTACTACTGTTTATTATCTTCGTCATTTTTGGCTAAGTCTATCTTAAATTAACAACTAAAAAAAAAAAAACAACAACATTGTTATTGACTGTGCCAAATGAAGCAAAGTGGATGTTGGAAAAATTGGTAGGAATTGTTATATAGCGGTTTTCATTCCTTTAAAGTACGCATAAGAAAGATCAACTATTGCAGGAAAGGCAATTGAAAGGTACACAAACTGATAAATCTATTATTAACAAATTTTGCAATGAATTCTTGCTAATGTCGTGGTGTATTAAGAAGGAAGTGGAGGAGTATTGAGCTTCAAATTAAGTTTGTATGAATGTTTTGTGGGAAGCGGTGGTACCCGATCACATACTTAGGCGGGCACAGGCGGATAGATAGATAACGGTTAAGCAAGCTTAAGGGGTAAAAGATTGAAAAACGATGCGGCTAGTTTTTGGATCCTTTGGATTTAAATCACAATAAAATAGCAACCCTTTCAACACTGCGTCCATATATTTCATTCAAAATGAGAAGGGTGACATCATTCACTAAAGGATTGGTCTGCGTTCTTTGTAACATTATTCCAGTTGCACACAATCCACTTGACACACATTCACTCACTATTCATAATCATTACCTACGTTTTTAGTATCTATGAAGTCCTTGTGCAAGATCTTGATGAATTCATCTTTTGCGCTTGCCTGTTCCCTTGACTTTTACTTTTTTGCTTAGCTTCTTCAAAAAATTCCATGAAATTTATACTTAACAGTCTTTTCAAGCTCATCCTAAATTCATCCGACAACAACGCTTGAAACTGCGAACTGAAACATTGCCATTTATCGAAATAAATTGCACATATATGCTAAGAGGATTTTGTTTTCAGAAATTATTCATCAATTAATGTCATATACCTGCAAATGAGTCTAAGTAAAAAGTATATATTATGGTTTGCTCAAGAGCATGTGGAATTTCGTCAAGCCGTAAGTGCATACTTATATAAAAAAGAATAAGATTTCATTTTCATATACTTTTATATAGGAATTCAATTCGTTGATGAAACTTTTCAACATACAACACATTGATTACATCAACGACAATGTAGGTAACATCAACAACATTTTTTTTAGGTTTTGTAAACTTTCAAATGATTACTATATACATAGAAACCGTTTTGGGTAATAGAATTTCCTGATGACGCAGTTGCGTTACAATATGCTTCAAGGTCTATTGCCTTACGGGCTATTTTGAAATTGTGGTCACATGGCAAAAATTATGAGACGTTTCATAAGAATTTGAATCATTTTATTGAACAAAATCAAGCTCACCTAAGTTCGCTTTTTACGAAGGAGACTTCGTTTAAAATAACCGTTGAAACGTATAATAAGCATTTGTCACAAAAAGAGAAAATCGAAAGAATTGAAAGCCTGGATTATTTGCCGTTAAAGGGTTGTGTAGATTTGCAATTGCCAAACGTAGAATGGTGGTATGCAGAATTCTGGGGTCTAGATCCCACAAATGTACCGGATAAACCTGAAGATATATTTTTTGGGCAATGGGTATGTTGTACGTAAGCAGCTAATCGAAAATGTGAATGTAAAATGTTTTTTTTTTTTTTAGTTAGCTAACGGTCAACGGCATTTGATTAAAGAAATTTCATTGAAAAACCGCAAATTTATTGGGAATACGAGCATGGATGCTCAACTAAGTTTATTAATGGCTAATCAAGCACTAGTAAAACCTGGTGATTTAGTATTCGATCCATTCGTCGGTACCGGGTCTTTGCTCGTGAGTGCTGCAAAATTTGGCGGATATGTCTTAGGAGCAGATATAGATTTTATGATGCTGCATGCAAGGGCTAGACCTAGTCGCATTACTCAAAGAGTAAGAGACAAAGATGAGAGTGTACGAGCCAACTTGGAACAATACAATTGCTCAGACCGTTATTTGGATGTAGTAATAGCAGATTTTTCAAATACTTTATGGCGTAACGATTTAAAATTCGACAGCATTATAACTGATCGTAAGTTGAAGTAGTCAGAATTGATCAAAATATTAATTAGGAATTTCGAATTAAGCTCCATACGGTATTCGAGAGGCCACTGAAAAGATAGAGACTAAACATAATAAAACAGAGATAAAAAATAGCGCTAATTTACATTACCCATCTACCTCACGTTACGCCTTGCATCATTTATATCAAGATTTGTTAATGTTTGCTTCCATGCATTTAAAACTTGGTGGCAGATTAGTGTTTTGGTTACCATTCTGTAGGTAAGTTGAACTTTTTTTTTATTGTTATTGTTCCTTTTTTTTTTATCAAGTTTATTTAGAAATGATTACACGGATGATATTATACCGCAACATGTAAGCCTAACATTGATATCTAATTCAGAGCAAATTTTAATGGGTCGTACATCTCGACGTTTATTGACTTATGAAAAACATGTCGAATCAAATCATTTCGTTTATGACAAAGTGATTTTGCATCCAACATTAACGTTGGACTTTAGAGAACGTTATTTTGAGAGTGATGATGTAAGTCGATCTGAAAAACGAATGCATAGAGCAAAGCAAAGAGAAAAAGGTCGCTTAGAGGCGCTAAAGCGTGGGAAAGTTATAACCGATGGTCGCAGTTTTAAATGCACGATGAATAGACAACGCTTCAAGGAAATTGAAGAAAATAACTGAAATTATAGCACTTTTGGTGATTTTTGTTATTCACGGAGTTATGAATTAAACTTTTATTTTAAACAACTTGGCGGTCCGGAATATATAATATCTTTTATGCACTCAAGATAGCAAAATACAATATTTTTTCTTCCCACCTTCTCTATCTTCTCCATTTCGTCTTCATATCTGTGCTGAAATATTGAGGTAGAAAGTTGAAATTCGTAAGTTGATATCCGAAGATTGTGTTTGAAAACGGAAGTGAAGAACTCACCATAAAAGCCCGAAAAAATGCTAGCTTATAATCCACAGCAAATATTAATAAATTCGCAGATAAAATATCTACGGAATTAAACTAAAAACATGATACAAACATTGCCTAGGATTATCGAAACGATCAATTTAAAAAACAATCAATCAATAATCGATCGTTTTTAAGTCATCAAGATGTCTGTAAACGGACAGTTATTTTCGGTAGAGCAGCAGGACAAAAGTCGCCTGAGTGGAAGGATACTTTTTATGCTGTAGAATATGTAGTAACTGCTCGTATGTTTATTGTGGGCTGCGAATACCTTTAATGAACGCCATTGATCGTAAAGCGTTGATTATATCAATTACATCATCGAAAGGGTCTACTGTAAATGTCCTACGGCCAGCTTCGTTACAGATAGCTTTGGCTTTATATTTTCGTTGGAAACTACTGGGCTCTTCGGTAGGCTGGCTTAGCCGCTACATTAATTATATTAATACTTCTCATTGGAGTTATTACCAAAGAACTAGCTGTTCGTTGAGCCGCTTGATAGAAGCAGAATAAGCTATCATTCTGTAGTAATACAAGTACAGTGTAAAAGAAATAGAAAATTCAACATTTTTTTCTTTCTTTTTTATTTGTCTACTTGTACTCATTCTGATAAGACAAGTTCAATTACAGTTTCTTGATTTACTCATGAAAAATAATCCAATATTTCCGTTAGTGTACGTCAACGATGTTCTAACTTAGGTGTACATTTCTCTGGAATTTCTCATATTCAAACGGTTAGGTTTTCACCGTAAGATTTACATTTAAATTGCTCTCATTAAGTAAAATGTTTATATATAGTTTGTATATAGTTTTTATTTCATATTCTGAATTAAACTATAAAGTTCTGAGAGTAATCATTGTTTCAAGTCATAGTGTGGCAAATTTTTAGAATATATTATATGCCCTTTATATATAATCAAATAATTCGACATAACCTATAATTTACCAAAGAGAAAGTCATACTATTATTTTCAACTCAAATTAACGATTTGATGCGTTGACGTATCTAACGTCTTAAAAGATGAAACGAAATTGCTCTGTCTTAGCCAGCCGTTGCTATGGTCCATGTATGCGCACAGGTATATACGCACGAAAAACAGGATATCCAATGCAATAAATATTAAAGTCCATAAATTCATGAATTAGAGCTTTAAAAAAAAAAAAAAGGTTTGTAATCAATTTATTTTAAAAAGGTTTCATAAAATTTCTCATCTTTGTGGCAATCCTTCATCGGAAAATTATGAAAACTTTGATGTTGGTAACCTTGTTACAAATCAAATTAAAACACGAATTAATCCAGTTGAGTAGGTCGTGGCAGCGGGAGTTTTGTTGCAATAGTTAACAGCGAGAACGGCATTTGGAATTGATCACATATATAAAGTAATTGAATTTTAGAAATGTTTTAACAAAAATATAAAAGAAAAAAAAAAAAAAAAGAAATCCAAAAAACACAAGTCTAATCAAAATTGTTATATTATGAAGCAAAAATTTTACGAAGGATGTTTTTTAAAAAAATAATTTTTTTTCTTTATATATATAATGCATAAGTGTGTGCGTGTGCGGTTAATTTTTTTGTCAAATAATTGCTAATTAGAAAATTTTATAAAAATTATTAAATTGAAAAGGCAAAATATAAAAAATATATGGTGTAATTAAAAAGTGGAGATATTTTGAAAAACGCATACCAGTGCAAGAAAATTTTTTTTTGAACGTCAAACAGAAAAAAACAAAAAAAAAAAGAAGCCATCAAAAACTGCAGAGCAGAAAAAACTTCTCATCGTTTAACTTTTGAGCGGTTTTAGCAACAGGTAATTCAAGAATTCATGTTGCTGCAGATGGATTCAATTCTTTGTTGCATTTATCTTTGATTTTATTATGATTTTTATGCTTTATTTCTTCTTTTTTTTTTTTTTTTTTTAGGTAATACATTGTTTTAGTATTCTTTTTTAAATGAAGTTTTTCTTTTGGTATTGTTTTCGTAGATTGCAAGATTTGCATTCAGTTGCTTGCCCATGTGTGTTTATAAAATATATAGCGTTGCGATCCCGATTTATGCTTATCCGTATATCTTTATTTATTTACCCTTGATTATTGGGCGCATCGTCATTTATGGAAACATAGCAGTTTTTATATAGAATGATTGAAGAAAGTATTAAGAGTTCGTAAGAGTGTCTTTTGAAAGGTCAACTATGGGTTATACAACACAAATAGGTTTAGTTATTAAAGCTTATTTTCTTAATTGGATGATGAAATAAAAAATTTCTTGTGACTACAATAATAAATCGGATTGAAACATGGACTAAACTACGTCAAAAAAATTTGAATGGTATCCGAACTATCATCATATCTTGCAGATCAAATCGTATCTAAGACGAAAAAAAAAGCTGGAACGTTTATTAATAACGTAAAATTCGGTCAGCAGAAACTGCGCTATAAACTAAAATTAACTATTCGATCACTACTTAACAATTAATTAAATCGCCCCTTCAAAGGTCAGGAATATTCTAAAAAAGCGGGTTATGGTCGGTGACATATGTTTCTTCGGCTATAGACAAAAACATCAAGGGTTTGTTTTTTTTTTAATTTCGATCAATATCAGCTACCTTGTATGCAGCAGTGCACCATGCCTCGTGAGCATGGCTTCCTTTTATTACCATTTTTTTATATTTTCGAAGTTTTACTTTTCTTATTGTTTTACGCTTAATAACCTCGACAAGCATTATTATTCTATTATCAACAGGCTTTAATCTTCAAATGATGGGATACCTGTTTCTTCACAGACTTTGTGGTTAGCTTTGATAAGTTCAGCCATTGCTTAGGCAGCATTTTACTCTTTACGGGCTTTGCCGGTTTGTTTAAAACTCGCTCTCCATATTGATCACTTGTTTTGTTTTCCACTCCTCCATCCGAGTTTTTCTATAAGAATCAAAGAATGTGTATTATGCTAGATATAGAACCGGAATAATTGTGTCAGTATATTATTAAGATTTTCGTCTTAATCAACTGAAATGACTTTTTTGCTATATGAGATAACCTAAGCAGCACAATTTGCTAAAGGCAAGTCTATGGTATGCCATTCAATCGTTTATAAGGAAATTTTGCAGGATTTTCTTTACTAAATCCGTGGTCTATGGTTATGCCTTTTCTTATTAAGAAATTACTTACGCTTATGTAACGTTACCACTTACCATATTTGCTTTCTTTTCTTTCTTGTATAACTTTAAAACATTCGTGCGCGTGTGAAACCATTATCGTTTTTTTTAAACCGCAGCCACGTTACGGATCAACAGCATAGTTCTAACCATATATATAGTTTAAAATAAATATATATAAAGCATCGCGCAGCCAGCATAGACGCCCACACGAAATGGGTTTAGAAAAAGTCCGCCAATTGTACATCTTTATTTTCGTTTGAATTGATGATTTAGTTTAATTCGGAGAGATGAGTGAAAATATTAATGCATACTATACTTAGTGGGTAAACTAAAGCAATCTTGGAGGAGAATCAAATACTTTAATACACTTTGTCTTTTCTTTTCTATTAATAGCGCATAAGATTCCCTTTTGATATTTAGTTCGAATGTTTCGTGTCATGTTAATAACAGACCAAGCATGTGCTCATTATATATATATATATATATATATATATATATATATTATACTACATATATAGCAAAAGAAAGCAAACAGGCATATCATATGACCTAAAGACATATGATTACACACACTGCTGCACCGCTGCTAAAAAGAGCATAGAACAATAGCAGATGACCTTTTCTTGGCGTTGTTGGTAGGTTTCAGATCTCAATAAGCTTAAAATATTGAAGGAATATTTCGGTAATGATTTCATGTGCTATTCTGTTCAGCAATGTCAAAGACGTTGACGTTGACGTTGCGGTGCGGTGCGGTGCGGTGAATGGCGTCTTAAGCTTATTATACAGCTCATGTGGATGTGGTTCATTTCATACATACATTCTACTGTTGCTTTCTAACAATGCAAGGTATGTAGCTGTGTTGCGTAGTAAATATTTTTACCTATTAAAGTATTTCATGTTTGACAAAGTTTTTCTTTTACTCATTTTTGTTTTGAATACTGAAGGGTGGAGGTATGATGGTCTTATTATTCCTATATATACATGCAACACGAGACATCGAAAAAAATATTGAATTTTTGAAATCTATTTATTTATGTCCATACGTCAATTTATTTTGTAAGACATGAATTGTGCGGACATATGAAACCCTAATAAACCCTATAATTTTGAAAACAGTTTTTGTTCAAAATCAACAATGAAAAAGACTATACACAATTTAATAAATAAGTTAGTTAGTTATACAATATATTGGTAATTCTTCTTTTGTCATGTTTGACTTTATTCGTCAACATAGTCAGTTTCCTTGGAGCGATGTAATTGGCCTATAGTAGTATTGGATAGAATGATTTCTTGACGACTTTCTCGGTTGATTTTTTATTCCTGAAATGTTCTTTGGAGATTTTCGAATAGAGAATATTCGCTGAGAGCCAGATTTGGAGAAATGCCATGAATCTAATAGAAATTCAAACTTGAATTGATGTAAAGCGCTAGCAGGATATCTTTGTTCCACAGTAAGGAAATGCGATACAAAATATAAAAAAAGTTATCGTGCAAAAAAGTGAATAAAATGCTTTTTGATGGACTTAGGACGTCAACGATCTTTTGATACTTCAGTTAACGATTGTTGAGAATAATTTGCTACCGCTTCCGATGAAGTATTTTATTGGATTTCTCTATTGAAAATAACGGAAGAAGTCTCTCTCTCTCTCTCTCTCTCTCTCTCTCTCTTTCTCGTTTGAGAATCTAACAATTTCGAAAAATAAGGCGAGTTTTTATTTAGAGCTATTTATGGCAATCTTTGGTGTTATCTCTTGGACCTGGAGTTCTGAAAGTAAGTTTCATTTTTCTATTAGTTTTCAAGCGAAATGTTTTAATTATTTTGTTTTCGGTGACAATTGCTTAGATAATGTCTTTCTTATGCCTATTAACTTGTAAATCAGATTGGTTGACATTAAATTTTACTTATATATTCTAATAAGAATGAAATATTATGCCATAGTATTTGTACTCATTCGAATGGAAACAATATATGGTTGGCCGACAGACTAAATTTTCCTTGCATTAGCTGTTGGATATTATGTGATATATATATCAAATAATATTTTTGAATAATTTTGCGTCTGTTCATGGGTAATTAACTGTTCAAACGTGCCCAGTAAGCAAAGGAATCTCGACAAAAGTGCGAGACCAAAGGCCGTAAATAATAATTCGCATTTCTGACTATTCCATAGATTCATTTTGCTCTGTAGATAAAATTTTTGAAATGATTTTGCCACATGCAAGCTTAGTACATATTTCATGGTGTATAGACCACAAGTATATATATATGGGATAATGTTGTCTGATTTGTATCGTTGATGCATACTTAATGCATTCCAGAACTTTGCCTAATTTTAGATAAAAACAAATGTTTTTATTAATATTTTTCCAACGCGAGGAGTAATAAACGCATAGCTTGAATACGTTGTGGGTTGCAAATAATAATATCGAAGCAAGCCATTCCTATCGAATCTTAAACATCTTACTGCTTACAACTTAAAAAACCTGTTTTTGTAACAACTTTTTCATTTACTACATGAATAAATTGATGCAGTGTAGAGAAATGAAAAATTTATTAACGGAATTGGTAAGTTAACGGTACATTGGCTTCGCTGTTAAATTTTTAGATTCATTTGTTTTATTTTAATTCCATTTCAACCATTTCCTTCAACAAACCATACGTCTTCTGCATACGTATATGTATTTGTAGCGGTGTAGTGGATTTTTCAATATCAAGTTCAAAACCAGTCTATACGAATCAGTTCATTCGCAGTTCTCTCTTTCTCTATTACGCTTCATTGAATGCCCAACGGTTCATTTGCCTTGGTCTCAACATTCGTTTACATATATATATATATATATATATTCACAATTGGGTGTACTATTAATACACATCATTTGTGAAAATGTTAGTTAAGTATAAGTAAGTGTATATACAATAACGTTATACGAAAACTTGTTATTTTTCCTCTTTCTTTTTCGATTATATGCAAAATTTACTGCAAAAAGTATTTGCGCGTGTTTCTTGACGTTTTTGTGATGTGAGCATAACTAGTTAAGTGAATTTATAGATGTTTTATGCAAACAGCGGTACACGTGTTCATCTAGATACTACTACTCAAGTAACGAAATGGATTTGAATACCCCTTTGGGCTTGTGTTAAAATTAGCCTCACTCTATTGATAGAACTAATCAAACAATATTCCCTCTTGTATCGCACATATATTGAAGTCGATAATATAAACAAATTCTAGTGTACTGTTAGGATAAAATGAGCAGGACAACAGAATACGTACTTTCTTTAATTATAATAAATCAACTAACAAGCGTTATTATATATAGAAAGTTTGCGGTCTTTCTTTTAGAGTAAAGTACAACTCGCTAATTATACGAATTAGTTTTGCAATTTTATTATCACATCTACTTCTCTATAATGATTTTAACTTTTATAAACCCATTGGAAGAATGGGATTTCTTAATCGCTATTAATTTGATGAAATTTAATAAATGGACGGAATTATTCCGAAAAACAATACTTTATTGTTGTTGGTGAAATCTTTCCATTCTTTCCCCTTCACAATTTTAGTTTATATGTAGATTTCCATTGAATTTTATGACTGCTTAACTCATTATCCATTGTGTTTGCGTTTATTTTGAGTCAGTGTCTCCGGAACAATTGAAATATGCATGTATGACAATGTATAACACAGACACACATATATATTTATTTCCTTTCAATATTAGTAGCGCAGAATACTCGTTGAAATTAGTTAAGGAAGTTTGTTTGATTCATCAAAGTTATAACTATGGTATTACTTTAGTTGATTTCACGTCAAAGCATGAGTAAATTGACATTTTCTCTAATTATTATTATTGTCTTTAAATAATTAGAAAATTTATAAAAAAAGTATTTGAGGTCGTTGTTCAGGTGTGGGGTTCGAACCCACGCTCCCTCTCGGGAACCAGAGCTTAAATCTGGCGCCTTAGACCGCTCGGCCAACCTGACTCTGCATCGATGTTGGATGAAAAGTGTATTTAAATTTTGTATGTTAGATATTATTTAATATAAAAATGATACATGAAAAGCATAATATCAGTTCGTTAAAAATACAACTTTATAATTCGCATTTTATAAAGGTTTCCGCACGGCCTGTTTTAAATGTAAATACGTGTCTCGCTTCCTCCGCACTAAAAGCCTACGTTCTTTAAGGTTTTGTTCATGCAAAGCGTTCGTGTGTTAGGTTTTTTTTTTCCGTTAGGCATATAAAAGTACGCGCTCTCTATGACTTCTTATATTTCAAAAAATCTTTCAATACTTTGGCGTCATATACTACTTTTTGGCTCACTAAATGTAGTTCCTTGCTAATAATGATAAATTAAAAACACAACTGTTCTTTATTTTATTTCATTTCGCTTTTGTTAAATTATATCGCCATTTAATTGTTGTTGTAGCTTGGTATAAAAATTTCGTTTTCAGTTTTAATTTACTAATGACTTTTTCGTTTAATTTGGGACGGAGTCCACACTTCATTAATATAACATTGTATTACGAACTAGTACGGAAATGATTTCGTTGAAAATTGATAAACTTGAGGAATTTGCCTTGGACTCCAATCAAATTTGTCAAATTTCATATATTTTCCCGTGTTCTTCCCAGGTGGATGGGTAATCAAAATTCGTTTTGAAGTGAATATACTTTTTTTTTGTTTAGGAAATAAGCTTCATATTGTGTGAATCACATTACGTCATACGCTTAGTTAGTTTGTCTTTACAATAGTTAAACAGCTTTGTTGGGAAATAGAGCAGAAATATGTAATAGCGAATACTCTCTCTCAATTACTATGATTACTGTAAAAGAGTTCCTAAAATCCAAGAGGGACACGGGAATGGCATTAAAAAAGTCTGCCGCAATACAGATATCTCATCAGCCCTTTATAGATGTCTTAAAATGTCATATAACTTTTTTTCTTGATAACGTTGATGGAATACAATAAATGTTTTGGATCGAAATATGTTTTCGTCATATGTGGACATTTTATTAAAGTGTTTATTAAAAGCAATGTTTCGATTAAGGGTTTGTGGGAAAGTTATTTGCAATATGCTTTTAAAAAAAAACTCAAACGCATTCGCGCTTGATCGGAACAGATAATCTATTACAATTAATTTAGCAGCATTGTTTCCTATAGATATAAACTCGGCTTTTAAATATTTACATTACATATCGCGATCAGGAGGGTCTTAAACGAATGTAATTGTTTTCAATGTAATTAATGATAAATGCTTTTGAACTTGATTTAAGAAGCAATCTAAGTCGGGCCAAGCTCCTAACCTTTTTTCTTTTTTTTTTTAAGTGAAAAATTATTAAGGTGACTTAAGGTGAGTTCGTGTAGAAAGGTGACCGTTAAAAAGAAATGAAGAAAGAGAAAAAATAGGAAGGTAATGACCGTGCCGCCCCTAGTAGCTTGAGAGAGATCAGTAGTGCAATAAAGCCCGGAAAGAGAATCGATAGAATTCCTTGTAAAAATTCTTTATGAAAAAAGTGGACTTGAGATTAAAGGAGACGATAAAACTAGATTGAAAACTAGAGTTAGATTAATTAAAGTGATGATTAAGCTCGTAATTTGTCTAATTTATATCCATTTAATGCCAAGTTTTAAAAATTAGAAAAAAAACATAATAGATAGATACTTGATAGGATCTAAATTCCTCAACAAATTTATGTAGAAGCAAAACAGAATAAACTCCGAATAGATAAGATAATTTTTACCTTAAGCATCTACTGGCAATATTTGTATTCTGAAGATAGTATTTACGAAATTAATGGCTAATCGTTTACTCACAAAACATGCGCAGTGCATTTCAATCCGAATATTGAGGAGGAGAACATTAAAGTTAAAGCTTTTAATCTGATTTGATTACATTCAAAAGGGCGGCATATCGTAAACGATATTTAAAGTAAATGCACAAATGAAACTACCCTAATAAAAATTAACTTGTATTTGAATGAACGCAAATAATGCTGTAGTCAGTGCAACGTGTACGGTCAAACGATGCAGAATGTTACAAGAGTTAAGTAAATAAAGAAAAAAAAACAAAAAAAAAAAAAAGCAAAAAAAACCAATCGCGATATGTAACGATTGTAAAGTAGGAGAGTATATGGGAAATTTATATTAACTTTATTGAATAGAAAAGAGAGAGCGAGAGAGAGAGGTACAATTACAAACTCGGTTACTAGGTAAAATGAAAAGAAAATGTTGCCAAATTCTAGAAAAAAGAGAGAAATATATAAATAAATAAATAAATGAATCCTGCATACATACAATTACAGTACGTGTGATGTCCGTGTGCACGGGGTTTACACCCAGTAACACAAAAATACGTTGTGTGGTTATCTTTAAGGAACAACTCAACATTTCTATGTGCGCTCTAATGTGAATTTTTAAAGTAAAACAATATAATGATGCCGTAATATAGTTTTGTTATACAAAATTTAAAAATGCAAGCAATATGTGGGTCATGCTGTGATCATTATGCAGCCATTGTGCTAGTGAATCTGAGATATTTTCAAAAAAAAACAATTACATTAAATTGTGCTTAGAAAGTGTGAGAACTACTTAAAAATTTTGTAAATTTATACGGCATTGCAGAATTTTTTGCAAACGCTATCCAATGTTTACATAATATACACATATAGATTTTTTTAAACATTTCTACTCACGCAGAGAGTGGGCGGAGTTGTTCATGGTAATAAAAAAAAAAAATAAAAATAAAAATAAAAAAAAATTATTACCCGTAAACATAAACAAACTTAATGAAAACTCGATGCGTGCAAAAAATTAAAGGAAAAACCAATACATGTCTGATAGTGTTCCGTTCTCCCTTTTAATGTTTAATAAGATTTTTTGCGATTAGTTCATGAAAAAGTGATAAAAGTGTAAGCTTAGTTTTGGAAATAAATCAGAAATTTTTACAGTGTAATTAATATATTATCATCTACTTTAACTTCTCGATAATTGCAATATTGATTTTTTTTTTTTTTTTTTTTGTGGTTTAAAGAAGTTATCGTTATCCATGTTGCACTGCAGACGTTATTAGTGATAATAGTGCGTACATGAACAATCTTTCAAGTGTTCTTGCCCTGGCATTAAATTTAATTAATTCGCATGTGTTTGGTTGTAGTAAGCGCACTGCTCTAAAATGGATTTTTACAGCAATAAATCGAAAAACATTGATGGTAAGTCAATTTAGTTGCGATTGCACTTATTCGCGAAAGATGTTTTCATTTTAAAGCTTCGTTTTTTTTTTTTGTTTTTTTTTTTTGCAATGAAATTACTTCTGCAAGTGGAAAAATAACTTTTAATAAGGGTGAAATTAGTTTCGGTTTGGTTATAAAAACTACTTGCTAAACAAACAAAAAAAAAAAACAATGCGCAATGGCCTATCCATAGAACTTTAAAAGATTCACCTTGCACCTACGTTGCTGCTACAACTAATCACTAAAGAATCGCCAAAGTTGGAACATGGTTTTTCAAAACCTCAAAGCAATATCACTCGGACGATTTTTGTTCTATTCATCGGAATGTATCTGAGTAACTTTAAAATTGCATCGCAAAGCGGGGCAGATGGAGGGAGATTTTGGATAAGTTAGGTTAAACCTTGTTTTCAAGAATGTTCTTTTCAAGGTATTGTGTGGAGCGAATAAAAAGCAAGAAAAACATATTTCAAGTTACGAAAGGCGTCATGTTCGCGAATTCTTTATTTTTGTCTTTGTTCGAAGAATTTGAAAAAGAAAGATATTCCTCTCAGTGTCTTTCAAAGACAGGATCGTAACTTTTACGCCTTACGTATTGTGAAGTAGTGGAGAAAACCATAAGGAAATCTATGGTTTTCCTCAATCCAGGGACAATGATAATTTTCGAATTACTATCAGCCTAGTCCCTATTTTAACCCAGCTACTCGAAGGTATTTTTGTGTGTAAATGTTTTTAAATGAATATAAACACTATATAGCCTGCCGCGCAAACCCAGAAATTGAAAGCGTCTCGTTAGAATGGTTTTGGGTTTGCTTTTGTTAATTACTTTTCAAAATTTTTTTTTTATGCGTATATATATGTTTTATAACCAAATTTGAATACTGTTATTCGCCTGCCTTTTTTCTATTCCAAACAAATTGTCAAAAAAACCGTTCCTGTAGGGCGGTTACACAAGCTTTCTTCTCTTAAAGACTCAATAGTTTAATATACTTTTCAAGTTTTCCATATTTTTAAGCCAGCGTTTACAGTAAGCTTACTTCAGTTATCAGAAATAAATTACGTAACAGATCAGTCTAAAGGTTATTGTGACCTTATGGGCACTTTACCGATGAAAAACAAGCCCACAAGATAAACGTTTTCATTTCCCCAATCCACATATATATATATATATATACTTTATCGTGTGTTAGAGAAGCAAATCGAATAAACTGTTAACTCATGTTCAACGCACTGTTAAAGTATTTTACAAGGCGATGTAAACAACAACAATGTAGATATTTAAATGACTATACAGTAAAGCATAGATCGATTTTCTTTTCTTTAGTTAATTTTGTTTTTGTTTCACATTTAATTTGCAGCTAGTTTTAAGGGCAATTTTATTCAATCTTTATTGCACACTTGATGCAATTTTACGGAAGCATATCTGATATGAATTTGGCTTTAGAATTTACATAAATGCAATGTTTTGTTGCAACTGCTATAATAACATTAACACACAAACATATCGTTCTGCTTGAAATTGTTTGAAAGTGCATGGCATGCTCCTGTATGACTTTTATTTTGTGATGATCAACTTGACTTAACACATTCCTCCAAAACACATTTCATATGAAAGCAAAAACAACAAAGAATAACTCTTCACACATGAATTGTGCATAATAATGAAAAATCACGAGAACTTTTTTTTTTTTTTTTCATATATAGTTGTGTAATATATAAAAAACTTCCTGATATTCTCGTACCAACATACACGTACAGTCAAAGACAAAATGGCAAACACATCTATGAAGTTAAAACGTCAAAAACTGTTTTAGTTAATATATTGACATTGAAAATAAACATTCATTTTCGAATGTGGGAAATTTTGATTGAAATAATAAGCTCTTCCGGGAATGAAAAATGTCAATCGAAGATTGCTTCTAGGTCTATGGAAACATTGTTTTCTCCCTTTGTTTAGGTCAATAGAAAAGAAGGGTCCGTTTTCGTAAGTGAAGTTTGCCACTCAGGAGAAGTTCACTATGCAAGCCAGATTTGTGGTGAACAGGAAAGATTATAAGAAGAGAGCGGTAGGGAGAGAAAGAGCGAGAGAGAGAGAGAGAGAGAGAGTAGATTTTGGGATCGCATTCTTCCTGAAAACGGAGACAACAGGTACATTGGGGCAAAGAACTCTTGGTCGGTTGTTGCAAAGGTCGGTTAAGTTTTTCAAATCCCTCGATTTCCTACTTAAATCTTCTTATTTATCAATAGTTTTATGTATTTACGTAAATCGAAGCGATTTATTTTCATTCATCTTTTAATCCGTACTTGTATACACACTTATGTCCTTGACTGTATGCATTTGCACTTGCATAACGTTTTATATGATGGCCTTAATGAATCTTCTGGATATACTCAAAACGTGATGGACGAACCATCTAGAACTTGCTATGCCTTGAGTATTTAATTATGTATACAGTTTTAGAGTTTATTCTGCATTTCTCTCTATTTCTTTTTTTCTTTTTTTTTTTTTTTCTACATGTTGTTTGCTTTCAAAGTAAAATATAACATTATGCTGGCAAAGTCGAGAATTTATTTCGTTTTCTTTCTACTATTTTTGTTTTTTTTTTTTTTTTTTTTTTTTTTAAATTACAAGGGAAGAAGAGACACAACGTCAACGTGATGACATTGACAATGGTATAAAGCTGAAGCTGTTTCAGTTCTTAAGAAATTGTCACCGGAAAAAATAATCAGCAACATAATATTAAACGAAATGTTGAAAAGGAAAAGCAAGAACAAGAGTTTTTTTTTTTTTTTGCATTTTATTCATAGGAAACAAAGCAAAAACCATGATTAAGTGATTTAAATAAGGAAAACAACAATTTTTAAGACTCGCAATAACGTAGAGAGAGCAAAATAGAATGGAAAAGAAAGGAGTCTCTGTGTTCATTACATTCTCAATTCATATATGAAAGGACCATAATTGATTGTTAAGAAGGCGTAACTATTCGAAAATAGATGAAGCAAAAGATTCGTACATTGGTTTGAAAAATTAAAATTTTCGAATAAAATTTCCAAGTAACACTTCATAAATATATCTATCATCTTCATTTGGTCGGGATATTGCAGACTTTGCAAGGAGAAGGCTTTACATTCTACAATTAAAACTTTTGTGGATATTTCTTCACCAAAATACGATTGCGCTTTATATCACCTATTTTACAGGTCGTTGCAATCAATGTTTCCATAGCCAATATTCAGTCGTTTTACTCTTGGATGATTAGTTCCCAGACTACTTCAAGGTCCGAAAAAAAAAAATATATATATATAAGGTTGTGAAGATAAATTCGAATTTAACAAACAAAGTCACAAAAATATTTTACGTTGTTTAATATGAACGGAGTAGGCTTTCAAATCCGACCACATCTTCATTTTAATTATTTAACAGACCTCTGTGAAGGCCTTAACAGAGTTTTGTTAACAGATATGGATGGCAGGGGCCTTTGCTAATTAGATTCGAATTTATCTTCATACCCTTAATACATATATAATATTCCAGCATCCAGGAAGATTTATGTGAATTACTCGGAAATATTTAACGAAAAAACCTTAGCATAGATAAGGCAGAGTTGTTAAGCATCTTAAACGTTATCTTTATTATGACAATGAGAGTTAATTTCGCCCGATAACACATTCTTGCAATTTCTTCTTTATCTTATAATATTTTAAATGTTGTTTTCAAGAATATTTAATTACATTGTCATGGCGGTAGCACAAAACCAGAACAAGAGGAGATAAAACAATGGATGACTTGTGGAAGTACCCTCGACTGCACACAGAGGCACATTTGTATTGAAGTATATTTCGAAAGAGAGGGCGTGCATTACGAACAAAAGAATGCCATTTACTTATATGACTCCACATCAGGTATGGGAGAGTAGAAAAGACGTTTCTTTACCAACTGAGACATTGCTAACATTTTGAACAAGCGACGTAATGCAATAAACCATAATTAGGTTTTTAAGAGAAGGAGAAAAGGGGGAGAAAGAAGAACGTTGAGATCTGTCACATCAATAACAACAACAACAACAACGATCTTTCTAACCGTTTAGTCTTTGGACTGGCATTTCGAACATTTCAAGTCCAGAAGAGCTCTCGGCACAAAGGGCAGTCTTCGGTAACATATGACTAGTAAGAAATTTCGACCTGATATCATTGCGTTTAAATTCGTTATATGAAAGAGGAAAGATTTCTTCAGTTTTGAATAAAAATCATATGCATAAGCGAACAACGTGTAATTAATTAAAACCACGTGAGTGCAAATTCATACAGAAAATAACGTTTGCTGCGTTCCTGCATATAAATTAGTGAATTCAAGATTCTCTTCTTTTTTTTTTTTTTTTTTTTTTCATTTTTCTTGTCACTCGTCACTAGCACTTACATGCTTCATAATTAACGACGATAAAAATTGTTATTGATATGAAAGAAAGCACAAGTAGTGCACATATTCATTACACATTTACCTGATGAAATTACTCTAAAATTGCAAGCAAGCATGCATTGAGAATTGTGTAAATATTTGGAGCCTACGATTTTTACATTATTAAATTTTATAAAAACTGCGAATGTTGCACATTTTTCCATGTATATATATGCATATATATATATATATACACAAACATATAAAAAACGTTTGTTTCCGAGTCTCGAATGCTTACTTGTTGTTGTGTTATTGTATTATATGAAAATGATTTCATGGTCAATGTCTATAGTACGTAGAACAAAGTGGGAGAGAAGAGAATATGCGCCTTTAAGTTAATTACTTAAACTTGGCAATTTACAGAATCCGACAAAAGTAGTAGAATATTAATGTACATTTTATTTTACATTGTTATACAGTACGGTACAACGGTGTGCACACAACGTTTATAGATTTTACCATAGATTTATTCAAATACATTTTGAGCACATTGCGATGACGACAACGACGACGAATTTACAAAATATAATAATGAGAGAAGAGAAGCGAGAGAGCGATGGATCGATTTGATTACATTTGTTCCCGTTTCCTTTTATAGGTCGTTAAAATTTGTAAATCTGTAAATTAAAATAAAATATGATATATATCCGTTCACTTACAAATCAATGCTGCATATAATAATTCCGAACAGTTATGAACCTAAGAAAGACGGAACGCTTTTCCTTTCTTATTAGTCCCAGTAATGATTGTCGCAAGTTAAAAATGATTAATATTTGATATCTGCATCCTAATACCGCTTTGTACACATACATACACTAAATCAGTCGATAATTCCCCGATCAGATATGTAGATGTCGACTTTAAGCAAAATTCATGTTATGCCAAAATTTCATATTATTTCGATCACTTGTTTACCGGAGTCACAGTACTTTTTGTATTAATGCTATTTTCCTTACCAAATAATGGAAAAATCCGAGTTTCATATCTTGATTGAAGCCACTGCTTTCGTATGAGGTCAGGTGCAGCCCAAGTTTAATATTCGCTGGTATCGTGTTAAGGTAAAAACACTTTTTTCATCGTACACGATAATCTGGCATTGTCGTTGTCCATGATTTCTCGTCCTGAGGCTGAGGAAGGTAGACGCAGTGGACGAAAATTTGGGCAAAAGAAAGTTACGTCACACTTTGAACACAACATCTCACAGGTCGATGTCTGCAGACGGCAAAATCCACAAATTGATTTAGTCTCCAGCGACTGCTATCTATTTCCAAATCTCAAAAGGGTATTCCAGCGAAGATATCTTCTTGATCAAAACAGGCAGTCACTGTGGAGACTGGGGAGCATTTTTATGGTCTTTTGGCGAATCACCTTTAAGTACCCACCGCGCAACACTTTGTTTAATACAATTGTTTTCAAAAGTCATTATATGGCAAAGTTAGTCAGATTCGAGTCACTTTTAACGGCGTTCATCCCATATCGGGTGTACGAGTCTATAAGTTGAACGGAAGCATTCAAGACAGACAGATAAGCTTAGATTCATTCTGAATCGATTGGGGTCGGGTCTATCTAAAATTCTTTAGAGTGTTCCATATACCCATACAGAGTTCATATACTCTTGTACCACAAGTGATGTTCGGCATAAAAGAAAAATGTTAGAGAAGTGTTGAAGAAAAGAAAGTTTTCTATTTACTTATTACCGGGAATTAATGATCGTTGCATTATACATAAATTTGTAACATGATTTGTATGTATGCACACTTTTTATAGGGGGGTAATATTTGCATAGAAATGAAAAGGGTTAAGCATGCATGTATGAGTTTAAATGATTTCACCTTGTTGTTGTGTGGTGTTCTCTCTATTTCAGCAGATGTTGGCGGTAAATATCAATTTAATAAATTACTTTATCAAAACTACTCAGACTCAGATAATTTTGTTTTGTAAAATCGAACCGATATACCTCTTATGTATGTGTTAGTGCTAAATATTTTTTCTTATAATTTAAAAATTTATTTCATTAGTTTTGAAAAGAAGTAATTAAAAAACAAATAATTACCTTAATATCTATTAATTTTTTTTTGAAATTTTAATTTGGAATTAAAAAAATGCTTTCAAAAAAAGAAACAAATTTAAATAAAAGGTTTTCTTTCGCAACAACGAAAATCATGTACAAGAGCGTGTTTGGTATATGACTCATCCATTAGCTCTATGATAAATAATTATTATATGTATTGTCTTGTCTTTTCTCTGTCTCTCTCTCACTCTCTCTCTCTTTCTTGTCTCGTCTCTCTCACGTTCTCTGTCTCGCTTTATTTCTCTTTCTTTCTTTCTCTTAACGGTTAGATAGATACGTAAAATAATGATCATGTTAAACAGAAATTTTAAATTACAAACTATGACAACGAAATTGTAACAAATTTTGTTCAAAATGTTTCTTTTATCTTTTTATGGTTCACTGCTTGAAATCAAATCGTCATGTTTAGTTCAAACGTCTACATGATTAGGTAAAGATATGATAATATATCTTCATATATATATATATATATGTATTATGTATTACTCTTCTATAGAAAATTTAAATGATTTTTTATTTGATTGGCTAGAAGTCGTAAATAAAAAGGACCAAATTACACATATGATATATACGATAATTTCCTAGATGATGGATGTCTAAGGTTCGTTTTAAGCTTACTTATATACTTTTTAAAAAACAAGTTTAGATATATATATATATATATATATATATATATGTGTGTATATATGTATATATATGTATGTATTTGCTCCTAGCCACGTCTACTGTGTGTATTATCGGTGCCTGACTACGCGGCGAATGAACTTTATTGTTAGTTGTTAGCACTTACTTTAAAGCATAAAAAATTCTTAGCAAACTTCTACAACTGTCATCATCTTGCATATAAGCAGTGCGTGCCTTGTTTTTAATATCTAAAAGGGTAAAAAAGTTTGTTTTTTTTTTTTTGAGCCCTTTCTAAAAATGTTCAATAGAAACGAACGAAGAAGGCGGAGATGGCCACAGTGTAAAAATTTCCTTATCTTATAATTTGTTTTTATAAGAAATTTTTGTGTGCCAAATATAATTTATTTATAAATGCATATATACATATGTAAAAGGTTTAATTTAAACTACGGAAGGAAGTGCAACAACATTATTCTATTTTTCGAAATTCTCTACCGAAATTTTACTGAATACTGTACGAATATTCAGATTCAGAATGAAAAGGAAGAGAGTAGTTATGCGGTCTCGGACGCGGACAGATAGACAGACGTGATTAAAATGAACAAATATATAAGTGATATGAGCGATGATCTATGGTATATTCTCGGCAATAAATATATATAAAGGCAATAGGTATAAAAGCACTTCAATTCTCGACTGTTCCAAAAGGAGAAACCACCCCTCAATCAGTTTAATTGAAAAGACCAGTGTTCTTGCGGCAAATTAAAGAAATTTAATTATGATTCCTCTTAATAATGGATAAAATGGATTCCTTCAGTGAGATTGTGAAACCTTCAAAAATCCCCAATCACAATAAGTTTACTTCTAAAAAAAAAGAGTCGCTGCTACGTTATTCTTCCCAATCAAATTCTTTACAAACTTTTAATAGCCGTGTTATGTTTACTTGATTTTTTATGATAAATTATTTAAATGATTTGATTGTGTGATGGTAATGGATGAGAAGTGTACAAATTCTATTCATATGCTTGTATCATGCCACGACCCAGCTTGAGAAACCTTATAAAGACATGCACTCTTGATCCGAATACTGTTTTGAGTCGGTTTAGCTGTGTTTTTGGTCATAATCGCAAAAATTTGAGGTTGAAAACTACAAATTGATCTATTATAGATATATATTTATAGTCACATCCGGAATAGGGAAAAAATTGACTACATTTTTAATAGGCTTTTTTTTTGAATATGTGTTTCTGGGAAGATAGCTGTGTCACCTGTTCCAAATCTTGCTTGTTTTTATTCATTCTTTTTTTCATTTATTTTTTTTTATTTTTAAATCATTTTACTTGTTGTCTTCGGAAATATGTTTGTTGAGATAATATATGTTTTCGCAATTGCTAGCTGTGTGTATATGCGAAGATATGCACATATTTTTTTTTCTTTACTTCTTCGCTGATAAGATTAACTTAATTGATTTAATGATGAAATAATGAGAGAATTTTTTTTATTTTTTTTTTGATTTTCAGTTGAAAAAATGGACGCACAACTTGTGTGGGCCCGCGATCCGATCGAAGGTTATCTACAATGCCGTATATCGGAAATTGGTGCAAAAGAATTTGAAGTAACACCACTAGATTCCAAATATTCGAAACGATCATGTCATGTCGATGATATATTTTCTTCTTGCGAAGGACCGCAAGATCACGATGATAATTGTAAGTAAACATGTGTTTTTTTTTTGTTAAGCAATCATTTAGATAAGCTTTTTACGTCCTTTTTTTATTTTTATTTTTTTATTTTTTTTTTTTTTGTAATTAACTGTTACTTTCAACTATCACTTTTAACCCGTTTTCATTTTTCTTTACTTTTTTTTTTTTTATTTTCTCTCACATATGCATTTAATTAAAGTTTGCCTATTATTATATGTTACCCTAGTTTCCCTAACTTTTACTTACTTTTGCAAATTAGAAAAAAATAATGCGACAGTAATTAATAAAAGCAAAAAATATTTTAATGAGACCAATATAATATAATCGTATATATGTAAACTACCTTCAAGTTGTTTTTATTTATACAAGTGCTTTTTGTCAGCAACGAAGAGTTTATATAAAATATTTTTGCGATTTCCTTTAGCATTTATGCTGAAGATCCCATAACTAATAAGAAACAAACTTTGCAGGTCTCCGTCAGACAGAGGTCAGGTTGTTGTAAAGAACTATGCATGGGTGCTCTTGTTCTTCCATTACCCAATATCATCAACTGATTGACACCGATTGAATGATGCACCGAAAATGTAGTTTCGAGAGAAAGGCGTAACGACATGACAGTTATAATTACTCGAGTTAGGAAATCACTTCCTTGTCTCTGCTTTTTTACAATCAATTACTCTACTACTAGTGCTACTATTATTACCTATTTTTATAGGCCTAGTTATGAACTCTGTCAAAGGACAAATATGGGTTTTTTGAATTGTAATTATTTTCGCTTGAAGCAGCGCTCGAACGGTTTTGATTTTATGTTCTGAAATGACTTGCAAACAACAAACTGGACAAATTCTGTCCAAGCTGAAGAGGAGCTCCATTCTTTCTCTTTTGTAGCTTCCTTTGAACAGGCTTTTTTATACTTTATGCCATCACCAAAAATGTTCAAACAAAACTCTTTCTCCTTTTTTTGATAATTTTTCAGGTGAACTAATGCTTTTAAATGAAGCCACATTTCTGGATAATTTAAAAATACGTTATTATAAAGACAAAATATATGTAAGATGTTTTTTGTTTTTGAAATTCAAATGAAAGAAGAAGAAGAAATGTTTTAAATGTTTTTTTTTTATATTTGAATTAGACCTATGTAGCTAATATATTGATAGCGGTTAATCCATATCGTGAAATCATTGATCTCTATACACCTGCCACAATCAAAAAGTATAATGGACGTTCCTTAGGTGAATTATCACCGCATGTATTTGCCATAGGTAAAAATGTCGATTACATTAAAATATCAGTTGATGAGTAATTTTGTGGCTATCTTTAGCGGATAAGGCGATACGGGATATGCGCGTATATAAATCATCGCAATCGATAATTGTTTCGGGTGAATCGGGTGCCGGCAAAACTGAGTCCACTAAATATTTATTAAAGTATTTATGCCATTCGCATGATAGCGCCGGACCAATCGAACAGAAAATATTGGATGGTAAGTCTATACATATAATGTTATATATATATGTATATATATATATATATGATAGAATCTTTACAATTTACCTGATTCGCTATATGCAGCTAATCCGGTTCTGGAAGCGTTTGGTAATGCTAAAACTACCCGTAATAATAATTCTTCACGTTTCGGTAAATTCATTGAGGTGCATTACGATGGTAAATGTCAGGTAGTCGGTGGCTATATATCACATTATCTGCTGGAAAAAAGTCGCATTTGTACGCAAAGTGCTGAGGAGCGAAATTATCATGTCTTTTATATGCTGTTAGCTGGAGCGCCGCAACATTTACGCGATAAATTATGTCTCGGCAGACCAGATGACTACAGGGTATGTGCGAGATTTTTTAACAAATTTTCTTATAGTGTACGGCTTAAAACGTTTTTAATTTTAATTCTAGTATCTTTCCGGCTGCACGCAATATTTCTCTAATAACAAGACTGAAAAATTAATACCCCAAACTCAGAAATCGGCAACACATTCGGAAAAGGGTCCTCTTAAGGATCCTATAATCGATGATTATAATCATTTTCAGAATTTGGATAAGGCCTTAGGACGATTGGGCCTTAGTGAAGAGCAAAAATTGGAAATATATTCGTTGGTCGCGGCTGTTTTACATTTAGGCAATATCTGTTTTGAGGAGATTCCAGATGACGCCCGTGGCGGTTGTCAAGTATCAGAAAGTTCAGAAAAATCCTTAACAACTACTTGTCATCTCCTAGGTGTAGATTGCGATGAATTAAGACAAGCTTTGGTTTCAAGAGTCATGCAAAGTAAGGGTGGCGGCTTCAAGGGTACTGTAATTATGTAAGTCGCCAGATCTATACATATATGTATTTAATGAGGAAATTTAATAATTGCATTATGTAGGGTTCCGTTGAAAATCTATGAAGCTTCCAATGCTCGCGACGCTTTGGCCAAAGCTATATACAGCCGTCTATTTGATCGTGTTGTAGCGTTAATCAATCAAAGTATACCATTTCAGGCTTCCAATTTTTATATCGGTGTTTTAGATATCGCAGGCTTTGAGTATTTTACAGTCAATTCGTTTGAACAATTTTGCATAAATTATTGCAATGAAAAATTGCAAAAATTCTTTAATGATAATATTTTAAAAAATGAACAAGAATTATATAAACGCGAAGGCTTGAATGTACCGGAGATAACATTTACCGATAATCAAGATATAATAGAGTTAATTGAATCGAAATCATTTGGCATTTATACGCTACTGGACGAAGAATCAAAATTGCCGAAGCCATCCGCCCAACACTTCACGAACGAGGTGCACAAAGCGTGGATTAATCATTTTCGTTTAGCTTTGCCGCGATCTTCCCGACTAAGGGCTCATCGTACATTAAGGGACGAGGAAGGTTTTCTGGTTAGACATTTTGCCGGAGCTGTTTGTTACAATACGGTTAGTGATTATTTGAGTTACATTTCAAAATAAATTACAAATACAACTATATATATATATTTGTCTCAGGAACAATTTATAGAGAAAAATAATGACGCTTTACATGCTTCTTTGGAGGGTTTAGTGCAGGAATGTAAAAATCATTTGTTGAATTCATTGTTTTCCTCTGCGGCAAATTCGAGCACGCGCGGCAAATTGAATTTCATTTCGGTAGGTTCTAAATTCAAAACACAATTGGGCGAGCTAATGGAAAAATTGGAAATGAATGTAAGAATTATTTAATAAATTATGCACGCACCCAAAATAATATTAAAAACACTATGAATATGTTATTTTACAGGGTACGAATTTTATACGTTGCATTAAACCGAATAGTAAAATGGTAGATAGAGAATTTGAGGGGGGTTTAGCTTTGGCTCAGCTTAAATGCTCCGGTACAATCTCCGTATTGGAATTAATGGAACACGGTTATCCCTCGCGTGTACCATTTGCTGATTTATATAATATGTACAAATCGTATCTACCGCCAGAGTTAGCTAAGCTACCGCCACGCACGTTTTGCGAAGCTATGTTGCAGTCATTAAATCTCAGCTCAAAAGACTTTAAATTCGGCATAACAAAGGTATTTTTTCGACCTGGAAAATTTGTGGAATTCGATCGCATTATGAAATCCGATCCTGAGAATCTCTTGGCGATAGTCGCCAAAGTCAAGAAATGGTTAATCCGATCGAGATGGGTAAAATCGACTCTAGGAGCAGTTTGTGTTATTAAATGTAACGTTCAATTTGATGTTCACAGTTCCATAGGTTACAAGCAATTAACAATTTTTTCTTTTTTTTGTTGTTGTTGTTGTTGTTGTTTTTAGTACGTAATCGTATCAAATATCGAAATAAATGTGTATTAATGATACAAACCTATGTACGCGGTTATTTGGCTCGAAAACAACATCGTCCACGTTATGAAGGGATATCGAAGATCAATAAAATACGGCATAATGCTCAGAAAACTGTAGAAATAGCCGCTGGCTTAAAGAAAGGCCGTGAAGATATAATCGAGGAAGTGAACGATATTAATCGACAAATCGATGAAGCCATAAATCAAATAAAGGTATATAGCTCTATATATATATATATATGTAGAAATAAGGAATTTGTCCATACTTCCTTCCTTTATGTAATTAATTAGAAAAATTCAAAAATAACAACAAGAGAAATTGATGCTCTTTATACCACGATTATGGCCAACATGAATAAGACTACAGTGGACTTGAATACAAAATTAAAGGTATTTCTTTTCGATGAAGCTAAAAAATGTAAATTTTTGCTTTTTTATATATATTTGTGTACAAATTTTTAGGAACAAAAGCAGGCAGAAGAGCAAGAACGTTTACGTAGAATACAAGAAGCTTTAGAAGCGGAACGACGTGCTAAGGAAGAAGAAGAGCTTCGAAAACGTGAAGAGCAAGAAACTAAACGAATGTTAGTAAAATTTTTCTAAAAAATAATTATGTATATGTGGCGAAATGAAAGTTGGTCGTTTTCTTTTTTAATAGTAAAGCTGAAATGGAAACGCGTCGCAAAGCCCAAGAAGTGGAGCGTGTTCAGCAAGAAGAAGAAGATCGTAAGGCAGCCTTGGCCTTACAGGCGCAACTCGAGAAAGACGCTCAAGACGATGCCAAATACCGACGTCAATTAGAACAAGAAAGGCGTGACCATGAATTGGCCTTAAGGTTAGCCAACGAATCGAACAGTCAAGTTGAAGATAGTCCACCAGTTATAAGAAAGTAAGTAGTATTTTTAATTGCATTTTGTTCCTTTGTACCTTTTACCTGTATATAGCTTTAAAAATTTGCAAAATACTTTCTTTAATAATTTAATTTTAATTTGAAAAATATCTATTTAATTTGTGCTGTGCGTCTTGAGTTTTTTGTAAATTCTTCAGGAAGAAAAAAAAGAAAAAAATTATTTACATTTCGTCTTTTTTATCTTTTTCTTTTTTTTTTTTGGTTTGTTCGCAAAAAGTCTTCCTTTTCTAAAGAAATGGTAATTGTTTTATATCTCTATTCGTATGTTCTTTGTATATATGCGAGAAACTAAACATCTTTTTTTAATTAAAGAAAAAAACTTTCATCATTTATATTTAACTTTTTCATTGTTTTTATTATATTGCTCTCTTATTTATTACACATCACCATTCTTTTCAAATCCCCAAACAACAACAACATATTTATTTGGTCTATGTTTACAGTGGTCAAAGTGAAGCAACTCTTGTGGGTGCCAATAAGCTCATCAGGTATAAAAAGAATATAATAATAAGTATTAATTTTAAATATAACCTAAGCAACAACAACAAGACTGCTTTATAGAAACTATGCTTGTATGTAATACATTTTACAAATAATATTCTCTCAGCCTTTTAAGGAAGCGATGACGTCATAACACAATAATTGCAATCTGTTTGTTTTTACAAAAAAAAAAAAAAAAAAAAAAAATCAGGTTGTCGTGATTAAAAGTTGATTAAAAGGGACAAAGCATTGTCACTTTAATTTGTCTAAAATACTTACGCGCTTTATTGCCTTAAAAGTATTGATTTCATTTCAAAAAACTTTGACTTATTTATATTTAAATGTATATTTCACTTAGTAAAGTCCATCAGATTGGAACGTTTCCATTAGTATTCGCTCTCTAACTTAAAAACAAACCTTTTCAAGGCTGAGGAGAATTAATAATATATGAAACTCGTCTTATGACGGACATATTATATTATATAATAAGAAGGAATATGTGTGTGCGTGTATGTTTTTTTTACTAATTAAATATTTTTGAAAACTTTTCTTTTGTTTTTCCAAAAACGTTGTTCTCTGTAAGTTTTACACGAGGTGTGACAACATTTGCATCTCGTTTTTTGCATAATAAGTGAGTTTGGGGTTGAGTTTATAAATAATATTCACTTAAAATGTATAAAAAATCGCATCGTCATACGTATATATATATATATATATATTTATAGATGAACATAATTTGTAGATCTGAATACAAAAAAAAAAGTAGTTTACTCGATCTTTACACTTCCTCTTGGGGTTAAGGGTATTATTATTCCATTTTTAGTTTAACGCATTGTTCATAAATTTGATAAACAAAAAACATAAATTTACTTTTTAAAATAATAATTTTCTTTATATCACTTGTTTTTTTTTTTTCATCGATCGATTCATCACATAGATCTGAAAATGTACGAGCGCAGCAACAGGCGTTGGGCAAACAAAAATATGATTTATCCAAATGGAAATATTCAGAATTACGTGATGCAATTAATACATCTTGTGATATTGAATTGTTGGAGGTTAGTTTTCATTTAATTGCATTATTATCATCTTTAAATAAATGTGTAAAAATAAAATATTAGGCTTGTCGTCAAGAGTTTCATCGCCGCCTAAAGGTTTATCACGCCTGGAAGGCTAAGAATCGTAAACGTACCACTATGGAAGAGAATGAACGAGCACCGAGAAGCGTTATGGAAGCCGGTAAAAAAAAGTACCCTTTCAAGTAAAATTTTTCATTTTATAAAATACTATTGCTTTTACAATAGCTTCTAAAGCACCGCCTTTGGCTCAACCTAAGCAAGAAATCACTACTGCCCAACATCGTTATTTCCGTATACCTTTTATGCGCGCTAATGCTCCCGAAAACAGTAAGTTAATGTTCATTCGAACAAAAAAAAAAGCTGACGTAACAACTTCTTCTCTTCTTCATTTTCGTAGCTAAACGTGGTTTATGGTACGCTCATTTCGATGGCCAATGGATAGCAAGACAAATGGAATTACATGCTGACAAACCGCCTATACTACTTACAGCAGGTAATGGAATAGTTGAATTTAATACCTTTCTTTTTTTGTTTGGTTAAAAATGTGAAACAACTTCATTAGAAGTACTTACTTAGAGGTTTAATTCTGTTTCTACTAAGAATGAAATATTTTTTTTTTTTAAATCTTGAATACATATTTTACGACCACAAATGATTGATCACCACCATGCAAGCAAAATTTAAAGTTTAGATCAATATCGGAATTTCATAGATAATTTTATGGCACTCTCTACCCATTATGCCCTTTATACCTTACCTTATCATTTGTTGTGTAAATTGTATTAAGTCTGTACGAATGTATGTAACACAAAGAAGGACTTTAGGTAAACCCATTTTCTTCATTATTTGAATTGATTCCAGCATATTTGTCGACCTGATGTCGGCCCATGTAGCGCCTATTGATCGCAATCTCACCCTATGGCTCTTCACTTGAAAAAAAACCTTGTATGGAAAAATAGCAAATTTTTAGCAGCTCTCAGCAAAATCAGTAGGAAATGGTTTTATCTTTTTATATTATATAAAGGGAAACTAAAATTTTTGGAATTCTATGACGAAAATTTGTTCAGAATAGTGATATTTGGATAATGACGATTCAGAGCGATAAGTAAATATTTGTATGATTCACCTAAAGGGTACTTTATTAGGTTATTTTTGGCAAAAGCTCGCGACTGTCTAGCTATTTTTTAGTAAAAATAAAAAATAAAAACAAAAAAAAAAAAAGTTAAAAAATGACATTATATCACAATTTGTAGGTATCGATGATATGCAAATGTGCGAATTAAGTCTAGAAGAAACTGGTCTTACACGCAAACGTGGAGCTGAAATTTTGGAGCACGAATTTAATCGCGAATGGGAACGTCATGGTGGAAAGCCTTATAAAAATTTGGGTGCTAAGTAAAGTTCTTGGGAAAATCGTTAAAACTTTTAAAATTTCTTTTAAAATCGAAAACAACATGCATGTCACATGTAGTTAGGGGCATCATTTTTAAGTAACAAAAAAAAAAAAAAAAAAAAAAAAATCAAATCAATAAACAAAAATTATTTGTGCCTTTTGATATCGAAAGTGTACGTATGTGTTTCAACAAACGAACTGGCATATGCAATGCAAATGTATTCTAAAGTATTATTGAATATAATATATATATCACCTTACTACACTGTACTATTAAATGTTCCGTTAAAAAAACTACATAATTAAAATTATGATCTGATAATAATCAAAATATGTAGACATAAAAAAAATATAGCATATAGAAGAGCATTTCATTAAAATTCGCGAATTAGCATATAAAACACTTTACTTTTTTTTTTTTCAAATTTAATTGTAACTCTATACATTTCATTTATTTGTAATTAAATTAAAATTTTTTACAAAGTTAATTTCCAAAATTTTATGTTTTGTGTAATTAACAAGAACAAAAAAAAAAAAAAAAAAAACAAAAATTAAATAAAGAAAATAAAAAATTTGGTGTTTTCGAAGAATTTATTATTCATTATAAACTAAAAACTACAACTATATTCTGTTTTCCCATTTTAATCAACTTAAATTTACTTACATAAGAGATTTACTTCAAAAGAAAAATGATGAAAGCCCTTCTGCTTGTGTAAAAATTATATAAATATAATATTTTTCTCTTTTCTTTCCAAAAAGAATGTCCATTTATAATTAATATAATTTTGATGAATTTGATTTAAATGATAATTCCAATATTTTATTTAATGTCATCTTTTGTCCTAACTCATTTGCATTCAATAATCTTTTCCTATTTTCTGTACCCAATGAACTAACGCTTAATGTCGTTGTGGTCGGTAGTGACGTAGCTCTTTGTGGAAATGGTTTCAAACCGTTTGTTACTGCGCTATTAAAACGCAATTTAGCCGGCTGAGGTTGTTGCTCGTAATACCCATTTTCCAAGCGTCTTTCAAAACAAGCCAATTGCTCTTTGCATTTGCGTACTTTTTCGCGTTCAGCCTTTAAATCACTTTGTAAACATTGCTCCAATTTGCTGAATCCTTGCATTTCTTCGTCAAGTTTCTTATATTCAGTTTTTTGTACTTCAATATAGTGTTGCGCGTACAAGCGTTGTTGTTCCCTATGGAATTTTGCAATTTGCTTAAATTTTTGATAATATTTCAATGGATCGATAAAGTATTCAGCTACTTCTCGTGGCATTTTCGCACTAATAGGTAAAGATTTTACAGGACGAGAGCATACGGCGCAATTGCTTCCTAAGCAATTTTGACAAATAATATGACCGCAACGGCTTAAATGCAGTTGCAACGTGCCTTCTTCATCTTTTCCAAAACATTTGTTACAAGAAAACGGACACGACATTTTGCCTACATAGAATTGTTTGGCAAGAATAAAGAAACCATTCGACAATTTACGGCTGAACGCTTTTTTGAAGCAATAGAAATGGAAGTGTATTTGCTTTTTACCGTTATGTCAGTTACATGGTTGAAAGTTTTTGGTGCAATTGCAATGAATTTTATAAATTAAGCAGTAGATTAAATTATTTGCTTTAGTAGTATGTACAATTTCGAGTGTGTATGTTAATACACGTACAATTCTCATTTGAGAAAATCGACTACCTCTTCCAATTCTCGTCTGCGTGCTTGTTTTTGAGCCCAACGGCTTTCTGCGACCTTAGTATTAGTTACCCAACGATCGTGCGCCAAGCGCATACCACATTCATCATTTTTAGATGTATTCAAGCTTTGATTTCCTTGCAAATCATACGTAGTATCTGAACGTACGTGACGTTGCTTAGCCGGGCATAGTTTGCCATCTTTAGGAAATGGTGGTTCTCGTAAATACAATTTCAAGCAACCCTGATGGAATAAGTGACCACAATAGACCCTCTCTACGTAAGCATCTTTACTATCGTCAGTTTCTAAATCTTTGGGATCAGCGGGCAACGCTAAAAGCCCACATACGGGACAGCATTCCTTTGGGAAGGCACATATCGCTTCTAAGCAGAATTTTAATGCTTTATGAAGGCTAGGTACCGGCTTAAAATCTCGCGGTGTTTTACCCTTGGGAAGACGCAAAGGCGCTTCCACACATTGCCTGGCAATTTCACGTGACTGACCATTTAGATAGCGCGAAAGAATTGCCGGTAAATTCGTCTCTTGCTGCCGTAGATCTACACATTTTTGCGGATATTCCTGCGGCACTAGTGCTTTAACACGATAAAAGTAGCCACCAGCTTTCGCATTTAATAGCACAGTCGATAATTTCTGTTTCAGCTTTAACTGGTCCGGTGAAGCATCACTACCCATATCCTTACGCAATGCTTGAATTTCATCAAAACATACGCACAAAGGATTTTCTTGCACGTATTCCTGCATAAAGCGTAAGACGTGCAGACATTGCGTTTTACCCAAATGCTCCTGTGCCTTTTTCTCACACAAACTAACAAGTCTGTTTAAGAATTTCTCTGAGAGTGTTTTACTTTTCAACTCAACTAATATATGCTGATTTGGATACGTCTCTGGAAATCGTATACACACTGTAATTGGCCGATTTAGTTGATCGATATTAACGCGCAACAATCCGCTCGTGCATGCAATTATTTTTGAGCTTGGGACAACATTTTCGCATAGTTTACGTACTTCCTCAATTTCGAAATCGAGAATGCTCATAATCTCTTTTAAAAAAATTTTTGATACAAACAAAGAAAATTTACATATAGTTAATGTTAACTAAAAATTTACGTTTTTGAAAAAAAAAAATATATATATTCTAAATGTGAATACTGGTAGTTGTCGATATTAATATTTTTTATTGCTCATTGCAAAATTGCATTTACATTGGTAAGTATTCTTTCTTATTATTTCATTACATCTGGTAATTTTTTGGTAGAGTGGCCATATTAGTTAAACGCTTAAGCTTATGAAAAACGATTCATTAACATTTCGTGGACAGTTTTTGGCATTTGCAAGCAAATAGTAGAATTTCATCATTCTTGAAAATGGTACTGGATTTAGATTTATTTCGAAGTGATAAAGGCGGTGATCCCGATGCTGTACGCAGAAATCAAGAAAAGCGTTTCAAAGATGTAGGCTTAGTCGAGACGGTCATCTCTGAAGATATGGAATGGCGACGAAGACGTCACCAAGCCGACAATTTGAATAAAGTGAAAAATCTCTGCAGCAAAGTCATTGGTGAGAAAATGAAAAAAAGGGAACCGTTAGGCGATGAGTCAGATGAGATACCGACAGAATTGCAAAGCCCTTTCACTGAACTCAACATTGAAAAACTGTCCGAGTTATCGGTGAATCAGATTAAAAAAGTGCGCTTACTAATTGATCAGGCAATGAATGAAAATGAAAGCCTATTGCAAGCAAACGAAGAGAAACGTAATCTAGCCTTGCGGGAAGTGGGCAATCATTTGCATGAATCAGTACCGGTGTCTAATGATGAAGATGAAAATAAAGTGGAACGTATGTATAGCAATTGTGAGAAACAAGCCAAGTATTCGCATGTAGATCTGATCGTTATGATTGATGGAATGAATGGTGATAAGGGCGCCGTTGTTTCCGGGGGACGGGGGTACTTTTTAACTGGCCCAGCTGTATTCTTAGAACAGGCTCTTATACAGCATGCTTTACATATGTTATATGCGAAAAACTACACGCCTTTATATACCCCTTTCTTTATGCGCAAAGAAGTAATGCAAGAGGTGGCTCAATTATCTCAATTCGATGAAGAGCTTTATAAGGTTGTTGGTAAAGGAAGCGAACGAGCCGAGGAGGGATCAAGTGATGAGAAATATTTGATAGCGACTTCTGAGCAGCCGATAGCTGCTTATCATCGTGACGAATGGCTATCCGAGTCGGCATTACCCATTAAATATGCCGGCTTATCCACTTGCTTCCGTCAAGAAGTCGGTTCTCATGGTCGCGATACTCGTGGCATATTCCGGGTTCACCAGTTCGAAAAAGTGGAGCAATTTGTTTTAACATCTCCTCATGACAACAAATCTTGGGAAATGATGGGTGAAATGATCGGCAATGCAGAAGATTTTTGCCAATCTCTCGGCATTCCATATCGTATTGTAAACATTGTCTCAGGGGCTCTTAATCACGCTGCAGCTAAAAAGCTAGATTTAGAAGCATGGTTTCCCGGGAGTGGAGCGTTCCGCGAGTTAGTCTCTTGCTCGAATTGTTTAGATTATCAGGCGCGACGCCTTCTGGTGCGTTACGGGCAAACCAAGAAAATGAATGCTTCCGTCGATTATGTTCACATGTTGAACGCTACCATGTGTGCCACCACCCGTGTTATTTGCGCCATTCTGGAAAATCATCAAACCGAAACTGGCGTTACAGTTCCTGAACCTTTAAAGAAATACATGCCCGAAATTTATCGCGAGGAGATACCATTTGTAAAGCCAGCGCCAATCGAATTGGAAGCAGCGTCAGCGAACAGTAAAAAAGTTAGCAAAAATAATAAAAAAGATAGAGCAGCTTAAGAAATCTTCTTTGGGACGAAGATGTTAATGCATTTCTGAACGGCTTAGCTTTAAAACTTTTACTATGGTATACACAATCTCTCTCCTCAGAGGCTTATCAGCTATTGTTGTTTTCTAATTAATTAAACATTCACATTTTGCAAATAAGATGAAAAAAAAAAAAGAAAACACTTATGCAATGATCCAAAGTGATTGCAACATTTAAGGAATCGAGTTTTTTTTTTTTCTTAATTATGTGAACTGCAAGCTAGATAAGAGAACGTTTTAATTCTTGTTTGCATAATCGTTTTTTTTATCCTTTATTGAGAATGACTTGGCTGCGACTATTTTCGTTTATATTTACATAAATATTTCATATGAATTCCAAGTCATCCTTTGCCGGAGTATAATCGGGAATAAGTTCCCAAATTTTCATACGCCATTTTTGACGTCTTTCTTCGGTCTCTCTCTCCAGTTGTAACATTTGCTTCAAACGGCGCCAACAATCTAAAACCTTCCATTTCAATTGCCTGAAGTAAAAGCAAATCCTTTAGAGCCTTGTCCAAATAACAAATTAAACGCTTACCATTCATGATGCGAACAGGCTTGTTTCATCTTGCTTTCTTCTATTATCCGCATACGTTTGGCATGGGCCCACCATTTACGAAACACGCCTTCAACTAACTTGAAATCATACCAATCTACTGCGACATTGACTTTACTGCGTTCCATTTCCACATAACAACACCACCAGTTCATTATTCGTCTTTTCAAAATGCATTCGTAAAAGTCATCAGCCTTTTTATCTCGTCTAGCCTTAGCTATGCAATAAACCGTAAACCAAGCTTGTAAATATCGTTTCTTATTTAATTTAAGTCGAAGCTCTTGATATTTGCGAAATTTTTCACGTCTACGTTCCAGCAGCCGTTTAAATCCCTCCATTCCGATACGTGATAAAAGTAAACGTCTACAAAATTCCTGAGCTTTTTTCATATTATCAGCAGCCCTCTGTCTCTCACGTTCTTTAAGTATCTTCGCCATTCGCTCTTGACGACGTTTCTCATTCCAAGTTTCCACGCGTAAGCGTTTAGTTTCCTCATCTTCTAACCGCTTAAGAGAAAAAAATAGGGGGGGGAAGTTTTATTCGCTATTGGAAGGATGATAATCAAAAATGATATTTTAATATTTATTTACTTTAGCTTCTTCCAGAGCTAGTTTTTGTGCCTCCTTCTCAGCTTCAATTTTCAAACGCCTTTGTCGAGCTTGTTCCTGCCTTATACTTCTGGCTAAGGCTCTCTCTTGCATATTCCTAAGGAAAGCTGGCTCCAAGGCTTTCCCTTCCAATCGTCCAAATCTATCGTCATCGTTCCGATCCTTCAAATTGCCTATCAATTGCAAAGTTTTTGCCTTCGCTTTCAACTTGGGATCGCCGGAACGTATAGCAGTTTTTAAATCTTCCTTAAGCTCTTGTCTGGCCTCTTTCGTTTCCTCCGACAACTTTCCCAATTTCAATTCCATTATAATTCGTTCCTGGCGTTCCAATTTTACACGCTGTAAATCAATTATATCCTGCTGAACCTTAATCCTATAAAAAAGCAAAAAAACAACAACAGTACCAAGTAATTATTTCCAATCTATTTTCACGATGCACTGACTTGTTTTGATATTTTTTAGCCTTTATCACATTCGAGGCGATATCTTTTTTGCTATTGACTACATTTTCCTCTGCAAGTCCATCCGCTGTTGCAGTTTTCTGTAACTTATTCAGGCGATCTTTTTCAAAACGCACCTTATCCAGAAATATGTTAATTTTCCCGACGCGATCTAAGCGGCAATCGCCAACATTTTCACGTTCGATTTTCTCGATAGTTTTAAAATGCGTCCATCTGATAAAATATTTACGCATTATGGAGAGATTGGCTTGAGTGCTTCGTGTCTCGAAAAGTTTTTCAATAATTTTTCTTTGCTCCTCGTTTACGGACGACAAAGAGTCATGGTGATCTTCATTCGTTGAAACAGATTCTGAAGGGTAGTAGAACATTTCGTTAAGATTTCTCGGTTCGCAAGAGGATGGCATTTTTCCTCCGGTAACCATCAGAAGGCTTTGCGCTTCTAAAGAACAGCCCTTTAGGGTTAAACCACTTTTCAAGTCTCTCATCTCTGGTGGCTTACAGTTTATTTTTTTACATTTTTCCCGCCCTTCTTGCTCCAATTCCTTTGCGGCCTCTGCTGCTAAATCAGCTATAACGGAATCGATGGCATGATCGGTACGCGCAGAGCCGGAATTCTGCCTGGCGGCATTGCACACGGCCACGGCTTCGTCAAACCTTACGCAGCGGTGCTCAGCATAGCTAACTCCCTCTACATTATTATCAAAATGATCTTCAATGTTACGTGGATCCTGCAATGTCTGCACTTTTTCCGGATCATTGCATAAATTTGTCAAGTTAACTGTATTTCTTTTTGGCTTGCTAATTACCGTTAATTCAGAATGTATTATAGTCGGTATTTCATGGAAAGACGCAATTGGTGGCGAATTTTCAATTCTGTTAAAAGGAAAATCATTTTCCTTTTCCTTTTGACGTCGGATCAGGTCATTAATCTCAACGAATTCATCAGTGATTATGGCAGTATCATCTTTCTCTTTTATAGGCACAATTTTGTCAATAATAGCAGCGTTCCCTGATAACTGGAAAATTTCCTCAGCGATTTTTATACCGTTACCTTTTTCATCGCTTTCTACGTCATTTTCTAAGGGCATCTGCGTGTTGGATTTTAATGCCGTTTCTTCACCAATCTTATCGGATTTCGACAGCGTCATATTTTCATTAAAATTAAAAGTAATTATAGTATTCTCCTCAAATATTCTTTTCAAATTGTTACTTTCATCGCCTACTGGGCTGTCGCCCTTGACATTATTCATATCCTTTTCCGTACTTTCCTCTACGTTATCTGCATTAATTAATTGATTAATTTCCTGAGTCTCTGAGTAGTGAAGGCACTCGTCAGTCACTTCTTTATCTTTTAACGCTAAAAAGTGATCAAATTCTATAAGTTTCAATGGTTGGTGGTTGGAATCTTCTTTTGTACATTTTTGTGATCTTTGGTCACCTAATTCAAGTCCTTGATCGTCTATTTTAACATCCGAAAGTAATTTAGACATGTCCTTAGAACAGATTGCTTCCCTCTGCGAATCTAATGGAGATTTTTGAATTATCTCGTTTGCCGGCATCGAGTTTATTTCATTGTATACTGTTGTGGTTATATCTTCATTACATCCTTTATTCCTTTCCAGCTTTCCTTCTAAAATGAGCATCAAAGATGGACGACTCTCTTCTTTGGAAGCGACTGAAGCATGGCATTTAGTGGTAGTATCTGTTCCTTTATATTTCTCCTTCTCGTTATTGCATTTCGTGTATAATTCGTTAACTTCATTTAAAACTTCTATAGGAGTCTTATAGAGTTCTCGTAAGCATTTTTCATTCAAATTGAAACTTTTCATTATTCCTCTATTATCTATCAAAAGGGATTCCAATTGTCTTCTGGGAATTTTTCTACGTTGATGTTCTTTTTTTAAATGCTCGCGAAATCGTTGTAATTGATTTTCCAAATAACGATCTTCCACATTAAGGTTATGTGCTATGCATGCGTCACGCTTATTTTGAGATACCGTTGAAGCCAATGTTAGCTTGTGTGGTGCCCTTTTAAACTATGAGAATCTATTAAAATGAAATATGGGTGATTTGAAAATTCCGTTTGCCTACCATTTCATGTCTTATATTCATAACCAATATTGGATCCAATGGCCGATCTTCCGCAATTCCATTCATTATCTTATTTTGATGTTTGCCAATGAAATCCATTTCTATAAAACGTTTAACTGCCTCGGTTTTCAATGTCTGCACAATAGCGTTTGTATGGTGCCTCTTGCGTATGCGATCCCATCGAGTCTCTTTGACGAACGTACTCGGTTTTTCTCTGCGTACATGTGACATGTTCAGTTCGATTGTTTTTATTTTTAAATATTTTTCTCTCTCTCTGATTGGAAAATAATAGGCTTTTTTGTTGTTCTTTTCAGTTAGTCTACATAAATAAAAATTTGAAAAATTTAAAAATGAAATATAATTTCAATGTTTACTATAATTGATTTTATTGTTTAAGAGTCTCTTGTTGTCAAGCTTTTCAATGTTTCCACTGTAATATTGCACGTGTGTTTATCGCCGAATGGAAACAATGGAAACACAGCGCAAAGGTAATGAAAATGAAATAAAGATCAATTAAAATTATTAATTAAAAAAAATTATAAATAATTCACATTAGGTGCCATCTGAAGAAAATCCTTGGCAAAAACCACAAAAACTAAATAAATATAAAAATGAAATTTTCATTTTTAGATGGCAAAGAGAAAAAAATCATACAACAACGCGAGCGATTTCTACAATTTCTCTTTGTAGATAGTTGCTCTTAAGCTTTACACGTATTAATGTTAACTGTCAGTTTTGTTTATTTCGTTCGAGAAATACGTCAAAGGATTTTTTTAGGAACTAGCGCTTCTTGTAACGGGAAAAAGATTTTGAGATCCAATTCAATAGAAACGGTCAATCTGTTGAATCCAGAAGAGAAAAACAAAAAAAAGTCATGGTATGGTGATAGTCAAAATTTTTGTTTAATGGAATTGGTAAATAAATGGGAAAGGTGTATGTATGTAAGCGTTAACAGTCGTGTCATCGTAAATGCATAATGTTACCAATTTATGAACGATTGGATGCACGCAAGCCTCTATTACGAATAAAACTGTCTCACGTGGCTATATTTGGCATTAGTTTGGCATTAGGTGCATTTGTATATTGCATTGTCTGGTCCATTGTTATGGATTTCGAACGGGCCACATACACGCACTGCGAGGTATCGAATTATTTACCATCCATCTCAGCAGCTATTGGCAGTTATGAACCTCAGCGAACTGTATGGAGATTAGCGATAATACTGCATTTGCCCGTACGTCTTGTCCTGGCCAATTTGTATTCGCAATACTATAAAAATCATATACGGCGCAATCGTCGCATAATTGCAAAATTCGCAGTGATATTAAATGTAATTGAAAATTTAGCATTGGTTTGTTTATCCTTATGGACGTCGGCGGATGATTATGAAGTGCACAAGACATCGTTTATAACATTTATAGCATGCAGTGAGATTTATATGCTTATTGTATACTTTCTAAATCGTAAAGCCCGTAAGCTTAGTTTAACGGAAACGGAGGAGAAGTCGTTACGTTATAAAGGCCTGTTCTTCACAATTAATGTTTTAGCATTTTCTCTTGCCGCTTATTGCTTCATAAGACATAATACGAAATGTGAAAGTGGAGGTCAGTAGGATTGCGCTTCAATGTTGAACGTTGCATTGTATCCTAATATACTATCTCTTTTGCAGTTTACACAATTTTTGCATTGTTTGAGTATATAGTGGTTTTAACTAATATGGCTTATCATATGACTGCTTATTGGGATTTTTATGGTCTTTATATGTTTTATGATTGGCAGAAAGGATTGTACATGTCGCACGCATAACGAATTATAAAAAAAAAAAGCAACTTAACCTGGGAATTATGTGAATGTTTAAAAATAGTCGCAAATAATTTTTAAGTTTTAATTTACATATATAGAGGAATATTTAATTTTCCCTTTTTTTTTTTTTATATTTCCCATTGAATAACGCGTCCAACTATAAAAACACAAGAACGAAAAGTATTTTATTTAATTATGGCTTAAATACACACATTTTTAGAACAATTTTTTTAAATTATATTTTTCGGTTTCTTGAAGTTTTCATATTCTGAGATAATAATAAGTGCTTAATGGAATTATTCGTTTCTCATTCGATAGCGGGCCGAAAAGTCTTCTCTTAGCTATTAAAATTTCATGTGACATTAGATCACTTGTGCTTTCCAGACCTGAACCGCTGACAATATCTACGGATCGATTGTGATCTTTTTGTTTCGCCTTTATGATAATGGGACGACAGCCAGCAAATTTAAATCGTATATTGCCGCCACGATTCAATTTTAAATTGGGAATCTTTAATTCGGGAAATACTTCTGGCAGTAATGGTTTAGGATTTAGAGCTTTGTTAGGATCATCACCATGACAAATTGTATTCGCATGACACATCCGCGCCACTAGCGTACTCCATTCAAGACGCCGTACTCCTAATTTCGGATTTAGCTTAAAAGTCTTTGATTTACGTTCACAAAAACGATGGTAAATAAATTTTTCATAATATTCTAAAAAGAAATATTATCAACCAGTCCTAATACACTTTCCTTTTCTTTTTTTTTTTTGCAAACCTACCGGCATAGTAAACCATAAATGGTTGCAATTTATCGCCTCCGCAAACGTATTCTAACCATTCATATAAAAATATGTCTTCACCATCTCTTAGAAATATTGCTGCTATCTGAAATTTAATTTACTTATACTGCAAATATTTCAAAATAAGTTTGTTTACCGAAAAGTCGTTCCATAAGATTTCCGGAAGATCGCACTTCAACTTGTATAAAAATGGTATAAACTCACGAAATGCATGTTCACCGCAAGCGATTAAGCCACGTATCGAACGACTTATGTAATTATAATCTAATAATGAAAATTTTTTATCGTTACCATTTAAATACTTATTATGAGGACTTTTGTGGATACCTCTTTCGCTATTTATAGAACGACCATCAAAGAAACGTTTCAATCTCTTTACTATATGGAAAGTGCACTCGTTTTGAAAGTAGTCATTAATCGCAGCTAAATGGCCCACTGTCTGGCAAAGATCATCTACATATTTCCAATCAACGGGTGAAGCGAAATACGGTGAAGTTAAATTCCAACAGTCCGTGTTATGCGTCGTGTTACTAAATTCATCTTCGTCTGGTTGCAATTTGTATATCTTTTCCTCATTGCTAATTGCATAGGCAGAATTTTGTTCAGCATGGGACGTTGTTTTCGCTGTTTGAGTTTCCGTCTTCATTTCCACATTCTGCACTTTAATATTGGTCGCTCCATGATCCCTCTCATAATTCCTGAAACTATTTTGAACTTTTATGCTTTCATATGGCGCTAGCAATTGACATATGAGAATTTCTGCCAAATGAAAGAATTCTTCACGGCAATCTATATCACGACATTGGGGATTGGTGGATAGAGCTTTTAATAAACGCCAGCATCGTTGACTAATATCATGACTTTGCTTGAAAGCAGCTATTTGTATAATTTTCGATAAGATTAAACGAAAGCAGCTACCCATTATAGGACTAAAAGCAGCTTCGCTCAATACGAAATCCAAATCTTGTGGATCACCATTAAGGGTAACTAAAATTTAAATCAAAAGCAACTTTAATGTAAAAATGTGTAAAGTATTTACTCTTCGATCATTACCATGCAATAAGCTGGGTATATATTTTTTTAAATTACCCAAATGCTTATCTTCCACTAAGGATGAACATTTCAAATCGGGTTTTTGTGTTATATTGAAAGTGATCTCTTTTTGATATTCATCACGTAATTCCAGAATTTTGTCAGAGTGGAAAAAATAGCTTCCATCGTAGTCAATGCGATCCCAATCAGTATCAATAGCACCTAAGCAAGGAGATACATCAGAGTCTTTTAAGACTTCGTTAACTAAATCGTAAGATATAATACCGCCAGAATGGCGAGCATATGTTTTAATATTCTTAAAAGAAGATAAAAAAATTCGTTAAGTTTGGATATACATTAATCCGTTAACGTATTTACATTAATTAATTCCCATAATTTGTAAGAAGCATCTTCCGCTACCCTAGAACATACTTCATTGGATAACTCTATATCGCTTTGATCGTGTTGCTCCCAAATGACTTTAATAGAACGGGGTTCTAATCCGGCGTAGCTTTTATGATGACTCTATAAAAACAAATACGATGTAAACTATTTTACGTTTGGATCGTTCTGATGAAACTGACCCTTGAAGTGCCAGCAGCATCACTATTACCACTGCTGCCTCCACTGTTACCGCTGTTGACGTGATTTACATCGAACATTGTCTGGCTACTAACAGTCCACAATGGTGTAGTAGGTGTGGTTGGTGTGACTATTCCTGCTAGTGGTGAATTGTTTTGACCGATACTACAAACCAATGCACTGTTTATATTACCACTTGCTGCCCCTGAACTAGTACCATTTTTTCCAGAACAAGTAGCATTACTTAAATCAAATTTATTGTTTTTGTTGCGCGATTTTGTCGACTTTTTATTCGCTTTCGTTTGTGTGAGCTTAGGTGTATCTTCGTTATTAGACGTATTAATTGTTTTCATAATTTAACTTTACATTTGCTCAGCTCAAAAACAAAATTGTCTACTCAATAACGAAAAATACAAGAAAAAAAATTTACGAGTTTTTTAATTTTGTTGTGTATTAACCATGTATGTAATAATATAATCACCCGTTAATCTTACGAAAAACTAATATTGTTTGTTTACATAGCAATCAGCTGTTTTCCTCTCTGCGAGTTTTTTTTTTTATTTTGCTGGTTGCAAACACATTCGGATTAAACTCATTGTTCCAAGATTTTTTAGCTTAAAAAAAAAAAAGGGAAAATAAATTAATTTGGCTTATTGCCACTGCATTTAGTTCTGTTTTTGAAAAGAAATTTCTTATCATACGGAGTAAATTTCTTCTTGTCCCTTTTGTAAATATAATTGAAATTAATTTAATTTATATTAGAAAAGCAAATTTTTTATATTTTCGATAATAACGATTTTAAAGATTAATAATAATAATAATAATAATTAAAATAATAGTAATAATATTAATAATTGTTATATAAAAAAATTATGATAAATAAACGAAGTAGCAACAATTCTAAAAAATGCAACGCGGTACGGTACTACTTTTAGGGCAACAAAATACACAATTTCTTACTTTTGATATGTAAACAATAGCACGTGCATGGCAAATGTAAACAATAATTAGAACTTGCAACAACAACCCCACGCACGATACCATCTTTACAACAACAAACGCGAATATATAGTGCTTTTTTAGAAGGCTTATCGTAATGGACATATAAGCCACAAATCCATTGGCTTAGTCCATCTCCACCTAACAATCCCAAAAAAAGGCTTGTCATAATGTCTGCAACAACCCAAAGGAAATTTCAGAGATTTTACAACGTTTATATATTGCATATATTTCTGATTGGTATCAGTATCAAGTTGTCGATGAAAGCGTATTCTTGCTAATATCTGTGCAATACGATATAATTACAACTTTTTCTATAAATATCCACCAAAGAATACGCGAGCGTGCACCCAAGCACTTTTTAAAAATTTCTTGAGAGGTAAAAAAAATTGATTACGAAAAATTGCCAAAAGTAGAATACTAACAAAATGTCTTTATTAGTACTTAATTGTGGTATCAGATATAGCAACTGCTTAATATTAACAATTATCAATGTTACTTACTAGTAATTTTCTACTACAATCATTTAAAATTGAATTGTAAGCATTGACATCCAAGTAGTCAGGTTGGCCGAGCGGTCTAAGGCGCCAGATTTAAGCTCTGGTTCCCGAGAGGGAGCGTGGGTTCGAACCCCACACCTGACAGTGATTTGAGATCTTTTTTTTTTATTATAGATATTGGCTAAGTGTTCAAAAAGCATTTATATTTTACTTCGAGGAAGAAATTATGCTTTAGAGAGTTCGTAAAGTTCGTCTTCGATTTTACACAAAAGCAAATTTTACTTCAAATTATATTCATACTCTACGGTACTTGGTGCGGTATAAGGGTGTCTTAAGTTTGTACGGATGCATATAACATATAGAGCAAATTAAGATAGTGCCTGTAATTGTATCTGTAATTATATTAACTGGTTCAGAATAATCTTCTAAGTTTGTCTGTCCGCTTGTCCGTCTTATTTCTCGTGTGCAACTTGCAGGCCATCATTTTTAACATTTGGTACACAACGTGTTTTGGTCCAAGGACGAATGCTATTGAAAATGGTTCAGATCGGAACACTTTTTCGACTAATTCCCATTTATATTTGTTTATTTGGAAATATTTTTATGAATAACTGTACGGTAGTGTAGGTTATTTAATGGTTAGTCGTGATAGACTGTAGTGTTTTTAATAGTTTTTCTTTGCTTAATTCAAACTTTTATTTATATCAAAGAGATACTTGGTGAGGTAGTGTGGCAATGTTGTCTTAAAAAATATACGCCTATAAAATTAATAATCACAAGTTCGCCTTAGAATGAATGCAACTTCCTTGCTATACATATATAGCGCAAATATCAGCAATGTAGTGTGAGTGCAAGCGAAGTAAGCGAGATCACATATCCATGAGTAGTTAATGCATCAGATTGGAGTTGAATTTCGAGATGGAAACTGAATAAGGGCACTGTACTTGACAAGGCAATGAATGAATTTAATCTTATTTTATACCTTAACTTCATCGTTTAACCCATTGAGTCATTTAATACATTTTTGACGATCATCGGCATACGTACGTCATAGTAGCAAATAGGTAAACCAGTAAAACCACTTAATGCGATTATTTTTTTTAGTATATGCTTCATTTTGATTTTATTCTCTCGCCATTCAATTCAGTTGTCTTTAGCAATACGATCGTCGCAGACAAATATACGGAAATCTTAAAAAAATATTTTTGTTAATTAAATAAAAGAAATAAAACTCAAAGAATACTCTGCGTTTAGAGTTTGTTTGTTTTTATTTTTTTGTTATACTCTCTGATAAAAAAAAAAAAGAATTATTATTACCTCAGCCCTGCCTCAGCCTAATTAATAGAAGCATATAGAAGTGCTATTTGTTGTTATTATTATTGTTTTCTATACGTCAGAATGCTAACAGTGCTTAAATTCTATCGTCAGATGATTTTAATTTTGGGTAAGTTTTTCTTTTCGTTTCTTTTTTTTTTTTTTATTTCCATTCTCCATGACTCTTGTTTTCATCAATCCGATAAACGATCTATGAAATTAATGACACGCTTGAACTTAATATTTATTTTGATTTGCTAAAGCTTAAATGGTCGATGCATATTCTCATTTAGTTAGGAAGCACTAAAAAAATATGTCACAACTTTCCGGCCGTTTAATAAATATGGTTTTTACAATTAAAAGAATTGAATTGACGATTCATTGATTGAATATCAAGAAAGAAACGCAAAGAAGAATAGATAATAAATAAATTTCCTTTTTTGATATATATAAACATTTTTTTTTTTTTTTTTTGTTCACAGCTTTCAGTTGTTTTGCAATTTGTAAAAATGTGGGAGAAATTTTGGATCTAAATAGCGGTCTTAACTTGACAAAAAATGTAAGTGCAAAGGCATTATTTTAATCATATTTTTAGAAGTAGTAGCTGATAAATGACTGAGCAGAATTCTGTTTAACATCAAACAATAAAATTTGCTTGAGATTTTTCTATGATCAGAATGAGTCCATTTTTAAATTTCGAATTCATAAAAATTCATAAACAAATTTGCTAAATATTTTAATTGCTATAAAGCTTTCAAAAAATGTTATAAGAGATTTGATTTACAAAAAAAAAAAAAAGAAGACATTTTGACACGTATAAAAATAAATATATACAAACAATAACACACACATATATTATTTTTGCAATTTATGAAAATAACCATAAGGCAATTTATAAACGCGCAAATGAAGTAATTTTCAGAACTTACACTACACTATACACTTTCTAATTATTTCACTTATAAATAAAAAACAATCTCGTTTGACGTATATAAATAACGTGAATTGTAGCGTTAGATATATTCTATGCAATTTTAATTTGCATTTTTTCTACAAATCTAACAATTATTATTGCTCAAAGTATTATTATTCCCTATGGGAAAATCAGAAGCATTTAAATGCGTTAACGTGTTAGAGACTTCGCATGTACGCTTTAAACTCATGCTTAAAGAAGAACATTTAAAGAATAAAAGATGTAAAATATATGATAGATCATTATTAACTTTATCAATTTTATATAGAAACTTTTCTAAAAGATAATAAGTTCTAGACAATTACGTTCCTATTAATAGCTACTGCCATAACTACAATTTAAAACACATCCAGTCTTCTCATCTCAAAAGGAGAAATATATAAACCCGATAAGTTATTGATGATCATTTTAAAAATCTAACCTTTCCAAAGTTATTTTTCTCAACTATTTGTCTCAACCTTCCATTGTTTCATTTTGCTACGGTATATTAATCGGACAGACACACAAATCCCTGACTAATTCCATATTTCTCATTGGCTTAGTCTACTCAAACACAACGTTAAAAGAAAGAAAAATTCTGGCTAATTAAAAATATATATGTTATATATTTTAGGCTAAGAATACAAGCCGGTCGCATTTGCATAGTGCTAGATGTTACTACTAGTAACAAGATGTTACTACAAAAACATTTTTACGAGTAAACAAGTTTTTGCCAATTATGGCCATAAACAGTAACCGATCAAATACTTATTATTATTAAAGGTTTAATCGAAAAAAAGATGTCGTGATTCATATTAAACTAATTTTAATGAGCAATTATTCATCAATTCTTTGGAAAGGCCGACGTCTAATTGTTGACACTAAAAATTGAGAAAAAAAAATGCATCTTAATAAGTGACTTAAATAAAGTTAAGCTTTAGTGACTCAGAAACAACATTTGCTACAGGCGACAACAAAATAAAATATAAAACAAGTAAGAAAGTTATATTCGCGCGGAGGTCGAATCTCACATACGAACCACTGTGTTTTTCGCATTCTATTCTCCAGGTTCGTTTATTTGATACTCATATCGCTGATATTATTAAGAAGAAATTAATCTCATTAGCTATAGCGTGCATATTTTTGAAGAAAGCCTTATTTATTTCAAAAACCGCTTGTAAAGTGATATTTATATATATTTTTAAGGATTATAACAATTTTTTGCATCCACATCGTGATGAGGAAACGAATGCGTTGCCTAAGGACGATTTTAAAGATAATCTTAAATATGACGTAGAAATCTTGGAACCGTACGATATGAGGAAAGAAACCGTAGAAATCGAAGAGCGCTATAGGTTGGTATATATGCATGGTTAAGTTAATTTCTTCTAAAATTTATCATCATTTCAATTATACAGAGCTCCGTCAATCATTTTCAATACAGATAAAATAATTGATGAAAATATTGATTTATTGAATACCCTGAATGAGAAAGAATCAATTGCACAATTTTTCAGTGAAACTCGTTCAATTTTCGTTATAATATTGACTCTTATTGCTGTACTTATAATTGTTCTAATCATTGTTCTAATTGCACGTCGTTACCGTTTCGAGTTAGTAATAATGCAATAATTACATGTAATTAAAATTAATTATTCATATATATATTTTCCATTTAGTGAACGTTATGGCAGATCAGAACTGTTAATCACAAATGACAACAGAGATTATTGGTCTCGACAATTTACTACAACATCCTAATAAACGGGATGGCTTCGTTAGTGGGTTGATCAGCCATACAAATATTTATTGTTTTTCAATTTTTATTTTTTTTTTTGGATTCTTTCTTCCAAAGAGCTATAAAAAATTCCAATTGTTAAAACATTATAAATATGCAATTATTTCTAAGTAAACATTTACAATCAATCATTTTAGAACAAGTATTTATAAAATGTTAACTGTGATATAAAATATTTTTGATTTTAAAATTAAATTGTAAAAATTTGTTGTTAAATCTTTTTGAAATAGAAAAATTTTCTTATATATGTATTAAAGAACGTTTAAAAACTTATTTCTAGTAACTTATTTTGTCTTTTTTAAATATTTTATATTCTAACATGGCAATACCGTACAGATCCTTTTATAATGTAAGAAGAGAAAAGTTTTAGTTTTCACTTGTTCTTTATTGAAAGCGGTCGGAATCATGCAAACGTGCCGAACAAATATCAAATATAAAAATATGTTTTCAAATTTAGGAAAATGTGTAATTTACTTATTATATTTTTGTTCTGCGAAACGTACTGATTATAAGGATAATACAGACGTAATTAAACAGTCGGTAAAAACATATTGCATATTGTTTAAATTTTTCATCACATCTTCGCATCACATAGAGAATTTTGTTAAATGAGAGAAATGTTGCTGTGTGTGCGACAAAGCGACGAAAAATAGCAATAAGAACAGTTTTTAACAGAACAGTATTTAAGCGAAACGCGCTTATGTTCTCGAAATAGTATAATTGCAAAAAAAACACACATAATATGTTGTAGAAATAATTAATTAACCGTTAGTGTTAACCGTTCACAATAAGGTAGTGAATACTTATTATGAATTTGGAAGCAAAGCATTATTCAGATCAGTATTAACAAAAAAAAAAAAAAAAAAAAAAAAAATTGTGTGAAGATGTGTAAAGTCCAATACAATTTCTTATATTCTTATAAGAAGGCGTCTGATAAAGGAAAAGAAGTAAAAGATTTTCTTGATATGGAAGCAGTAACGTATTAACGATTTATTACTATGGATGGGAATTTAAAAATATTCTAAATATGAATTCGGCATCCAAGGCAAGCAAAAGTTGAAGTTGTTCCCGCGCCATTTTGCAACTTGCAACAAATGTAATATCACTTGGAACGCAGTAAGTAAACCATGATTAATATAAAAGTAACATGCATTGTCTGAATGATCAAATCAATTGCAAGTGATGATGTTTTAAAAAATTTAAAGCAATGATTGAGCTACTTGTTTAACTAAAGTTTCAATCATTTATTTACTCATGTCTCAGTTTTTAAATAATTTATGCTCATTGATTTACTTATAAAGTGAAGAGAGGAATTTGAAGGTATTACAACGCATGTGAAACGCACAGAAACTGTGAAAAATAACTTAAAACGATTCCCCACACACATTGTCAGCGTATGTTCTCTTATTTTTTAAGGGAAAACTTAATATTAATTAGTTAATAATTTCTCTTAAAAGAGAAAAGAATTTTACATTCACCAAGTAAATGTATTCCTTATATAGAAGGTAAACAAACTAGTAATTTATACTTATATAGGACCCAATATCCAAATGCTGCGGCTAATTAAGGTGAAAGTTATAATTTGGTAGTTTTTTCGTTATATTATAAGGCAAAGAAAAACCGAAAGAAGATGACATTTTCTAATGTCTCAGGAATTGAAAAAATCCGTTAAGACATATTCATTAACTGAAAACTGTTTATCTAAATTTATCTATTTATTCAATGCGCAAGAATTTTACATCATTCTTTGTAACGATATATAAAATCTTTAATGTATTTCGAATTTAAACTATCATCTTAAATATTAATAATGCTTGAAAGGAAACCGAGATACCATAGTACATTTATACAACATATTATTATTATCCGCTTTGATAAAAACTTAGAGCTCCTTAAATTTAAAAATGATACTATATGAGCCCCTGCAAATGAATGAATATATATATGCTAGTAGGAAAACAGGAAGGGCCGATTTTTATAGTTACACACCAATAACAACTGCCTTGTTAAAACCAAGAATTCCAATTCTCAAGTATACGCATATATATATATGTTGAAAATTTATTTAACAAGACATAAATCGTTGAGTCCCACATATAAAGTTACAAGAAAATAGCAAATTAAGTGGATTCAAAATTAATAGCGAAAATGTTAACACTGAACGGAGATGAGCCGATATTATCCGTAGATGTAAAGAATATATCTAACAACGTTTCAGTTAAACTTGAAAATATGTATAAAAAATTGAGTATAGTGGTTTAGTTCCGCGAGTCATACATATATATAAAAATAGATGCGAATGTCACTTTGTAGATTTTCAATGCACACTTTTTTTGTGTTCATAATAATTAACTGTCGTATGTAGATAGTGCAATATAATTTATAAACAGTAAATATTAATTTTTCGCATTACATATCCCAAGTTTTATTACAGCTTATCCGTTCAGTTAAGAAAAGTATTAACTTTTAGGAACATAAGCATGTATTTTCTAAATTGGATTTTATCCACGGCACAAATTTACTGACTCTAGTGTATACTCCCGGGTATCCTTCTCTGCCGCAACCGACTCCCCAAGAAACAATTCCAATTATAAAATATTTAAATCCATTTGATAGAAGCAATGGTCCGCCACTATCCCCTTGACAAGAATCCGTATTTAATTTTCCAGCACATAACATTGTTTTTGTAATTCTATAACTTTTATACTTTTGATTACGGCATTCCGTTACTGACATTATTGGGATTTTCACATGATTCACTACAGATGGTAAAACACCACCTTCCGAAGTTCGGCCCCAACCAACCACAGTGCCAACGCGACCTTAAAGTAACCATATATAAGAATGCGATCATCATCGAAAATGTTCGTAAAAATCACCGTTGCATTCACCGTTCGGTTAGGTAGTGATCGTTTAATTAATATTTAAAGAATTACCTGCTGGATCGTAGTTGTATCGCGGCAAACAAACGGGCTTTATAATCTTTGAGAATAAAACCGGTTTTCTTAATTTCAACAATGCGATATCATTATTATATGTATCAGGGTCAAATCCACGATGTTTAGTTATGCTAACCACAGCTCTCTGAATTGCTTTGGACTCTGATGCGATCTCTTGATCGTGATCCCCAAAAATTATTCTTATTTTCGATTTTCGTAGTTTCTTAACGCAATGGGCGGCTGTAAGAATGTAATCTCGACTAAGAAGTGAAGCACCGCAATGAAATTTCCCATCGTAAACAATCCGAGCCATCCAGGGGTACTGATTGACACCAGTTGGCCTGCCTCCAATTATTCTTATTTCTTCATTAGATACCCCGCAATCTACAAAAAAAAAAAAAAACATTCAAAAAGGCTTTTTTTTGGAATATTTAATACGATTGTGAATTTAAACTATGTTCAGTGCAGCTGCAAGAAATTCAAGTAACACAGTACTCCCTAAACCTGCATCGCGTAAGGCGAGTTGGACCATTTTGTGTACTTTTTTTTTTTTTGTGAATCGGGTACAATTTGTCTGGATGCTAGTAGTAGTACTACCCACATGTATTCCTGTGAAGGTTAGCTGTTTTCCTGTCTGTTGGGAAGATACCGTTCCACACACTACCTATGCGTTAATTTCTCGTATTCTTCTCGATCGTCTGATATTAAACCGTGAAATGCGAAGGCTACTGTTTTAAATAGAATTACACACTCTCGTGAGGAGGAGGCAAGGGGTTTTCATTTGTCTTCCACTAGAAATATTATGGAAAGGGTCCGTCTGTCCGTATCCCAGTTCTGACAAGCTGTTTATTTGTCTTTTTCCTATACTCCGTTCAGAAATTATTTTCGGCATGTCTTCAACTTTTTAGTTTTTCTAAGAATATTTGAAATAAGCTACAAAAAAATCTTTTGATGATCTGGAACTTTGGATATAGATCGCGTTTCTCTAGAAACACTCCTCCTCTTGCGTCATGAAAAACATGATGATATGAAATTAAATTAGGGCGCGCTCATTTCACTTTGTTTGGTATGAAGCTCGATTTTAATAAGATTGTGTACATTTTACCTTTGAGACGAAGACAGACAATTTCACCGTTTATTTACTTTTTATATACTTATGACTTGTCAATAATTACTTAAGAGAAAGGCTGTCTTTATAATGCGTATACTTTAGTACTTTCTTACCGCAGTCACACTGTTTAATATTATTTATATTAGTAGCATCCTCTTCAGCGTCAAGTGTATCCGAAAGTCCAGATCCGATGCGGAATATGACATCAAAAAGAAATTTACCATTTCGAGTTTTATTTATCGGTATAGAATGATTACTTTTATAATTTAATAAATTTATTTCTTTTACACACACAACTGCGTATAATAAACATGCTAAAGAGATTTTATGCAAAAAAGACATATTTTAAAGCTATATATACATACATGTCTTTTTAAATATTTTTTTAAAATTGCATATTTATTCAATATTTTATCTTATGTTGAAACACTTAATATTTAATATTTTCCATCAATTATTTATACATTTTCTGAGCGTGATTATACTGCGAGACAAGCAAGTACTACCATGTACGTAACACAATGTTTCCGAAAAAGTTATGTTTATCCGGTTATAAGCAGTACAAATGAAAATAGTTGTTGTTTTTTTTTTACATTGGAGAGAAAATTATTTCACATATGCTATGATATATTTAACTTGGATTATTTGATAAACACTTTCACTTGATCTACGTATGGGATATAAGAGGCATATGCGGACATTGCATGCGGAATCCTTAACCATGGCAAAAACTTGGTTAATATTAACAAATAAAAGCCCTATTGCAGCTTTATAAGGAAAGTTTCCTGAAAACGTGATCTGGTTCGAATCATTTCCTTGGGCATAGCATGTCAAATTTCATCAAAATATTACTGCCTATAGATTGAGTATAAGAAAACAAGACGGATCGCCTTGGATCGATTCAGAAAGTGATTCTGAATTGTGATTGGTATAGTAAAAGACGAACCTCTCTCAAGTCCTTCTGGATGTTGCATAAAAACACATGCATAAACTTAACATACCTTTGAACCACAATTGTAAGGTATAACCAGAAGTTATAGAATATATATATATATATATATATAGATATGTGTTGGAAATTGCTTTAGAGGTTCCGTTGTGCGTTCTCTCTTCTCTCTTCGTTAGGCTGAAAGACGACGAAGAATATAAGAAGCTTCTAATTTACCCATTGCAAGGCCTAACCCTCCAAGTCCAGATGATATTTCCTCTAAATTATTACTAATTTTGTAGTCTATTGCAGTTTATACTTTTGTCCGCAAAGTAAGCCTATTTTTCGCGAGACTAATTTTCGGTAAGCAAGTACATCACTTAGAGCAAAATTGTACCAAAAAATTATAGTTCAGTTTAGTTACTACAATCACGGCTTGGCTCCCGTTTAGAAGAATATTTTTCATCAAAATCCTTATTCATTACTCAAATAGCGCTTAAAACTTTACTATAAAGGTAACCTTATAAATAAAGAAAAAAATAAAGAGAGAGTTCTACAAGACATTCATCAATAATTTTATAACCATTAATAAATATAATAAAGAAAATATGTTTTATATTTGTTCACATTCGCCTAAATGGCTGAGTAGACAACGGATCTCGGCTAACAACTCCATACAACTTTCGATTCGCAGTTGGAAGTTTTATTTCCCGAACGCAATCAAACATATCTGTTAAGGCCTCTCCAAAAAATGGAGAAACTCCAGTTAGAGAAGAAGATAATAAATCGTAATTAGATATGTATATATATATATATTTGGATATTTGTTCATGATTGGCTTTATTTTCTATACATTATACAAGCGTTTCTCTCTTTCATTTGAGTTCCAAGATTTTGAAATGTTCATTAAAAGTAAGACCAGTGCGGGAAAAATTTTAAAAAAGTCTTGAGAAAAACCCCGGAAAACCAATGTGGTGATCGGCTTTAAGGGAACTGCAGCCCTCAGTAAATTTTTTTATTCCATCCTTGAAAGTATGTTTCGACTGTGGAAGATTGGAACGAAATCATTTTCAAATGTGGTAAAGAAAAGGAGAGATTGGCCTAACTGCGATAAAGTTCCAGCTTGTAAGGAATTTTTTCCGTAAAAAAAATGCTTAACCTGTTGACGCAATATTTAAAATGCCTTAGATATATCAAGTCCAAAGAGAAAGTTTGAACAAGATATAAATAAAGTTAAGGCACTTGGGAAGAAAAAGAATAATAACTAAACTACTGCTACGCATCCTTGAATAGCGATAAATGTGAAAATAGCTTTTATTCTATAGGCGCCGGCGTTCCAGTTAGCTCGTTCCAAGCCTTTGCTTTAACGGGAAGCAAGCATGGTGCTAATTAAAGAAACGCTTTCGCTATCTAACGTCGGGCATAACGTAAGGGCACAAATAAGCGAAGTAAAATAAATTCCTTATATCAAAGAAATTTCCCTTCACTGGTTACCTGTATTCACACATTTTCTTAAGCGCTTTTTCAACACTGATTGAAGTTGGCTGCAATCAATTATATTATATTTGCCAAGTTTTCTAAATGTCGCGAAGAAAATAACCCTACGATTTTATATTTTTTTTTTTTTTTGTATATCTTAAAAGGCATTTTGACATTTGGCATCACTAAAAAACATGATTTGTAGTTTTTTTTTTTTTTTTTTGTTTCCAAAAATTTCTGCTACTGATGTAACATATTTAACATGTAAACATGTTAACTAATGATTAAGTTTAAAGTAATTTTCATTGAAATTTTCATCGCAAATGCATCCTGCATTCATTAGACACAAATCCAGGTCGCTGCCTAGTAACTTTCCACTCATCAAGGAAATTTGGAATTCTGTTACGAATTTAGAGTGAACCGAAACGAATTACCGTGATGGTGATGGTCAATGAAACGGAATTTCATCAAGAGGAATTCTATTATATGCTTTTAATGACAATGAATGTCTCGTTTTCATTCGTGATCATCTTGGCAGCTTGTTTATGTTGCAAGAAAAATGTACACAAGTAAGTACTTTGCAAATTCTCGGTAAACATATACATATAGCAGACATTTTACTACTTATTAGCTTATTATGTACGGTATGTAGTATGTTGATGTTATTGTTGTTGTTGTTCTTAAAATTACCAAACACTTTCAATCAATCGAAGGCAAACTAACATTTTGTAAATAAAACATTGAAAGAAAACCTACGCTTACGACTATAATAAAAATAATGTATTTAGTTAAAAATCGGTTTAGCATTTCGCCCATGACGTCTCTTTTTTTCTTTCTTTTTTTTTCCATTTCAAGAAATGATTTGATGGGTCTGGAAGGTATGGTGAAATTGAAAAATCCTGATGAAGTTATGGTTGTGACAATAGTTAATTCTAGCGAATCCCATGGAGATCTCAATACTTCAACGGCATCGCAAGGGGAATCTGAAAAGAGGTTATCCTGATAACGATATAGAAAATAATGTTTAAAAAAAATTATTTTAAGTATATTAACATTTTATTAGAGCCAGTACAGCAGCTCATCGTAGTCTACCCGATATACCAGTGGCTGAATCTAACGGAGATAATGGTTCGGAGCTGTACGAAACCGTTGCAGATAAAACGCTGATTGAATCTCAAATTCAGAATAAAAGCCGTAAGCTTAAATGTCATGGATGTAAACATTTCCTTTTTGTTTTCATTTTATTTTTAATTTTTAAGCTAATCCCAGTCTTAAGAAGCAAGTTAGTGTATCTCAACACAGTTCCATGAGTCAAGCAGACGATGTCAGTTCTCCATATTCACGCGTTAAAAATTCTCCTCATGATTACGCCAAGGTGTGTTAATTTCATATTATATAATTCCAATTAGAATAGCATATATGATTGCATAATTGCAGCTTCGACCTACGGAGCATCCTTATGCCCAACTAAACGCACCGTCAATTTCACAAGGTCTCAGCGCGGCTTCTAACGAAGATGTTGCAGTCAGTGATGGTGCAATTATACTAAACAGTGAAACTCATAATCGTAACTCGCAGCATAGCAATAACTCACACAATCGTAGTGATAGTCCTCAAGTTGAGATTCCCGCTGCTTCAGCCATTGCTGGCATGGTGTCGGCTAGCCAAGATTTGCCCTACATGACCCCTCCAATAACAAATCAACATTTTAGCGGAGATTCACAAGATTCATCAAGTAACAAAACAATCCGCTTATCAGGTTTAAAAATACATTTCTTTTAACATTTCAGAAGGTTACACTAGCATCAGTGTTAGGGAGCCATTAAATATCTTGGCTCAACAGCAAGTGCAGCCTTCGCAAAAACAAGCAATAACACATTCCAGAGATGTGAACGATTCACACTATGCCACAGTTTCCGATGATTCGGGTAAGCTTAAATCCATAATTTCCCTCGATTCGATTCAAGGCTTAATAATTTTCTATTAGATGAAACATATGCAGCTATTGAAGATCCTAATCTACATCAAAATTTTAACATAAGTGCTGATATTTATACCAGTGGCTCAGAGACATACGCGCAGATACAGCCCATGCAAATAGCGAATTCCGTAGTGATATCAGTAGAAATAAATAATGCAAGCACATCCACATTAGTGCCTAGCTCTAGTGTGACTGAACGTAACTGTCTCGAATATAATTCTTATAATATTTCGCACCAGATGACTCATGCTCATACAATGGGTACACTGAGAAATAGTACAGAACATAGCCAAGTACCGGTACCACCGCTTGTAGATAACTTAAGAGCGCAAATACATTCGAGGCAAGCGTCATCATGTTCAAATAACAGTTCATCGATGTGCAATTTAGGTTCGCCGAAACCTGAGAAACGTCAAGCCAATTCACCACTACCGCCCACACCAAAGACCACCATATCTACACATCTGCAGACATCGAGTGCAAGTACAAGTAATTTAACATCTGGACGAAATTCCGTAATCTCGGTGATTGAATGTGACACGAGTATAAATGAATTTTGCGAAATTGAATTGAGAGAAAAACTGCAAGATAGAGATACACATCAGCATAAAAATAAAAGTCTAAGTCCATGCAAAGATATTGAAGGCATGTATGCTAAGGTAAGATCAATGTGTTAATCATATTTTTTGAATATTATTATTGAAAGAAACTCATTTCGCGATAGGTTATGAAAAAAAATAAGTTAACACGGAATTCATCTTCGTCCAATAATAGCTCACCGGTAATGGCACGTAAATTAAGTAAAAATTCTTCCGGGTTAAAATTAAGTCCTTTAGATACGATGGCAGCTGATTTAATCGAAAATAAACTTAGTACTATTTGCGCTAGTTCTGATAGAAGTCGTATACGTAGCAATAGTTACGGCACATCCAAAGATCATGGCTACGAAACTATACCCGCCGATGCTATACGCTTGAATTCATCGCAGTCTGGCATTGAAAATCGCCGATCCGATGGCTTCGCTGACACATTACAAAGACAACGCCAAGAAGATGCTGGTACGTAAAATTTTACATAAATTTATTATATATCTATATATAAATTCTCCATCTCTCTTTACCCAACTTATCTTTCTTCTTCCTTTTCTTTTTATTAATTGCAAAAAAAAACAAAAAAAAAAACTACTTTACTGCTTCGTAGCTTCATCTGTAAATCAATGCTTCTCTTACATTTAGTTTTATTGAAACGAAAATTTTTAACATTTTTATTTTTTGTAATAACTCCCCCCCAAAAAAAAAAGAAAAATAAGAAAAAAAAAAAAAACAACAAGCAACAAAATGCAACAACGATCCATTTCATGTGGGATATCATCTAGATAGAAAGAATCACATAAATATAATTGATTTATCCTAAGTAAATATGAAATGGCCGATATGGTACAATAGTGTTTAAGATCGTTTGTTTCCTTTCACTTACAGTTTTTCACAATTCCTATCCGTTTTCAATTTTATCGCCTTCGAAATCTACGTTGTTTTTAGTTCTCGATCGAATTTGTTTTACGTTTTACGTTTGTTTAAAATTTACATTTATTTAAGTTTTTTTTTTGTTTTTTTTTTTCAAATTCATATATTTTTTTAATTTCCTTGGTTCCCAATCTTTTTGGTTCTAACATTTGGAAGCATTTTTGAATTTCGTATATATTTTGAATTCTAGATTTTGAGAATCAGATTTGTTTCAAGTCTCAGGTTATTGAAATTTTTAAGATAAGAAGGAAGAAAGAGTAGATAAGAGAGTTGATTGCAAAAATTGAAAATTTTCAACAAATAAAAATCATCTTGTAAAGATGTAGTAGTAAGATTTTTTGTTAGACAACAAAAGCGAAAATTGTGTTGAACAACAAAATGAAAATGATAACACATCCAGAATACGAATATACGTATATGAATTTATGTTTATGAGAAAAAGTAATAAATACTGTAACAGCTCTTAGCATAAACATGCAGTTCTTTAATTGAAAAATGTTCGATTAAGCAGCAGATTCTTGTCAAATTTAGTGTAAATTTACATTTCATACTATACAGTAAAAGCTCTTTATTCGCGCTTCCTTCATCCAGGTTTTCACTAATCCGACTCAATTCGCGGCTATAAATTTCTTTATTCGCGAATCAATCCAGACCTTACAGTTCTATTACATTAGACGAACCTTCAAAATCATATTGGATGATATGGAATGTAATCCTGATGTGAAACATAAAAGAATCATTGGAAGAAGTGAAGCCAACCAAGTCATGTTGGAAAAAACTGTGCCCTGCTCTGGCTGCGGAAAATGACAAAGAATCTGTGCAAGTTGTAAACATAGCCGAAATCGCGAATGGAATGGAGGACGAGATGGATTCGAACAGATAGAATCAAGTGGCATTCAGGAATTGCTTGAATTGCAAGATGAAGATTTGACTGAAACCGATTTAGAGGAAATGTTAAATTCATAGCCCATTGAAGAAGAGGCTTCAACAAGCATTGGAAACGTGACGTGAAAGTTGAAGGATGGCAGATGAGCTACGCGATTTCTTTATGAACATTGATCCGTCTATGGAACAAAGTTTTATTTTTAAGAGGCAAATTGCTAATGCGACTGCTGCGTATCAATTGATTTTTTTTTGATTTTGTCATCAAGGAACGTATTCCCTATAATCGCATATAAATTACTATTCCGTATTCACAGTTTCTGTATTCGCGGCATATTTAAGAAACGTATAGCCTGCGAATAAAGAGCTTTTACTGTACTTATATTAGAGTGCCAGTTGTAGTATCGTAGAGGATGAATTTTTAAAATGGAAAGGTCACTCTGGGTTATATAATGTATGTCGATTTCATTAATTAAACTATAATTTTTGACAAGCATAGTATGATACAAATTCGACTGGCATTAAAACGTAAATAAATTTCATTACATTCCATACCAAACAGGGCGTATATGTGCTAGTGATTATAGTCAAATTTTCATTTTCATATTATTTATAGCAATGTTCACAAACACTTCAGGTGAAGCTCAATAAACTCATCGGAAATATTTCCAACACACATTTGGGACGCGGATAGATGTGTTGAGTGAAGGGGAGGGGATGGTATGGGGATGGGGGTAGCAGTCGTCGTGTAACGTTAACACATATCCATGTTCAGGGACTTAATGTTACTCAGTAGAACAAATTTTATATTTTTAAATCGAATCAATTGACTTTGCTTGGTCTGGAAAGTTTAACATACGCACACACTTTTATACCGAACCGCACCCTATTTTATTGTGTGTTATCAAAAGTTTGATTTCATGATGAAAGTTAATAAAATTTTACTCTTTGCAATTAAAATGAAATATAAATTGTTTAATTTTTATACGCGACCGAAAAATCGGGAGAAAAGTTGTTAAGTCCATCCTTGAAATATGCCTGACACGAGTCGTCTCTCCTTCTCAATATTCAAAATTAAAATGTCAAATCCATTTTATACCACTTTTTTAAGATTTACAAGATTGAGATAATTTCATCTTTTAGCGAATTTGTATATATATATATATATATATAATCTGCTTACTACCAAAGTGTTCTATTGTAGAGTGCGATCAGCATGATTAGGTAAAGATTATGGAAGGATCGCCATGTAGACTAAGTCTAATAAGTAAAATTGATCTCCATTATGGCGACAGGTTATATACCTGTCTGGTCTCAAATTATGCCTTTGAAAATGTTAAGGTCTCAAAAATACCGATTGTCGTTCATTGCAGATCTGTCAGGAAGCGAAAAAGGATTCTTTTTGTTATACGAACCTAATAACTACTTTTTCGAAACTTTACCGCAGCGAGATTGGATTGTTGATCGTTAGAATTGTTTCCAGCTTGTAATGCCGAGAGTAGAATAAAAGTTAAAAATACTCCAGATTTGAATTTTTTGGAAAATTTTGAACTATGTCATGTTTCTTAGATTATATAAAAAAATAAAAATGGAATCACAAGCCATGCTTATCCGTAGCTTTGAGGAATTCTACTGTCAATGTTTTTCGATTGCATTTACAAGTTTAGAAATATCGAACGCAGAACGCTCTCTGCTATATTTATCTAATATAATACAAGAGAAGGAAACATATCTGATTCCGTTCCCTAAGCAAATGATGCAAATTTCTGACAATAATAGATGAATTGTGCGCGACCTTTGTTTGTCCTTAACATTTTCATAAGCAAATAAATTGTCCAAAATAAAGCAGAACTACGTAAATCGTAACTGGATTGATGCGTAGCGTCCACCAATCATATAATTGGTCACTTATCAACTGGGAAATCAGTTCTTCTTCTTAATTGGACATGAGGTGCGTGGTATTGCACATGGAAATCAATTCATGTATAATTTTAGAGCATTTTTTTTTTATTTATCCAATCAGAAGTTTTCGCTTGTTCGCGTCCCCTTTACTCAACTATTACTTGTATTTAAAATAAAGTGCAACTAAGTTATATGGAATTTTGGTCTGATGGCGTTCTTCTCAAATTTTTTTAGTTCATAATACCTCATCAATTATTAAACCGCCTATAGCCGTCCTTAATTTACAACAACAGCAACAACAACAACAACAAAGCGATAAATACTATGAAAAAATAATCTTGCCGGCTGGTCTAGCGAAGAGTTCAAACGATCCGGGCTATGAAACCTTGTTAAATCAAAATATCCGTCCCAGTGTGAGTGATTGTGAAAAATATAAATTGTCCGATTATGATCCGAACTACGAAGTTTTGAAAGGACCACACATATCCAACGATTCCGGCGGAGCATCGGACGATGGTTATGCCAAAGTGTTGGAAAAAATATCTTTCAATGCAGATGAAGACTCCACGGATGGTTATAGCAAAGTAAAAGGTGAAGATATGGATGATGGTAGAGGTAACCTCTTGGCCGGATACAGTACAATAGCAGACGTTAAGGGAACAGATGCCAATCATAATTATGCTAGCATTTTGGAAACCAAACGAGAAATAAATAATTTATTTGTTGATAGCAGCGATCATTATGCGAGAATTGCTGAAAAAATTGAACCGAATTCATCATCAGGCCTGCTTTTGAGTTCATCAACAAAATCTGTAATGGAAGGCTTATTAACACCGTCACGTACCATTGACTTTTCGACGACATTGCCAACGTCGGTAGGAAGCAGCTCCCTGCTAAATATTAGTTCGTTACATTCATCTACCAGTATAACAAGTACAAGTACAATAAGTTCGCGGCAAACACCTACGTCTGCGTCACAATACGAATCGCTTACGAACAGTGAAACTGATCCAAATTACGAGTCCGTATGTTATTTGAATAGTTCTAGCCAAGAGAATCCTTATGAACGTTTGCATACAGATTTTTCCGATACTCAAATGAGCAGTAGCAGTCCCCTAAGTTCAGACGCGGGCATACAAAGTTCGAACTGCTTAAACACTACCGCAATGAAAACTGCAACAGACTGTACCAAATCAATTACAGCTGACGATTTTAAAGCGGAAGCTACGGTAAATGACACAAATCCCGATGCTTTAGTTGATGATTATTTTCAAGTTTAGAATACGGGCTTCTCTTCTTTTTGTTTTTCGTTTTCGTTTTCGTTTTTGTTTTTTCTTTTTTTTTTTCCTTTGCACCTAATAATAAAAAGTTAAGTGAAATTAATTTTTTTTTAAAGTAGATAAATTAAGGCTTTTTTTGCTTAGCAATATGTTTATTTCATTTTAAGATTGTCACATCCATCGCTGCAATTCAATACTTTAAATGTTGTATATAAATTATCTCTATAGTAAATATATATATTCGCTATCTAAGTTCTAATAAAAAAAAAGACAAAAAAAAAAGAAACAGTATTTGCAGCGCAACGAAAATATAGTTTAAGCGCATAAAGTGTATATACAGAAATATATTTTCATAACTTTTGTATTATTTATTACAAATATTTCGTTTTTTTAAAGTTTTTTTTTTTCTTTTCAATTCTTTGGAAACGAGGCAACCGAGCTTTCGTTACATTTCTTTCACATTCTTTCACAAAAAACATTTCGAAAAACATAAAAAAAAGTATTTCTCGCAACACATTATTCTTAAAAATTATTTTAATTTCTACCTGAATTTTTCCTATCGATCAGTTTATTTTTTTGGAAAAATCTAAAAACCAAATGAAAATCGATTATGTAAAATTAAAGGTGTGTAAGACAATTTTTTCTAGCTAGAGCTGAAAATTTTTATAGATATTTCGGTTATAGGTTATGATTCAAAATTTTTTTTTTTTTGAAAACAGACGTTTTGTATACTTGTTTGTAAAATCAAATTTGTTGGTAGAGCAAATCAAAACTTTCCTAGTTCAATGGCTCTTTGCATATCGGCGGGAACTAAGTTCTATCGGAGTGAATACACGAAGGCTGGGGAACATTTCTCCCATGGCCAATAATGAATGCCTCCTAAAGTGTTATTGTACTGCTGTTCCTTACACCTTTACAAGCCAATTCTTCCCAATCTCTTGCTTATTATTTAGATCATACAATAGATAAAACTGCTTTTACTTTTTGTTAAACCAAACACGACAAAATGTTCCCGAAATCTCATTGTCGAATCCATCTGCTTTCAATAATACATAGAAAATAATAAGTTATATAGCTTAAGATATTTGAAAATCTCTCTCTTACATAAAGTGGGGCAAAGGTTGACTTTGTTAAGAGTATATGCTTAGTGCCCTGGGCTTTCTAGACTTCAATTAAGAATTTTACATTTAGTGCATTGCTGTACTTATTATTAATATTATGTAGGCGTACAAAAAACTTATTTTATGTGGTAGATTACTTTTCATTATTATTATCATTCGATGAAATACATGGGGACATCCGTTCTTCTTACATTCATATACCGAATTGGAACATACATTACTGATGAGTCAACAGAATTTCATAGCTATATGACACTTTTTACATCTACTTCGATCAAATATCACTAACGGGCATTCTGTATCAATCTGTATTGCCTAATTGCATATACTTAAATCGCCTATATATATGTATGAGACTAAAAAGTTCATTTATGCAGATTTAATAAGTATAGTCAAGTGTAAAGTTCGAAAAATTGATCTAAAAACTTGAACGCATATATGCGTGTGTGACATGCATTTTCATGCATCTTTCTAAGATTTGCTTGGATTGGTGGTATTGTTCTCGAATGTTGTCGTTGCTAGAGATGATGTAGAACAAAACACATTATGTGTTGATATGTAACGATTTGGTGCAAATATTATTGGTAAAAGATAAGTGAAACAACGCAGCCTACTAAGGTCATTGAAGAGATCTGCTAGCACGTTTCATTCACTGATATTACCACCGAAACCACGATGATGGATAGGATTGCTTGATGGCGGCTGCTGATATTGAGATAATAACGATGGAGAATTTTGCTGAAACGATTGATTTAACAAAGCTAAATTACTGGCTTTCATACGAGCTATTGTTGTGTTTGCCATATTTCCCAGAGCTGAAAAACATGGTGACATACAAGGCGTTGAGCAAAGGCTATTACTGATTTCACATTGGTCAAGTAGACGGAGTAACTCGTTGGTGTCGGGTCCCCCATTGATTTTCTGCGTATGATTTTCTTCCTTTTTGGGAAACAAAGCTAATGCAGTGGTTAAATCCCACATTTGAATATTGCCGTTGCAATGTCCGGTCAATATAAAACGTGATCCCATTCGCGATGACACTTCACATTCATGCACGCAAAAGGAAGTAATAGAGGAACCATCTACAGATTTAATTACACAAACCCGATCACCGTTTGAAGCCAAACGTACATATAGTTGATCCGTTTCCGGAACTACTTTTTGTACAAATATTTGCTCGTCATAGTCACCATATGGACCGAAATCATTACCAGCTGCATAGCTGTAATTCGAATCGGTCGCCTCCAATGATACAATTTTAAAAGAGGCCTCAGGCGTGGAGCCCGGTTGTGTTGACAACATTCCTCGAAATCGCGTAAGACTCCAAGTGCGTACATGATGATATTCGTTACATACCGAAACCAAATATTTCTCAGACAACATCACTTTGGTGACGGGACTCTGATGTACCGTGAAAGTCTCAAAAAGATGCGGGCCATGTCCAGCCGTTTCGGGATGTTGTACAATGATACGTATAATACCACTTTTGGTGCCATATGCTATTTCAATCCAGTTGCCACAAATACCTATATGTGATTAACAAATGCAAGAAATAATCCCATTTCGCCGATGATAAGAGAAAGGTAGTATACTTACTTGATGTCTTGGGTGTTAGATACACGGATATAGCAGTAATTGGATCCAAATTGGGATCTTTATACAATTCGGTGACGAGTAAATCATTATCTTTCATGCGTAGGGGAAATTTTTGCATATCTTTAGTTTTCATTAGGAAAAGAAAATATTAGCATTTTTTTTTTCAAGTTTCTTTAAATATGCGTTAAAACGTTTACCAATATAGTAAATGCAACCGTTGTTGCATCCCAGCAACAGAAACGAACCAGCTGAATCAAAGGATAAGACTGGTACCAAATCTTGGATTTGCCAATGCTGTGTCATCGCATGCCAAACGCCGATTTTACCAGAAGATGATAATGCCACTAACTGGCTCCCTATAAAAAATAAAAACTCTACTCGTACATTTAGATTAAAAATTCCGATATCGGTTTTATTGCCCCCCTCATGAATGCTCCACAATCGTATTTGACTTCCGTATGAAATAGCAACCATTTTGCTTGGTATTGGCTCAGCCGTAGACATGTTTACCTTGGAGTTAATTGCAATTCGCTCGATAGTGGCATCTATGTACGGCGATGTAAACACTAATTGCCAACCACTGGAATCTTTGACACGATAACAGGCAACAAAATGTGCATAAGCCACTGCAAACCAATTCTGATGGGCTTTAATTATCTGCACTCTTAGCGGATCGACCCAATTGAAGTTTAACGTAGGCGAAAATACCAAACCGATATCATTACGTATAAGTTTATTCAAATCGGCTGACGAATTACGCGAATGTCGTACAAAATCTAAGGAAGGGTTTCGTGAGTGTTCCCCACGATTGTTAGACCAGCAACGGTTGTCCTGAGTAGCGGAATTACCACGACCCAAACGTAAGTCCCACGAAGAATTGCGCGAATGCGAGGAATGCCGATTCGAAATATTTGAAGGTTCTGGTACGCGTACCATAGAACCAGGACGGGCATTCGATCCATTCGATGCCGACGCAGACGACGTTGAAGGCACGCATATCTCCGAAGCTACTGAGACAGCCGCAGAAGCATTTATATAATTGCTGACTGATGGTTGAGGCAGATTACCAGTTGCTTCCGAACTAGCTGACGTATTCTGATTTATTACCATATTTTCGTTCGGTGGTATGGGAGCAACGGGTAGAAAGCCATAAAACAATACATCACCACAGGATGAATGATTTAAATCCTCACACAAAGCTAAACGTTTCACCAGCGGAGTTAGACCATAGTATTCCGACTCATGGCGCAAGGATCGTATTTCACAGTTCTTAATATCAATCTCTTTAGTGCGTAAATAATTCAGAATACGTGAAAATAATGTTGGATCTCTATCAATGAATATTGCACCAGTTTCATCTTTTAAACTCGATATACGACCACTTAGTAAAGCTGTAAAAAATGTATCTGGTATCCACGTAAGCGTTTGCCGTGATGTTGAAAACCTATTGAATCAAATGAATGAAATGAAAATGACTATAATTTACATAAACATGATTTATAACCAAATTTTGCTCTTTCGGTGCGCAAATAATAATTTAAAATTTTATATTTTCCTTACATCGCTTAATATTTTAATTTCTTAATTAATGAAATCTATTGGCTTAGTCCATCTCCTTTCAACACACCAAAAAAAAAAAAAAAAATTAATTAATTAACATAAAAATGACTTACCTCTGTCCTCCTACATTCAAATTGACGAGATCACCACTGTGTGTACAGTACATGGTGATTAATTTCAAACTAAGACTTCTTGTCGCACTTTTCGATTTTCAATTAATCTTTTTCTTCACCTTTCTAATTTTCACGTTTAATATAAAATTCAGATTGTTTAATTTGTTTGAAGGAAGAGTATTTTGACGACTTTCGTGATGTCTTGTAGTTTAGGGTTGCACCTATGCAATTGCCATTACTTCCGTGGGGGAATAACTACTCTTTGTAGGAATATAAATATTCTCATATTATTTACGAATTCTAATCACTAAATCAATTAGATTAATTTTTTAAGCAAATTTTAAGATCATCCGCCTAAGTAGCCGGGCCGGTAAGAGCCGCGATTGCCAAGTCAGTAACCGCGGGTGCAAATCTCAAGTAGAGAGTTTTCTTTCAAACGTAGGTATAGTGAGCGCTAAGTCGGTAAAGGCGCGTAATGCTAGTCGCTTGGACGCACTCTGCGGACACCATCTCCCAATTGCTTTCTCTTTCTTATCCTCTTTTTTTTCTTATCGTCATCGCATCACACACGATTAGTGAAGTGCCCCTAAGTGATTGGTCGTAACTGAAAAGAAACCAATTATCTGTTGCGATAAGCTTTGTATTATTAAATCTGTTTCTTATGATACCAGAGCAGAGAATCGATAGCACAATTTTCTCTGTATCAGGTTTCTAGCTGGGAGCAAATAAGCAAGACTTGTTCTCCTTTCAACTAATCTACAATATATATGATACGCAATTTCAGATTTTAGTCGATCTCTTCTAAGATTCTTTAATAATTTGACTGTTGATAGAGAAATCTGTTCTTCATTTCAAAATAAGGATTGTTCAAGCATTTTTAATTGAGTCTATTCAATAAGGTTTTAATTGATTAATAATTGTAAGTTTTTTTTTATATTTTTTTTTTTTATTAACACTACACACTAGCACATATAATAATTTAATAATTTCAATATATTATGTGGGAGTTGTATTCTTTAATTCATATTTGCTCAATTTTCCTATTCCAAAAAGATGAGGAGGAGGAGGAGGAGGAGGAGGAGCCGAAGGATATGATAAATACAAATATAAAAAGTGTTAATTTCATTAAGTGCTCTCATGTTAATTTAAAATTTAGCCTTTCTTGTTAAAGAAGATGCCCTAAGCAAGTGTTTGACACAGGGAACAAATAACAATTTTATATTTATGCCTTTGTGTGCACGTTCATAAACTTAACAAAAATCTTGATTTAGTAAGAATTACTTAAAAAAAAAAAAAAAAAAAAAAAAAAAACAAATATTAAAAAAAAAAAAAAAATTAAAAAAATAAAAAAAATAAAAAAAAAAAAAAAATTATTTATTTAAAATTTTTTTAAAAAAAAAAAAAAAAAAAAAAAAAAAAAAACAAAGAAAATTAGGGCGTTAAATAAAAGTATCTTTTAGTAGTTTCGACATATTTAGGAATAAACAAATTCCAAAAGATAATCTTAATTTGCGTTAGGTATCGTAGAAGTCAATTACGGCGATTACGTCTGCGAGTAGAAGTGGCATGAGTAGTGTTATTACTTGGTTGATGATGTGGATGCTGACCGCTGTACAGATTGTCAAGGAACTCGTGTAAAGACGCTTCACTATATTTGCGATAAAGAGAGTTAATGTATTTTTTTTTTTTACTTTTTTTGTTTTGCACAAGAAAATAGATAATGGAACAATTTATTACCTGGATGGCATATTATCGCACTTGAATTTTCCCGTTCCAGATGTTGAACTTCCGCCGCTACCTAATGCATAATTTTGATTTGTGGATCTTGCGTATTGATGATGATGATGATGATGATGAGCCTGTTGTTGTTTATGTTGTTGACGTTGCTGCTGCTGCTGCTGTTGTTGTTGTTGTTGTTGTTGTTGTTGGGCTCCTCTAACAATGCGATATTGTACCATATGAGAATTTGGTTCCAAATGAGCGAGAGCTCCCTTCTGACAATTGGCCCATTCAGTTATATCGTAGACTTTTCCTTCCATTAAAGCTAAATACTTCCAACGTAGGCCCATCATACTAGTCTCCGCCCAGATATCTCCCTGAAAAAGTTAATAATCAAATAACACGCAATTAATTATAAAGAAAGTTAGGTAAAAACTTACTTCCCTGGCGGAATGCTTTATCTTACAAGAAGCACATTCGCGAGCGGCATAATGCGGGCGATCAGCTAACTTACGTGGATGACGCAGACCGCATGTGCTACATCTGATTGAAGAAAAACAATAATAAAATTTTCCAAAATATACTGTGTATAACCATATTTGCCTTTTAAATGCCTTAAGCTTAAATAAGAAATACATAATAAATCATTTTCTAACGTAAATAGCAATGCTATTATCTCTGCATCATCTTACTGGAAGAGGAGTCTCTTAATACAGAAGATCAATTCTTGGTATAGTTTACAAAGAACTTGGCAGAAATAATTGCATACTATGACAGATGTTTGCATGCAAAGTAGTCTTTGGAGGGAATCATTTCTCGGCTTCCTTTAATTAGGAAATGCGTTTTAATAGAAAACCTTACACATTAACAGAAAGCCAAACACTTTAACAGGAAACTATGAACAGATGATTAGTCTATTAGTTCTTCTTCTTCACTTCATATGACAAATTTTACCTATATATGCATATGTCTGCGTATATACGTAAAGCTTAAGGATGTATCCTTTACAAAATAGAGGAGAGGTCTAGTTCGAAAGTAAACATAATGTATGATAAAGTTATGAGAATGTTCGCACATTGTTTCTTTTAAACGCTCAGCAAACTTGTCAATAGCTTTTCGGCAATATCTAGACTAAATATGATAAACAGATATGACTAATTCAATTTAATATAATAATAATTGTTGAAGAATATAAGGTATCTATTGCATTAATAATACTTGTTCGACTTATACTTATGATCTCCGATATAAGATAAGAAAATATTCATAAGAGGACAATTTTCTACACTTACCTAATGGTGTTGGCAGCTTCCGTTATTTTTGTTTGCAGCTGAGACAATAGATCATGCAATTCCGTCCAAGCTTTTTCCGCATGCAATGCCTCCGCCAAACTTTGATCATAAGCCAATCGATTTTCCTAAAATGTTCAGATATTCAATATTAAATCCATAAAAATTTTATTATACGACTAACCGGTTCTCCAATCAATTCAAATGCCCGTTGTAAAACCTTAAAAGCTTCTTCAGCGCCAGGTTGTTTATTTTTATCAGGATGCACCAAAACTGCAATTTTTTTATAATGCTTACGTATTTGCTCCTGAGAGCAATTCGGTGGAACTCCTAATATACTAAATTAAAAATGAAAACGGGAAAAATGTATGTGTTACGTAATTTTTTTTTTTTTTTTTTTTTTTTTAAAATCTCCCTAACCTATAAGCATCCTTCCCTTTGCAATTCAGCAAAGAATACATGGCTTCTTCACCTGTTTGAGGTAAGCGGCCATCTTTAAATGTTTCATTTAAGGATTCTGGTGGTTTCTTTTTATAAAGACGGCGCCAAAATGCCCATTTTGATGTCTTGCTAAAGCGTGCATCAAATCTCCGATATCTGTTCTTAATCCATATGCTTGGTTTATTCGAATTTTGTTTTAATTCTCTGTGCAATTGTTGTATATATAATCGCCCAGATTCGTAATTAATTAGCAAGTGCTCATACAGTATACTGCAGCCCAATACAACGATATCGTAGATCAAATAGAAAAGCCAAGTTAAAATTTTCATTGTAAAAATATACCAAGCGTGCAAGAAACGCTTTGCAAATTCATAGTTGCGTTTATGATGATCAGCCCCGCTCTGTGAGTATGGTGAGCTGTTACCATTTGATGGCACAAAATTGCTACTGTTATTGCGTCCACGTTTAGTTGATGAGTACGAATACGAGGCATTTGAATGACTTTGAAATCGTGAACGTTGCTGTTGATTTGTAATATTAGTTTGATATGAATTACTGATCAAATTAAAAGATTTTGTTGCTTTTCGACCATACATGGGATTCGCGTTGCTGGCCGTCGATGAATTGTTGGATGCGGTCGATGGGCTTATGCTTTTTGAAGATTTCCGTGGTTCATGGATTTTCACTAAAATATATTTTTTAGCAAATGAAAAAAAAAAAAATGATATCAATTCTGCTACACGAAAAAAAGGTAACAAATCTATTACAAGTATAACCCATAACGTTTAGAATTTCTAAAACTCTTGTGATGACGCTTCAATTGAAGCATTTATCCAAAGTTATTCCAATTGGATATTACGGCTTTGTCTGGAAGTCCTCACTGTCTATCTACATATCGAACTATTGACTATTATTTTTAGGGCTACCACTAAATGCCACTTGAAGATGATCGGAGGTTATAGAGACAATTGCACGTGTCATTGTTGAGCTACCTAGTTCGGGGGGCACGCGTCGGTTTTAAATTTTCCCCCCGCGGACATTACACAGACGACGGTTATATCTAAAAGAAATACACAGGCTTTACCCTTATAAGAATAAACGGACGGACAGACGGACGGACGGACGGACAGACGGACGAACGAAACTTACTTACCGAACGGGCCGATCATAAAGCCCTGAGCCATTCTGTACCATGCCCTACCTACCTTCGGAGTCAAATCATAGACTACATATATATACAAAATGTTTATCTTAATTAATGCTTTAGAGCAATAATTCTTTTCCCCCCCAAGTCCTATCAAAAAAAAAATATTAAGCGAACTTATTTAACTAAACGCATTGAGAGAAGAATATTTTATTTGGAAATAATGAGTACAACAACTTACCTCCATTATAGTTAGTTTCCAAATCGGTATCATTGAATCTTTTAACGTTGGTGGGACGTTTCCTAGCGGATATGTCAGTGTTGGCGTTTGCTGTCTTATTATTTTGTATTTTTTGTGTCTGTTGCTGTTTTTGGGATGTGGTATTGTTGCCGTTATTGCTATTGTTATTAATCATTACCGATGAGCGTTTATTAACAACGGTCTTGTTATTAGCAATGGGTTGAGTTGAAGTATTTTGCACGTTCTCTTTATTCTCATGTACAGGAGACTTTTTAATTGAGCGCATCTGAAGTGTAATCTCATCAAGGCTGCGACGATTATTTAAGCCATTGGCGTTACTAATGAGTGATGTTGTATTTGCATTTACATTATTTGTTTTTTGATTGCCTCTGTTATTTTGTATATTAGATTGATTTTGAAGAGATGTACTTTGCTTATGCTCTTGTTGATTGTTCAATTTACTTAGGACATCCGAATATGTCATACGCATGGGTTTCACCTCAGCCACAATACGTTTTTTTGGTGCATGCAGTGTTTCTTCTTTCAATAAACAATTTGCTTGATTTGTTGAATTCGCTGCGAGGTCAGAAGGGATGGCAATGGGAGCATTAGCACTATTAGTAGCTATACCATCTTTACTAAATATCTGGTCAGTATGTTGTGGCGGCATTGGCATTGGCATTGTTTGCGACGGCACGACTTCGGAATTTGATTCGTTTTCAGCGTCCTCCTCAAATTGATTTAAGCTTGTGGCAGTAATATACTTATCATCATTCTCATCCTTTAAAGGTATCGATTGTTGTAAAGTCGCTTGTTGTTGTTGTTGTTGTTTTGAATGCAAAACTATTTCATCCTGATGTTGATTTGCTTGCGATCCAAACTGAGTATATACGCCACCCGTAAGATTTGGTGACCAATTGCTCACTAAATTATTTATAATCATTGTAGCAGCATTGGCATTACTTGTTGCTTCAGACACTGAATTTCCATTATTTATCGTCATGTTGACCTTAGTTTGAGCAGGATTTTTATTGCTATTTTGATTATTATCATTAGCACTGGTTCCTAGCACTAAAAGAGGTGTTACTTCTGGCGTAGGCAATTGAGTAAGTGTGTTACTGGAGAACAGCTCATAGCTATTAAACATTTGCGGTGCTCCTGTTGTAGTCGAAGCCACAGTGTGCTGCTGCTGTTGTTGTGATGGTTGCTGAGGAAAGTGATGTTGATAAGTTGTTTGCAAATGTGGTTGGTGTTGATTATAGGAGTTTGCAGACAAAGTAAAAGGCGCCTCCACCGACATAGGCCCGATGGTATTTTCTGGGCAATGATAAATTTTCAAAAAATTTCCATTACCCATACGTAACACTGAGTATGTCTCTTGTTGTCCCCCGGCTGATGGTGCCGCTGCGTATGCAGCCTGAGCTTGCATATTGTATAGATGCTGTTGATGTTGCTGCAAAAATGTATGGTGGCCGCCCATTAAATGGTTAGACCATTGCAATAAGGCCGGCGCTGTCTGCGGTTGATGACAAGTTTGCAATGGTTTAGTATTATTTCCAGCGTAATAGTCTTCCCCTCCAGGCTTACCATCGTTTCCCGTTGGTAACGACATCACAGGTCTTGTTTACGTTTACGTGGTGATCTATTTGGTTGGTTGACAAGTTATACACACATATATCTATATATATATATATATATTTCTCTTCGTATCTTTCTATATATTCTCTCCCTTGCGAGACCAGTTAATAAATTTTTCTTTATGAGTGCAGATTGCCACAATGGAAAAACAAAACACATATATATATCGAAAAAAATTTATCGCGAATTTACGCATCAATATTGATATCATTTCAATATTGAAATTTCATTTTTATACAATTTTCAGATTATTATTTTTTTCTATAATAATTAACACAAAAATAAAAATTTTATTGTTCTAAAAGAAAAACGCCACTCGCACATGTATAGAGTTTCCAAACGGTAACAAAATTTAATGAAAAATTGCCAAACTGATTATAGAGATTCGCTTTCCGATTAAGTAATAATAACGTATCGGCTCGTGCAGTATTTGAGCATGCGTTGCGCTTATGATGGGCTTTTTTCCATGTTTTTTTTTTTTTTTTTTTTTTTTTGGTCATCATTTTCTTCCAAAGAAAAATTATTTCGCCACCATGGCATAGATGATGTATTCAAAATAGTTTTCGTTTTTTTTTTTTTTTTAAATTTAAATTTAATATTAAATTGTGCCCAAAAACCATTCATGTTTACGAAAGATTAATCTAACGAACGCATTATGAACACATTTTCATTTCCCGTTATGGAAAGCGATCATATGTTTTTTTTTTGTTTACACTCGCAAATGGGAAAAATCTTCATGTTGGGATTGCAATCTTACAATCTTATAAGCTTAGTAAAGTGTAAATAAACAAAAAAAGTGAAGCATGACTTTAAAATCAAGACCGTTAGTGAGCGTTTTACGAATTGGGTTAATAAACTATAATACCGGTCTACAATTGCAAAAAATGTTAAGCAATCAATCGATCGATCATCATCGTTGGGAATTTCATAACTATTTGATTTTGCAAGAGCATAAGCCTGTCTATACGATCGGTATAAGAAGGAAAGATTATATCGAAGAAGATGAGAAACGCCTACGGAAATTAGGCGCAGAATTTTATCGTACTAATCGAGGTGGCTTAATAACTTTCCACGGACCTGGGCAATTGGTTGCTTATCCCATCATACATTTGCAACAATTCACACCTAGCATGCGTTGGTATGTGTCTGCATTAGAAGAATTGATTATACGAACGTGTCGAGAATTAGGAATAACAGAAGCGACAAGAACTGAACACACAGGCATTTGGGTAAAAGATAGGAAAATATGCGCAATTGGTGTGCATGGTTCGCGTTATATTACAACTCACGGTATTGGCCTAAATTGTTGCACTAATCTGAAGTGGTTTGAACACATTGTACCGTGCGGTATTGAAGGCAAAGGTGTCACGTCTTTATCGGAGCAACTTGATAGGCGGGTGACTGTGGAAGAATCCATCGAAGTTTTATTGAAAATGTTTGCTGAAGTTTTTCAATGTCAATTATGTGAGGAAAACAACAACACTTAGTTGAAGAATTTTCTAATACACCGTCATTTAAAATGGGAAGCCATGATGAATACATGATTTATTTTTTATTGCATAAAAGCGTATTAAAAAACAGTTTCATTTAAAAGTGCCGTTTAAATCGTTTAAAACGGTCACTAATTGGCCTTACAAGTACTTGCTCTATTTGACAGCTTCATGAAGATGAATGTGAGAAATCGATGGTGAGAATCTTGGAAAAGATCTGCAGCAACGAAATTCTACGGGGAAGTAAAGATCCATAAAGTAAGTGAGTTTTCATACAATTCTAAAACTTTCGTTCAAACTTATTTACTTTTAAACTTATTTAACTTAATCTAATGCATAAAATAGATTTCAGCCGACTTAGAAAACTCGTATATATCCGCGCTGCGGGCATTTACAGCAATTTAACTGCAGGACTTTTTCTTCTCAATCCATAGACCAATCTCCATATCAATTCAAACGCATAAACACACTATTCCCTTTCCCAATTATATTTTAATTTTTTTTCTTTTTTTTAAATGACTGATCACTAAGGCGATACATTCCTTTCGTGGAAGACAGTAACCGTCAAAAAGAGGATAGGAAAGAGAAAGAAATGAGGAGGTGGTGTCCGCTGAGTGCGCGGGGTGATTGGCTTTATGCGCCTCTACCGACTGAGCACTTATTATAATTACGACCACAGTAAAGTCTACTTAGGCTTTGAAGCCGCGGACAATGTACTGCTCAGGCTTATCACGATAGGCAAGAACGTGTAGAAAACGGTACAGGAAAAATTTGCGTCGAAAGCGATTGCTATAATTTTTATATTCATGATCGATGAGTGATTACTAATGTCTAAATCTAGTCTTTGGTCTGGCATAACCTCAATATTTACCCAAAAACGATTTCTACGTATAATGCGTTTCAAATTTTTTTTACTTTCGCTATATATTTCTCTCTCTCTTTCTTATTCCGAAGTTGAATAAAGTTTCTGTTCATCTTCGAGTATATGATATAGAGATTTAGATGTGGATTTCTAGAATCAAACTTGGCTTGATATTCTTTTCGATTAAACTTTAGTTTTAAAAATTCAATATCTTAAGTAAATAAAAACTCCTTACCTTACTCTTACATTAGGAAAGTATCCGGGAAATATAATATAGAGTAGAAATTTTAATACCTCTCAATTCTAAAAAAAAAAAAAAAAAAAAGAAGAAAATTCTGCAATTTTTATTTAAACAATTATAATCTTAACTGAAGTCAACATATTTTTAAACTTTTGCATACATACATTAACAATTTTAGTTATCCTCTCGTAATACTTTTTTTGAAGGAAATTTTTCAAAATATTACAAAACCAATTTTACACTTTTTTTGTTCTTATATTTTTTTTAAATTAAATTAAATATTTTTTGTGGGTTTTTAAGGTGGACTGACTTTGGAATTTATGTAAAACATTTGTTTCGTTTTTTTTTTTTTTGTTTTTTAAATCTAATCGCTGTCGTAATCATTCTTACCGCTACCGACTGTTAAGGGGCGCCTGGATTCTTCATCAGAACCATAGACAACTTCTTCATCAGAATCGTTAATCATGGAAAACGCGGGATTATCTTTAGTTACGGAAATTTCAGCTAAAAATGAGAATCATAAATTAATAATAAAATATGAAATAATTATTTAATAAATTAATTTATTAATATACCTTGAGCGAAACGATCGCCTGGTGAGTAAACGTAAGCCATAGCATATAAATAAAAATTTAATAATCCATAGAAACACATAAATTGTGCTGAACTTTGATAGGTAGTATCTAAAGAAGCTACAAAATTATCCTCTAAAATGCCGAACCCAAAACGACAAACAGTCGTTACAATGACGGATATGGACAAGACAAAGACCATTAGAAGAGTAAGAAATTTTAAACGCATATCTACAAAAAAAACAAAAAAAAAAAAAATAAGACGTGTACTGAGATAGAAACGAGGCGCGTCTATATTAAGCATTTACCAAAAAAGGGCATTGATCTTAATTCGGTGTAAGCTCTTAATATTAGTAAAGTAAGATACAAAACGTACATAGATCCCGCTAAATAGAAAAATAATTTTAAACCCTGCAAAGTAAAAAAGGAATAAGTAAGTCATTGATTACAGGATTATGCAATGGCAAATTATACGTTATAATTTTTCGTATCGACAAAGTGACTGTAGGAAGGATCCTTTAATTCATTGCATTTTTCCCAAGTGGCCAAGACAATAGCACATAACCATAGAGGCAATACCACAATAATCTTTGGCAAATAAAAGCCAACAAAGCGTCGTTCATTTTGTCTTAATCCATGATAGATGCATAGCCAAAACATTAACAATGCACATAAGAAGGTCGCCTGCAGACATGCATCGATCATACCGGGTAACCATGAATTAACCAAGAAAACCAATGGAAAGAATGGATCTATGAAAGTGAAAAAGTTTAAAAATCAACATAAATTTAATAAATAATTTTTTTTTGTGAAAGGACTTACTATTGTATAGAAGTAGTAAGGGCAGCAAAACAGATAACCATTTCTGTTCAATGGACCAATCATAAATGGGATATTTGCGCAATGAATGAGCAAACCAACACTGCAAAATGAAGATTGATGTAAATGGACAAAAATTGGTAAAAAAAATCTTAAAGATTATGAGCTAATAATTACAATTACAATAAATGTGAACAATAGGAAAATGAAGCGAAACCATATCTCGATTTGCGAGAAATCCGGGCTGTAGGATTTGAACTATAAAAAGAGAGAAGGCGATTTATTTAAAATTTAAATAATCTTTATGGCGGGTTACGTTCACTCCGAATTCACTCACATAAAATGTGATTCCAGTAATATTGTATTTGTGATGAAACGATTTGAGGCCATAAAAGCGTACCGTTATTATATAATGCGCATATTCAAGAAAGCCCAAATGCATTACGGTAAACTCTTGACAATCGTTGCGTACACAGGACAAATGGCGAGTACGATTGTGTGGGCCATTCGCTGGCAAAAGATTTAACGGTTTATGTTGTTCAGTTATCGCATCAATAGCCACACTTACATGGAAACTTTTATCATATTTTTCATCTACAATAATCATAGAAGATTTCTCTTGCATATTCCACAATTGCATTATGAATTTATTCATTTATTTATTTTTTTTATTTTTGTTGCTTACCATCATTATTATTTGTAACTAATTTGGCTATTAGCCACAACTGTTGAGAGTATGTAGTCATCAGTGGTGATTTCATCGCAAAAGGTCCAGTGGCTAAAACTGTTTTACTATTCGCCAATGTAGTATTTGCTAAAATACTTTTATCAGTTATCTCGGTCGTATGTGTAATCTTTGGGCCGGTAAGACCAATAATAATGCCTAAACCGAAACAAGTAAGGAAGCCCAAAAACACACTAACAAATTCGCGTTTATGCATCGAGTATAAGCGCATATGAACAGAACGTTCAATGCGATCATGATGATAGGCTGGCGCTATATATTTATTGAATTCACTAAACAAGTCACTGAACTGAGATAGGGAGCTCTTCAGTCTTAGCAATAAACCACCGGATGGTAAATGATACGCATAACCCAATCCGCTCGGATCTGCTGGAGGTTTAGCCATTTTGCGGGCTGCTAACGTCGTAGCAATAGGAGAATGCGGATATCAAAATTCTTGGTTAACAATTTTGATTATTTAAGTATTTCTCTATTGTTATTCGTTTATTTAAATTTAGTTTTGTTAAAGACTTTCAATCTCTCCTTCTTCAGCAAATTTGAAAATTTCTCATTACTAATTTAGAAAATATTTCTCTTTCTAATTTATGAGAATTATTGAAACTTTTATTGTTGATTATTTTAATACTTCATTTTATATATAGCTTTCTTTAGATATTTTATTGGTTGGAAAAGCTTTTTCGGTTAGATTCTTTTCTTTTTTTTTGTTTGCCAAAAGAAGTATCGATTGATTTTCCATACATATGTATACATATATATATTTTCCTTTGCCTTTGAAATGACAATCGTTTTGACAGCCTTAGATACTTTAAGCGCATGACCGTTATTATCACTTAAATATTTCTATTTACCGGTTTATTCACATTTCACATGTGAAAATAATTTACCTTACCGTTCATGGTTTTAGGACGAAGAGTTTTCGAAAATAATCTTAACAAGTTAAGTTGTGTCCTTCCATTGTTTACAATATATTTATTTATTTTTATTTACTTTGACTCATTTATCTAATAAAATAGCAACCAAATTAAATGAATAATTAATCCCAATACTTAATCACACCATCCCAACCGGCTGTGACCACTTTACTGGCCTCATGTGGATGCCATAATGCGCTAATGCACACACCTTCGTGTGCTTGCCATTTTTTGTACATTTTCGTTGTTTTCCAATCCCATATATAGCATTTGCCATCACCGTCCCCTGACACCAGATAACTCATGTCAGGCGAAAAATCCAACTGACAAGCATAACCGGATACCATATGCCCACTAAAGGATTTCTTGCGATTCATTTTGAAACGATTTAAAGCCGAAAAAATGACAATTTTATTGTCCAGAGACTGACAAGCTAACCATTTGCCATTTGGTGCTAAAGTAACTGCTGGCATGGAATGCATAGTAGGATCAGCTATGTATTTCATGTCGACCGGTATGTCCCACTCCCAAATACGCATTGATTTGTCATCGGAGGTAGTAACGAAGCGACGATTTTCATCTACGAAGGTTATCGAATTTACAGCACCCAAATGCCGATCATATTCCTGTACGATATCACCACTACGTGTATCCCACTGCGTTAAATAAAATGTAAAGAAAAAGTAAATAATGGAAATGGTTTTCTTTCAAAAAAAACCTTTCACAACTTACACATATAATTTTTTTATCCGACGTTCCCGCCACGAAAAGATGCTGTTTACTATTATCGGGATGAAATTTGACACAGAAAGGCATTTTGCGGGCGGTAAAACGTGAAACTACCTCCCCTGTTTCTGCATCCCATAATTTTATGTAACGATCGTAGGAAGCTGATAGAAATTTTGTGCCTTTATTATTCCAATCTATGTCCTTGATAGCTTGACGGTGACCATTAAAGGTACGTATGCAACGGCGCTCACCGTATACTTCCCATAGTTTAACTCGACAGTCCATTGAGCCAGACAACAACAGATGAGCGGTGTGGGGAAACCAACGTATTGCTGAAATGCCTTTATTATGACCTGTCCAAGTGTGTATATGCGCTTTCGGCAGAAAGCATTTAGGCGGCGGTGCATTGGAACGTAAATTTACACCCAAATCGTGGGGAGCATGTAAATAAGAGCGTCCTTGATAATCGAAGGCATCCTTAACTGCAGAAAAATAAATAAAATTAAGATTAATAACGATTTCAATAATTATCATATTTTCTGCTTACTGTGCAGTATGGATTTTTCTTCGAGTGGCTTGTCTTCGGGAATTCGGCCTCGTCGATGACGTTTCGATAATAACTCTTCCAATTCGGCCTTTTCTTGTTCATTTGGTTTTGCTACTCGCTGCTCATTTTCGTACTTACCCCAAGGACCGACAAAACCTTCGATATCTTCTGGGTTGTCATTCTTTTCCTGTTTTCGTCTCTTTTTCGGTTTTGGCCCTTCAAACACAGTTTTACCTTCATCATCATACGCGGATTGTAGATCGCCGACAAAAGACTGCCCATCACCTACATCATCGACTGATGGATCTAAAGCGTAGCCGTAAGTGTGAAAGGTTCTACGTTGGTTTTCAAATTCAAATGCGTTGACATGAGCGCTTTCCACGTACCCAGCCAAAGTATTACGTTGTGCTTTCATTTGTTGTGTTAAATTCGGATTTGCAGGACCTTTCACGGGAGCAAACATTTCTTCGTATTTCGCATTGTATTCAATTTCTTTAATAGAAGGATCTAGGCTTCGTTGTATAGCTGCTGTGCCCATGGGGGCAATTTCTGGTGCCGCGCAGATCGTCAGCGTTTTGGCTATAGACAGCTTGGGATCTTTGATAGGCTTGAGGTAATCAGGCACAGTTTCTTCCCCGAACTCGCTTTTATTTTTTGTTTCTATTTCGCTGTCAGATTGCTCTGCTTCAGACGACGATGCCGAAGAATTGCAATAATTTTGCAGGTTTATCATTTTTTTTTTTTATTGTTACTGGATAAGAAATAAGTAAATACAGCACTTTTTATTTAAACATAAAACATAGAGATGGCAACACAAGTAGATGTTTATTTTAGCAAGAGTAAATCATTACATTTTTTAATGGCCGCCAGCTGTTTTTTTAGTGTTGGTAAACAGTGTTTTAATGCTATCGATACGTATTTACTATCGAAAATTGATCGTTATTTAAGTACTTCTCTAACGAATCGCGCCATTTATCACAACAAGAAGAAATTTACTCTCTTTCGGTATTAACTCGAAATTATAAAATTTTACTATAATTTTTATTTAAGAAAAAGCGTATATATACTTTTGTAATTTATTTACTTCGATTCGAAAACAAAATGGAATGAATTTAACTACTTTCTACGTTTATGCTTGTGCTAAATAACTGTTTCAAAGAATAAATAAAAATCACGGCATTTTTGTTGTAAGTAAATAAAATATTATTGCGGAAAAGCTATAAAATATAATAACAACCATTGTGGCGAACGCGCGAATGTATTGCTATGAAAATATTTATTTTTATTTATATATGTCGGTCACGGTAAGGTTAACTTCAGGAAATTTCTAATAGGTGCGTTCGTTTTGTTCGGTATGTTGCTTATGTGCTTATGTTTTTGTTCACAATGTTATTAATAAGATTTGTTCGAGGTTATAACGAAAGATAAAAATTATAAAATTTTTCTGCAAGTTTATAAATTCACATTGTGTTTTTGCCGTTAGGGGCGTTGCCGTACTTTCACTTTGTTCATATAACGACTTTCTAAAGGTTTATACAAAATTCTAAAAAAAATATAAATGTTCGGTTAAACGCAGTTTATCAAAGAACATTGCTGATACCTTATTTTTCTATATCTATGTCTGTTATATGTTTTATCTCTACGAATGTTAACTCAAATGAAAGGCAATTTCAAACAGTTGTTCTCAAAACAGGAAATACAATTAATTACGTTTTTGAAAAGAGAAGGGTCTGCTCTTTTGTTTTCCGTTCTGAAACTTAACTTCAGTTTCGCTGATATATCGTAGAAAAAGATCTCTTTAATCATTCACTATAAAGAACTTGTTCTATTTACATCAAGAGAGTTGCTTTATTTTAGATTAGCAAAATATGTCGTTTTGTTAGCAGTAAAATCTTAAACTTGTAATTTTTATATTAAAAATATAAAAAAAAACTTCGTCATGCTTTTCTAATAACTAAAATCACTTAATGAAGAAATTCATACATCTCCATTCTCTTATCACAAAAAAAGAGAGAGCATTCCTCTCTTAACATTTCATACGTTCTTGCAGTAATAAGCGCTTTTTTTACCAAATCATCTTCTGCCACCAACTTCGCTTTATATCTTCAGTTGTATTAAAATTTTCTGCAAAGTAGTTAACGTAAAATGAAAGGAATTTATATAAAATTTTAATGCGATATTTAAATTACTTGAAGTAAATAAAATTTTGTGAAATTAAATGCTTGCAAATAACTTGAAGTAAAAATTTTTTTGATGAAGTTATAAAACAGGAATAACGACTAAGAAAAACTTAATAACAAATCGAGTGAAAATATGATTCGTTTTAATGGCGGATTTATTAGCATTCGCGTTGCGATAGTTGTGTGCGTTAGATTTCCTATAACTTGTGACCTGTGTGCGTAAGCAAAAATACTTTTGGTTTATTTATTTCTCCCGGTTCGTGTCTCTACTGACTAAGAAATTTCGCGGAATTTTTCTGTATATATTTTGTATTTGCATCAAATGCTCGCTTTGAAAAGTAAATATAACGTAGAAGATTTGTGTTGGGCACAAAAATTAGCTGAAATACGTAACAAATTATCGGTGACATAAGAAAAGGTAAGAAAATTTTAACTCATAATACAACATATATGTATGCATAAAGCTGAAATACTGGTGGATTGAAGTGTGGGAAACGACAGAAGTAAAGGTATTTTGTTGCAGCTATTTTATTAAAATTTGCTTAAGATTTTACGCTTACTATGCAAAGTAGTAAAAAAGTTTTCATAAAAAGCAATAAATAGTTCGATACTTTCAAGAATTTGAAAAAAAAATATTATTATAAACTTCAAAATATAGTCTACACTTATTTTTAGGAATAAAAATCAAATTTCTGAAATATAACCTGTCAAAGAATCCAAATTTTCCGTAATATGTGTGAACGTGTGCGTGCACACATACTTATATACGTATGTATTAGATATCCAGATAACACGTCCGAAAATACTGAACGCTCCCTCATTTATATTATATATGAACACGTCCGTCTGAATATACTTTGTTTTCCAAATTTTCCTTATCATCTGTAAATGTCAATGTGTATGTATATAGCAGGCAACACTCTTATAGATACCGAACCCTTCTTCATGTATATGCCTTCCGTCAGGAAATTTCCTCGTCTTCTGTTTTTGTTATGAGTTTTAGCAGTAAAAATAAATTTGTTTTTTTTCAATAAAGATTTTTATTTATTTTTTCAAATAATTTTTTTTGTTTTCTTTTTAGTTTAAATCTTTTTTTTATTTAAATTTTGTTTTAAATTGTAAATTTTTTTTTTTATAATAATAATTATAATTTATAATCTTTTTGGTAGTACTTGTTGTAAATTTTCATTTATAAGTATATGAACCACGAAGAAACTAAAAAAAAAAAATATTTTTTATTTAGCAAGTATTTTCATAACTCTGGGCTTACTATAATTGTTGTTGGATTTATGTTCGACTAAGACGATGGTGTGTTGTGTGAATTAAAAATAGAAATACACATATACACAACACGCAGATACTTTATGGTTTTTCTTTCTTCTTGTTTATCATATAACACTTTTTAAAGGATTTTTTTGTTGTTGTTGTTGTTGTTGGGGTTGTAGATTTTTATTAATAAGATTTTTATAACTATTTAAACAAAAAAAAGCATTTTTAAAAAAAAATTTCTTAAATTTTTTATTCTTAATAGAAATGATACAAGATAATAATACATTATATTTACAAAAAAAAAAAGACATTAAAATAGAATAGACGATTAAATTTATTTTTTTAAAAGAAATTTGAAAAATTATTTAATTAACAACAATTACTAAATAGTATATAATCTTCTTCCTTCTTCTTCTTCTTCTCCTTCACACAATAAGGCCGTGTTAAACAAATTTTCCTTTCAAACGAAAAATTTGCACTTAAATTATTGTTAATAATTATAATTATTATTTATTTTTCTTTTTTTTGCAAATTGTTTAGATTTTGCTTTTTTCTTTTTTTTTTTTTTAAGCGAATTTATGCTAAATATTAGGTATAATTTTATAATTCGTATTAGTGTAATATTTTTATACAGCTTATTAAGTTGAAACATATTAACATATATATTTAATGCGCTTTTTATTATAGTACATAATATATCTTTGGATTCTCTAGCTTGTAGACTTGATTGAATTTCTTTTTTTTTTATAAAATTTTTTAATTTATACAAAACGTAAAAGAGTAAATCTTTAAAATAAAACTTTGAGGTGTTGAGGTGAATCTTAACGGGATTTAGAGATCGAAGAAACAAAACAAAATTAAAAATCTTTCTTTTATATAAATGCCGTTTATTTTGTAATTTCGTTGTTTTGGAAACCTTTACTTTGAGTTTGAGCTTTAACGTGTCTGTCTGCTTTAATTTGGTTGAATGATTCAGGTTTTTTTTTATGCTGTTTACTATTTTTAATATTCGTTGTTTCTGTACTGATCCTATTGTAATGATTTATGGGCTTCTTCTTCTTTTAGTTGGATTGCATTTGTTTCTTTTTTTATTTATTTAAAAAAAAAAAAAATGAACATTTAAAGTTAAAAAAAAAATATATATATCAAATTTTCTTTCTAAAGAAACAAAAAAATATTTTCCTTTTCAAATTTTATGTTCAATATAATTTTTTTTTTTTTTTTGTATTATTGTCCTTTTGCAATATTTTATTTAATCTTAAGTATGGATTTTTGTCACCTAAAACCACCGACTGTTAAAAGATCTGATAAATATTTTGAGTACTTGTTACGGTTGGCGCCTGCCTTTGAATAGAGAAGGACAGGAATTGACGACGTGGCCCCGACCCAAGTTTTATTTTTGATTCAACATGAGGGCAACATTTGCAATACACGACTGCAAGCAAATAACCAGACTGACCAGAGCAGCAGATTGCTAAAACACAGACATAGAAACTGATCTTATGTCCTTCTTGATTTCGTCAAGCAATTATTTTATAATGGATTTATTTTTTCAAAGAATCTCCCGACTAATCTTTGGTTGTTGAAACAACGTTTTAACCATATTATGATCCGTCCATCCGTTCTTGTTAGATTTCCTTACGAATTTTTTTTATTATGTGGGTGTAGATGTGTGTTTGCCATAATAATATAGTTTGGAATATATTTTTTGTCCATTTTGTCAAGTCGTTTCAATACAACCTAAAATTTCATCGTACATATGCTCTGTGCTTGACGAGTACACAAGTATATCATTGAAAAGGTCGACCCAGTTAACTGTTTAAACAAATCTTTAACAAATGGTGTAATTGAGACTCGACTTTGCCGAGTATTATTTCTTAGCTTGGGCTTTTCGAAAGTGTCCTTAATCGCAAAATCGGTTGCAAAATTGTCAAATATATTTTTTTTATTTTAAGCTTTTTAAAGAAAAAGCTAAATGTTCTTTCTTGATGAACGGTTAGTTCTAAAGGGGAGGTTTTTTAATTAATAATTTGATTTCATAATCAGTGCTCTCAAACGTATATTTTTTAAAAAATTTTTAATTTAATATATATATTTATTAGATTTATTATTTTTTGTTATTAAGGCCAAATGAATAAGTTGAAGTTAATATTCTACTTTCAATTTTTAATTTAAATTAATCTTAATTTAATTTACTTACAACTGATTTAATTTTTTTTCCTCTTTTAATTAATATATATATATATATATATAAAGTATAACTTTCATCATTTTTCGTTTTGTTATTCAATTTTGCTCCTTTTTAACTACGAACGATGAAAGACTAGTGGAATGATTTGGTATAGTTTTGAAAATTTCCAAATTTTTTTTGTTTTATGTAAAAAAAAAAGTGCGAAGCGAAAAACACATATATAATTTTTAAGCGGTGGGTAATATTGACGTCAAAGAAAAATATTTAAATAAAACAAAATAAACTTAAAACTCAAGAGAAGTGAAACATTATCTGAAAACATAATTGAAATGAAAAAATTTCAAGTGAAATCTTTTTGCCACTTATGAATATCCCACACCTATAGCATTATTATGGTCGGATTTTGATTTAGCTTAATCGCATTTTTTAATCAAGTCAAACTTTCGCTAGTACGCGTTTCAATAAGTATTGTAATGAGTATTACTGGCAGCGTAATGTTTTAGATGAAAGAGTCTATACCAGTCCGCATGGTCAACATGCCCTCGAGATCAATTTTTATTTGATTCATTTGTGTTTAGCTCTAATCTTCACCGATTGCGACATAAGGGTATATTAAGTCTGTGTGAATGTATGCAACACCGAAAAAGTATTTAAGATAGATTCACCTTTTATTTAGATTCGCTTTCTGTATCGATCTAAATTTGTTCATCCGTCTGTCTGTCGATGTTCTTGTATTCAATAACTTTCGATATTTTGATGAAATATGATTTACCGACGCTCTGTAGCCCAGGGACGAATACTATTGAAAATGCTTTAGGACGGACTACTTCTTCGACCACCTGTCACAAAGGCGTGTTTTTGCCCAAGCATTTTGTTTCGTTTCATATGAATGTCTGTAGGGTAGTGTAGGGTATTTACTTTTGTGCAGTGGTTCACTATAGTAGTTTCATGGTTCCTTAAGGGCAATAAGAAACTACCTATCACCCTACGATGAGTGGTATATTCATTTTGTCGAAATGTTTGCGAGGCGCCGAAGGAAGCATCAAAGATCCTACAAAGTGTATATACTTTTGATCAGCACCAAATTCTAAATCGATTTAAGAATGTTCGCCTGTCCGTCTGTGTATTGTTGGTTGTAAACATTCTTCTGGCCGCGTAAATGCAGCTATCGACTATAAATTCAGCAGAAACATTGGAAATTCTTGCACGCAGGTTGCTGTTCAAAATGGGGCAAATCGATCGAAGCACACGTCCACAGCACTACGTAAACTGAGAATATTTTTTTTTTTCAAAGGAAATGAAAAATTGGTATTATTATTATTAGCGAAGATGAAGATATCGGATAAAAATTTTGCAAAAGAATTTGGAATTGATCTAAGCATTTCAAAGGACGCGTCTACAACGCCCATAAGTTTCTACGACAAAAACTATTATTCTGAAAGTGAAAGAAAACAACTTTTAGTTCTTTTGTCTTTTTTTTGGGGTAAACGGTGATTGGTATAAAAGATTCGGTCCCGGCCGAATTTAATTCTCCGACTTTTTATGTAAACAAATAGATTAGGCAAGAGAACGAAATGGCAACTTTTGCGTCAAGCAGTTGGTAGGGGATCGTTTGGCATAATTGATTATTATTTTAGCTTTATAGAGCGATACTTTCATAAAGTTTATTACATAGAATAGTTGGTAAATTTTCATGTCTATTGTCCGAATATTTGCTTAAATTAAATAAAATTTAAAGATTTTCTAATAAATTATTTCAAAATTTTTTTATCTTTAAATTTTTTTAAAATCATACAAAATTTTATAAAAAAAAAAACTTATTCAAAAATGATTTCTTCTTTTTTTTTTTTCTTTTGGTTTTGTTTCATAAATATATGTCATATTGCATTTTATTTAAACAACGTATTTAAGTGTATAAGTATTGCTGTGTGTTTTTCCTTGAAATCGACGAGTAATTAATTATAAGAGCAAACTTAAATAAAAAATGATTGAAAAATTTATTGAAAAACTTAATACCTCACCAATGAAAAACAAAAAAAAAAAATAAAGATTAAAACTGAGTATTTCATCAAGGTACTGGATCCGTTAATGAAATCGAACTGTTATGTCAACTTTAAGGAAGCTCTAAATTATCATAATAAAGGAAAAAAATATACAGAAACTTCAACTTAAAAATTAATATATATATATATATTTCCAAACAAAAAAAAAAAAAAAAATAATAATAATAAATTCTTTACAACTTAAAGAACAAACAGAAAATTAATAGTACCGACAGTTTATTTTTTTGTTTTGTTTTTTTAAATAAAACGCACGTTTTTTTTTTTTTTTGCTTTTGAAAATTTAAATATAAAAACAATGCTCGCATAATACAGAACGAAAGTGAAAAAAAAAAAGAAAAAAAAAAATTAAAACAAAGTATCGAACACTGAAAAAATACTTTGAAAAGTTTTCTTTGTTTTGTTTTCTTTCTTCTTGTTTTTCTTCTTTTTTTTTTTTTTTAAATTTAGTAATTGGTTTATACTAATGAGTTCAACTATGGAGTTTTTTTTAAGTACGCTTTTAAGTGCGCTTAATATAATATAGATTTGTAATTCAGCTTTAAGAAAAATTCAGCAAAACTATTGAAGTATTTATGATAACTAACATTTAAATATATATACGTAAGCTATTTTGCATATACATATGAAATTTTTGATTTTACCTTATGTCCGAATACCGTTCAACGGTGAGAAGTTTTTACGAAATAATTGAAATCACTTAATGTTCTTTCGTGTTCATTAAAATTTGTTATTGTAAAAATCGAACGGTCCTGTTAGTGTCGTGGAAGTAGTATACGGTTGAGTTGGTGTATGGGACGGTAACGGTGGGCCATTGAAACGGGGAGGCATTAAGCTGGCATTAAATAAATGTATTTGTTGCATAGTATGAGGGCTACGTAGCAATGGCGGTGGTGGTGGTGGTGGTGGTGGTTTAACTGGCGCGTTCGGGCGTTGTGAAAAACCAGCAGAATTTAATAGATTCCAATTCGGAAATCTTTGCTGATGCTGTTGCTGATGCTGTTGAAAAGCTATCAGAGCCGTATGATGCTGTTGTTGCTGTTGTTGTTGGTGATGATGTTGCTGTTGTTGTTGGTGCTGTTGATGTAGCTTTTTTCGAAAATCTACCATATTCAGCAATTTTGCTGAATTCGAATTTTGACGTCGTTGTTGGGCCGAAGATGATTTTGCCGCACCATTATTGCCACCGCTACCACCAGCATGATGGCCGGTTATGTTTGTTGAAGCGCAGGTAATAGTTGATGAATTGTCGCTTACCTATTCCCTGTATGGTTTACAATATGAATAACGGTGATTCATATGCTGTGAATAAGAGCCCGAGTGAGAAAACCTTTTTAGGCATTTGGAGCATTGAAAGGGTTTCTCACCGCTATGCAAGCGCTTGTGTTCGGTCAAGTGATGCTTATGCTTAAAGGCTTTTGGACAATCCATGCATTGGTAGGGGCGCTGACCTAAAAGCAACCAAATAAAGAAAATAAGAAAAATAAATTAAAATCATTGTTGCACGGTCCAAATGGAATAGTGTTGTCTCACCGGAATGTTCGTACTTATGCCTAGCTAGTGAGCTCTGTTTCGCAAAGGCTTTGTCGCATTGATCACATACGAATGGTAAGTCGGGATCGCCGGCATGTCCGTGAGTTTCGGCTTTAACCCGTTTTGGCTTGGGTGGCATTAAAGCGGAAGAAGGCGTGGTTTGCATTGCAAAATCGTCGTCATGGGAGACGCGGGATTCATCATCACGCCAAGATCGTTTTTCCGCGCCGGGACTTAGGCTTTTGCCTCGATAACCTACATTGTTAGCCCCAAATTTATTAATACTATTCATAAATGAACGCTGGCGTGCGTATTCAGCCGCAGCGGGAGTCATTTGAAACAGTGCCTCCATTGGCATTAGCGTACGTTGCGCCGCGGCCGCCATCACTGCAGCTGGCATTATGTAAGGTTGCAGGTCATCAAATGTTGTAAATCGGGAGGCTCCATGAGGCGTTGCTGAGACTTGTTGTGAACCTAACAAAGGAGCTTCGATGGGAGATGGCGTTTGACGCATGTGAGGCTGCAACGATGGTGGCGCTCCGCCGTTGGCATGTGAGTGAGGGGTAAAATATAAGCCTGCTGTCATTTGGGCTTGCTGCTTAAATGAAGCCGGGACAGAGGCTGCAGAAGAAGGCGATAACGTAGGGGGGGTAATTTTACGACTTAAGTTAATAGCTTCAGGTAAATCGCCATCAGCAGCATGACCTCCTAAACCAGTTTGCAAAGGAACGACACCGTACAAAGGCGAATGTTGTTGCTGTTGTTGATTACTATTAGTGGCTTGGGCTTTAACAGAGAGATCCAGGGGCAAGTCATTTGCGATAGCACTTTTAGCCGCCACTGCTAGATTTTCCGCCAAAATTTGAGAGGACTGTGACGATGTCTGAATTTGCCTGGGGAATGTTAACTTGGTGTTGTGATTTTGGTTGCATTGTAGTTTACGTTCACGCGATCGATTGTTTTGAAACCAGACTTGCACTACTCGGGCATCCAATTGCAAACGAGCAGCTATCATACGAAACTCCGGTCGGCTGGGTCTTGAGTTTATTGCGTAGTGTTGCTTTAGCTGTTGTTGCTGTTCTTCTGTAATCGCTGTGCGTACGCGTACTTTTCGTTCGGCGTTGCTTTCACCTCCGCTACTGCAATCATTACGCGACACCGAATCACGTTCATCCTGTTCATCTTCCGCATCGCTGGAAAGTAGACAATTGTTAGTCACATTGTTCGTTAGCGGCTGCTGATACTGTTGTGGTTGCTCAAGTTCCTGCTTAATTAGGCCACAAAGTATTTTTTCATGCTGAACAAGTTCCGTTGGGTGATTGAATTGTTTATCGCAACGGCTGCATCGCAAATCGGCAGAAAAAGCACTAGACTTGTAAGATTTTTCGCTAATATTCGAAGATTCTTCAAGTACCATGGATTCCGTAGGTCTATCTTTAACAACTTCAATTGCTTCCTGTTTTATAAGAGCATGATGAAATAAATTCCTTGTCTCTACTTCTTGTGTTTTACATTCCATATCTTCTGTGGGCTGTTCGGTAGGTGGTAAAGAAGTCTCTGGTTCCTGCTTTATAATTATATTCTCAAAATTTTCTTTATCCGTTGCTGTCTCCTCAGTTTTATGAATCCGATAGTCTGAATGCGTTTCAACTTCTTCGTGTGTTTCCGTCTCTTTACTTAATCTAGGTGAAGACAGGTTGACATTCAAGTCTTGTGCTCCTTTTGGCTCAGTTTCATCTAAGTCCATAACTAGCTTTGGCTCGTCTTGATTATCGTCTTCATTATCATTAATTTCGTGAGATTCCTCTTCTACGGTTTCAGTAGGAAAGGCTGTTTCCTTAAGTTCTTCCTGATCTTCGGGCGATATTGAAGACGGCTGACATTGCTGCTGCTGTCCGGCAGCAGTTAATTCTAATAATCTTTGTATGCTATAGGGATGAATGCGAGGATCCAAGGCCATACTGTAAAAGGGGTTAGGAAATGAAGCCAACAGAGCAGCATTCATCGCATTATAATCACCATATTTGGGTAACAAATTTGGATAGAATGGACCATTTGTGTTGCTATTATTATCACCGGCAAAATAGTTCATAGGATTGTTCAAATTACCGCTACTTGCATTTATATCAGTTTTCACTAAACCCGAATTGGGGGAATTTCTCTTTTGAGCAGCATTATTTGATGTATGTCCAGTAATTTTATCAAGACTTTTAAGCATATTGCGATTGGTATTTAATTTTAAACCCATACTAATGCATTTCTTTGAGGTCATATGAGATGAGAAAGAACCGGAATGTGAAAATCTCTTACCGCAGTTATCACAACCGAACGGCTTTTCACCGGAATGTATGCGGACATGCTCTTTTAGATGATGCTTGAATTTGAAAGCTTTATCACACTGAAAACATTTGAATTTACGCAGCAATGCCGACTCATCATGACTGATCATGTGACGCTGTAACCGATAGACGTTAGCGAATTTTTTGTGACATATTTTGCAACTCTGTAATAATACGAGAGAAAGAGAGGGAGATAGTTAGAGAGGGAGATATAGAGTAAAGTTGTTTATATTTTAAAATTAGACAAAACAATTAGAAAAACATTCAACTTTTGTAAAAAGAATCGTATGACATTAAGGTTATCAGACTAGCTAGAAAAAGAAGAAATCGCTACTAATATAAGCCTAGTGACGACGTTTTAACGTCAAAATTTTAGAAAAGGCAGAAAGAAATTAAAACAACTTTTTATGAATGAATTTCAACTGATGATAAGCTGGTGATTATTAAAATATATTAAATCTCAAAAGTAAATGAACTTTATATACAATTTTCCAATTGGGTTTTTTTCCTTAACACCGAAAGTTGGATAGGAAGATAGGATGAACGAAGGAAAAAATGAAATGCAAAAACCACAAATGAAAGAAAGACAAAACGAAAGATTAAAAATGAAAAAGATTTAATTACTTAAAAAAGTTACAATTTTCTTAATTCCTTTTCTATGCAATTTTATACACGTGTGTACGTGATTTTTTTCTTTATTCGCGTTGCAGTGTGCGCAGTCGTATTCGTATCGCTTAGATCTTAACTGCAAGTACACCTAACCCAGACTGAGCTCCAAGTGCCCTTCGACTGTCCCAGCTTTACTTGCGAGTACTTAGTCGCGCGTATTCAATACATTCGGCCGCCACAATTCAATTTAGAAATGATTTATGTTTTGTTATTATATTAAATTAGCTTTAAGTAAACCCCCCAGCCCCCTCCAAAAAAAAAACAAATGCCACTATATCTCGGATCAATTGTAGATGGTTAAGGGTCTTTTTTTTTTCTTTTATGTGATCAATTCCCGTTGATCTTTATCTTTTCTCTCACATATATATTCCACTCAACCCAAAAAATAACTAATAACGTACATCAACCTGTACCGCTGTACTCTTTATTGTCTGACAAATAAAATAAAACTGTTATAGATATTAAACATGAATAACGGAGACAATAAACACATCATCTTTCACATCATCCGCATCAGAACAACGAGTCAGCCATGCAGCAGAGTACTAGTACAGTTGTAATTGACAATTAAAGCTTTGTTGGAGGCATAAAATATTTGTCTCCCATACACATGTCTCATATATACTCATATACACTGTAAGATATAAGTAAACGTAAAGGTGGAGAACTTGCGGACTACACATACAATAATAATAAAAAGTAATTCGACAAAGGTGTACTGGATAAGCATGCATTCGTTAACGCCGCAGTCGTGTGAAGAAAGTAAAAATATTATAGCGATTAGTGATTTAATATTTATTTTGAATGAAAGTCTATCGGTCCACTCGCACGTATCTTTATGTTTTCTTTTCCCATAATGATAATAAGAACGCCCTGGAGAATCAAAAAAGTGCAATGACACTGAATTATACGATTTATTGAACAAAAACCCGGCTCAAACTCTCGAGGAACTTTCGGACAGCGTAGCAATCAATGGATCAACAGTTTGTAAACGTTAACAGGCGATGGAAAAGATCCAAAACGAGGGAAAATGGCTATCATATGAACTCACTCAAAATGCTATTTCGAGCAGTTTCAGGATCGCGAATTCGTTGCTTGCCAGGAAGTTTTCTATAATGTATTGCGGATCTACTACGACAATTTCAGAGATTCAGTAGTCGTGGGGTGGTCGTAGCGAGCCATCCACATCGACTCCAAAGCAGAATATCCATGGCCATAACGTTTCGCTATGCATAGGGTAGGATCAGCAAAGGTGTATTGTTTTACGAGCTGTTAAAACAAACCCATTGAAACTGATACTGCACATGTCTACTGTGGTGTAAATCGAACAAATTGAATGATATACTGTTGCAAAACGGACCAGGTATAGGGGGTTGAAATGGCAACCATGCGAATGGACCGAAAATGCCACTTTGTCCACTTATTGCAAGAGTTATCAATGATACACAAGCTCGAATAGGAGCTCGAATAGGAGCTCGAGTAGGAAATTCTGCCGCACCCAGCGTACTGACTAGATATGGCGTCTTCTAAATACCACTGGTTCAAATCGATGCGGTATGCCACGCTGGCATGCAACTCTGCTAAGTTGAAGAAGTGTGAATCGGTGGTTGGATCGCTGCCAAACCGATATAAGTTCTTCTGCTCGACACGATATCGCCATGTTGCCAGGATTTTGGTAAAGTGTTGTAGAAAATGATGGGATATATTTCGACTAATGTACGTTGCGGCAATTTTTCTCAATAAATGTCTTTTTCAAGTGAAAAAACTCTCAAAATTAACGCAACCATCTAATAAAATGCTTAGAGCAAATTGAGACTTGGAGAATAATCCCATCTTATATGCTGGCAATTGGTTGATTGTTAAGCTAGAGCTGTAAAAATGTAAGCAGTGTCGCTAGCGTTATAAACATTAAGGCTAGAATTCTTATTGGCAAAACAAATCTTATTTCAAAAACAATTAGCAGTGCATTCGCCGTCCGTCTAATGAGATTCCAATTGCGATTAAATTCGTAATTTAGAAGAAAAAATTAGTAGTAGTAGTAGTAGTCTTTAACAAATGAAATTTGTGATTTCGAAATATTATCTTGACTTTATAAAAATTCCTCGGTCAATATCAAAATTGAATTCAAATGCGATTCGCATAAATTTTTCCTTGGAATGGTTTCCCTATAAAAACCTCTCTATAATACGATCTTTAGTTCAACTTCAAGGCAATTATTTATGAGATGCTATGAAATTATATGAAAGTATATTTTTAAAAATGCATATTCGTTATAGATCACACGAAAAATGTCAGATAATAATGTAAATTTGATCGTGAAAATTCGTTTTGGATGAATTTAATTTTTCTCTCCCATTTAAGTGAACTTTATATTTAATTGCTAGTAATAATGCTTAATAATTCAGTCATCATTCGATCGTATTTTCATTAGTTTTCGTCAGCAAAGTATGTAACATTTCGCACACATACGTAAATTGATATGCGTTCATTTAATTAAAGAAAGGTAATAGTGTTCTTATCGCTTACTTCAAACGAATTTACGTGAATACGTTATTCTCATCAATGATTTATATTAAAACAAATAAATAAGAAATAAATAATAATAACAATAATGCATCGTATGATTTTCTTCACTAAACGCAGTAATGATCTTATTTCTAATGATTACCTTCTTGCGTCATAACATATATAGTAAGTAAGTAGCGCATGTGACTATAGCGTCAAGAAAACAAAGGATTGATCACTTCATCCATCTTCAAACAGATCGTCATTACTTAGCAAAGAGGTAAATGAAATAGAAGCGATTTAAATTTAAAATCACATGTTCTTAGGTAAAGCCTAAAGACTGCAGGTTTGCAGACATCGCATTAACCAATAAATCTCTAGGTTACGATCAAAATTTTTTTTTTTTTCGTTTTTTTCTTTTTAATGACTAATCATTCTGGGCAAGGGTCGGGGGCAGAGAGAGAGAGAGGGGGGGGGGGGGGGGAGATCGTTAAGTCCAGCCAACCGCATAGAGAAAAAATGGCTTGAGGGGGTGTTACTCAGATTACGGATATTAGATTAGATTTGGATTATGGTTGCGAGGTAAGATCCACGGTTCCTATTTCAACACAGTTTTTTAGCCGCCCCCTTTTTTTTTACCAAAAGTTGGCAGACAGTCACACGGACAAATATTTGGAAAAGAGAAGTACCTTATAGTTGACCAACAATATATACAATGTACATATAACGATGAGTTCAATCTTTCGCTAATAAGTGTACTGAAAATTTACAAACCGGTTATGGCTTCATTACCAGCTAAAGATATAAAAGAGTAAAAGAGAAATAAAACGAGTCCGTCAAGTGTCGTTGCATTGTCCGTGAAAGTAACAAGCAAAACTAGCAAAGTTAGCCAAGTTAAAATGGTTACTTAAAAATTGATGTTAGTGTTGCTTGGCTTCTTTTCTTCTTTTGTTATTTACACAAACAGGTTTCTCTCCAGGTTGTGTTAGCCAATGAAATTATAAGACAATGTTGAAGAAAAATGGTGAATACTTTATTTTTGTATCGCCTTTTATGTCAGTGAAATATTTAACGAGTTCTATTCGCAAAAAAAAAAAAAAACAATTAACGGAAACGAAAGTTAGTATTAAAAAGAAATTTAAAAAAAAACAAATTTTGTCTTTTCTCCGAATATTTTGTAGAAAAACATATTATTATTATTATTATTTTTTTTTTTTTTTCAATCATATTGTGAAAGAGAATCCGTATTCAAAATATTTTGTTCGGTCTTTCTTTGTTGTTGCATGCGCGTGCAACTCGAGTTAAGCTATGATGAGCAATGACATCAAATGTTTTGCTCACGTTATTGTCATAAATGTTTTTTAAAAGCAAGAAAATAATAAAAATAAAAACTAAATAAAATCATTTATTATGAAAAGGAACTAAACAAATTTAAATAAAAATTTTTGTAAATCCACACACGCTTCTACTTGTATAATATGCAAAAGGAAAAATATTTAATAATTATTAAGTTGAAAGAATTTAATTTTTTTGGTTACTTGTTGTTGTAATAAAATTGTTGAAATTATATGACAGAGATGAAATCATATATATGTAAATAAATAAACAAAAAAAAGAAAAAGCAAACGACAGAACTATCATATTTGGTTCACACCGAATCCGCTACTACCCATCGTTATTCATTTGGGAAAAGTTCAAGTGAACCGCCGCTTCACATGGCAGTAATGCGTGTGCCGTCTAATGCAAAGAACTGAACTTTCGACTGAAGTTTCTTTCAGTTTGTTCCACATTTTGCTTCATTTCATTTATATATTTTTCCTAGAATTTATCTCAACTAATTACAAGGCCAGCGATTAACTTAATTTCTGCTGGAAAGTTCAACAAAATTAATAGCAATGAAAACCGATGTGTGTAAATAATTTGTTGCTAAACAAATAATGACAAAGATATGTAAAATAATTTAAATTTTTTGCGAATGGATCCCGTTTAC